TGATGAAGCCAAACAAAAGTGAGAAGGGAATGGTTTTATCCGCCTCTTTCTGTGAATATCTTATAAGCGTAGAAGAATAACACAATTAGTCTAGGTAAGTAACACAATTCTTTGTTACTCAGCTATTTTCAACCTTGAGCAAGGCTCATTACTTTTGCTGAAGGTAACAAGTTTAAATTAAGTTGTTGACCTATGGGTTACACTAGCCTACTAAAGCAAAAGCATAACTGCTTCCTCTGGTGAAATGTTCAAATATTTGGCAAAAGCCTGGTAACTGTTGTTAACATAGTTGTGTGAGGAAGAGGGAAGTGGTTTCCAGAAGCTTCCATTTCTCAGAGCAAAGTTCTGTGCAGTCAATATACAATTTTCAAAATCAAGTCTGAAGCCTGCATTCAGATCTTAGCAGCATAGCTATAAATCTCATATTACTGCAGGAACTAGTTAAATAACTACAGATTTATTTTCTGGTATTAAAGCTGAAACTGGAATGTTTACTGTCATAATTTTCAAATTACTGGTACAGCACATACATATTTACCTCTAATAAAAGCCTTAGGTCCTTCCTGCCATCATGTTTAATGTGGATATGCAAGGCCTGGGTTCTGTCTTCAGTACAGTCTTTTCCAATTCTTCAGGAGTCATACGGTTAATGTAAAGTGACAGCCCTTAGTAAATGTTTGACTCTATTGCCAATTGCTCTTACAGTCACAGGTTTAATGAAAGTTTAAATATGTCACCTATGTCATATAGGCCAAAAATGCACAGTAGGTAAGGGTTAAATAGGCTGTTAGCATGTTTTAACACTTAGGATTTCCCTCCAAAACAATGCAAAACAACAGGACAGGTTGTAGGAAGCTGGGAGGGATATGGAGCTGGAAAAGCAAATAATTCTGAGGGTGCGAGTGTGTGTGTGTGGGGGGGCGTGGGGGGGGGGGGGGGAGGGGAAAAAACTCCAGTCAGAAGAATAGACAAACATACATATTGATGGGCCATGATCAAACGGTGGGAATTTTTATGTTGTACACAGGCATATGTTGAATAATTTGGTAAGGATACGTGAGGAGCTCATGAGCCAGCATTATCACTCAGTAAAGCTGCTAAAAGTCACTTGCCCGAGAAATGGCTGTAGAGCCCTGGATAATTCCACAGTCAAAGTTAGAGTAGTTTATGAAGTGCTTGGGGAATGCAAGGCGAGATAGTGGGGCACCTGGCAGCACATTATACCCAAAGCATGAGGAAGAGCAGCATGCTGCTGGTCTCTTAACATTCCTGAAATTCTTCGAAGGTTTGGCAGAGGTATTTCTTAGAGCAAAGACAAGCAGACAACAATTAGCTGACTGGGGGAACAAAAACGCTAGCCATTTGGGAGTTTTGCATGTCTTTTTGGCAACTTTATCGCCATGGGAGTGTGCAAGTGTGTTCTGTCTTTAAAGGATATCAAGGTGCTGACTGCAGACCTGTTGCTTCCTGTAGTGTTGGGTGGCTCTGCTCCTTTCACATGTGAAATTCAAAGGTCAATCAATGACTATGCTAGTAATTTTTCATCCTTCCTCCCAGGGATTTGCTTGTGAGATCCTCAGCCTGGGTAACTTTCACAGTATGATGGGGACCCATGAGGCTTTTGGTTATTTCTACTTTTTGCTCACTTGTACCCAGTCTTGGATTTTTCAGTGATATCTCACCTCTGTGCCCCAGACTGGGTAGGCTGAGTGCTGTGGAAAATAATAGCTAATAATAAGCCACGTTTTAAGATGCAGTGCATGATGAAGCAGGTGCTAAGTAGGAGATGTGATTAAGGAACTGGTTTTGGTGAAGTGACAGAAGACTTTTTCCACCTCTTCTGTAACAGAGCACTCTGGGACAGGTGCATTCAAAAAATGTCCCATTGCTGAGGCCTTTCCCTTGCCTGGCAGCCCTGTATAAGCTGGTGCTGGGCCAGGGTATCATGTTGCCTACTGCCATGAAAAGCTAGAAGTTTGATCTGGAAAGAATTAGAACTGCCCATGGAATGCTGTCAGACACATGATCAGATAGCAATTTGCTGAGAAGAAGATGACTGGGCCTCAATGTTATCTGAGATCACTATTGAGAAAACAAAGTTTGCAACCATGGCAGCAACTGCTGTCTCTTAAACATTATCCTTGACAGGGCTTGGCACCCCAGTGTGTTGTAGAGACTGTTAGCTCTGCTAGTCCTTTTTGTAGTGAGTGAATATGGCAAAAAAAAGTGCTGAAAGACCTTGTAGGAACAGAGAATGGCTGCTCTTTTTGATGTCTGTAAGTTACACCTGCCCATTTATCTGCAGACGTATGCTTAGTGCGCACACTGTTATTTCTCTACCATCATTATTGTGGTGTTGTGATAATCTCTGGTGCCAAGAACAGAAAAGTTGCCTGTCAGTTATGCTAAGCACCTGAAGACTCTTGGCTCTCAGCCTGCACAAGGTGATTGTTATCTTCTACTATTTTCAAATAAGCTTCTCAGAGCAAAACTAACGATTCAGATAAGCTGCTGAGATCATAAATCATTTATAATATTAATAATGTTTACAGTCCTTTATTTAGTTGCTGAAATATTGTAATTTTCACAGCTGTTCAGCTATGAAACCTCATTGGAAAACAATCTTCAACTTGCCTGGTTCTAGGATCTGTTTCTGTTATTTAGGTTAACCAAAGTCTTTCTACATCTAAGGCAGCTCTATAAATCCTTGGTACATAAATACCAGTGGATTACTTTGTTCTTAGGTTAGCCTGTGTTAGTAGAATGTATTTTTTTCAAGGTTTGAAATGTGAACAACTTCAAATTTCTTCTAGAAAGCATTTGTGTTGCTTGTGAGGATTCTCCAGCTCATCTTCAACTCAGTCATTCACATCCATGGAAAAAATGGTGAGTTCCTTTCTCTCTCCATATCTTTGGGACAGCAAGGATGGTAACACTTGATAAAGAACAGAAATGTCATCTGAAGTTAAGTTACCAGATTAGGGGCAATAAGAAACCAGATAAGGTTTAACAAAAGCAAGTATAGACTCTTGCACCTGGCAAGTATCAGAACTTCACAGTGATGGTGATGAAGCACCATCAGGCTGCCCAGGGAGGCTGTGGATTCTCATTCTCTGAAGACATTCAAGGCCTATCTGGATGCCTACCTGTGCACCTGCTATAGGGAGCCTGCTTTGGCAAGAGGGTTGACCTCTGTGATCTCTAAGAGGTCCCTTCCAACCCCTACAGTTCCATGATTCTGTGATTATGGTGAGAGGGAGTTTATCCTCCTCACCTGGGCAGAACAACCCCACAACTATTGGGCTGTGCTCCCCTGCTTTCCTTACACTCATTCAAGTACAGCCCCATAAGCTTTGGAGGGATAGCTCCTCTGACTGCTGGGAGAAAACATGCTTTTATTTTCAGACACTGGATAGTGGGAAATGATAAATATGATCTCAGATTTCCCTACAAGATATTGTTTCCCTAAAAGATATTGTTCTAGTGTGGAAATGTGAACAATATCTTGTGGTTTACAATGCTCAATTGTAGTATCAAATGTAAAAGTCACCAACAGTACTCTCCAGAGAGATCTGGTAACAGAACCCCATAACATGTCCTAGCTACTGTGGAGTAGGAACCCCCTTCTTTCTTTATATGAGCCTTTAGCCTTTTTTAAAAAAAGCCTGACAACAAACAGAAATCACACGCACCACCTGTTAGAAGATATCCTGTTATATCTTCTGGCAGAAGAGCATAAAGGGTCTTAAAACCTCAGCAGGTGGAAAAATTAAGTGACTTGTACAATGACTGCTGGAAGGTCAGGGGCAGAGGGAAGATGAACCCAGTGGCCAGTCCCTGCACTAAGTGCAAGTGAATGAAAAGAGACTCAAGGAACTAAAACTTAGAAATGAGATTCAAGTGGAAACAAATCTCAACTACAGAAATCTCTCTGGGAATGACTTAACGTATGCTCTGGGGCACAACTGGTTTTAAGGGCTCTGGAATTATGACTGCAACATGGCACTCTGAGAGATTGCATAAAGAGCACTTGCAATCTATTCACATGTGCTCTTGCTAACAATCATATTTTGTGCAGTTAAGTGCAAGGCCTCTGATCTTCAGAGCATGCATGGCTTTGATTTGTATGTCTAGATTTGAGTACATGAGTACAGCACTGGCATGTGTATGTCTTGTGTACTGCAAAGCATGCTGTTATGTGGGAACTGAAAAGACATAAACATACTATATTGTTACACTTCACTAGAAAGCATAAAGCAGTTCTGAAAGTAGCAGAGTAAAAAGTATGCTGACAAAGTCAGCAAGGTAGTTCCTCCACTTCAAACTTTCTCTGATTAAGGAGCATGCAGGATGTCACATTTCTGTTTCATGCTCTAATGAATAAAGGAACATGGTCAGCAGGTTGTGGGAGCTGATTCTCTACTCATAGGGAAAGGTGCACATATGCGCATTTCTTCAGAAGTTGTCTCAGAGCCAATTATCACCCTTTGTCTTCGTGTCCTTCAGGAAGGAATATGTTCTGTTTACTTCGGCATTGTCATGCAAGCAACCGAGGAAACACGAGATGATGACCTCTTCGCTTGCTCTCCTCGTTCCTGCCAGACCACCATCTCCTCTTCACTCCCTTCACACACAAGCTTTGCATCATCGATCTCCTCCAGGTCCGGTTCTGTAACACAGCCTGCAGCCCGCCACGCCCGGCCTTTCCTTCAAGGGCCCCGACAGCTGTGAACCCCCAATGCCCCCGCCCCTTCTCCCTCCCTCTTTCGTTTGTTCTCTCGTGAAATTACATCTCCTCTGAAGGAGCACACACTGAGTTGGGCGGCCCTGGGCAGTCACTCAGCTCCTGGTTTGGGTGCCCCGCTACGGCGCGACACTGCTGCAGTGACGCCGCCGGGCGCTCTGCAGGCTCTGCGGAGCTTTGTGTCCACACTGTGGGAGCGAACCGGGCTCCGGCATCAGTGGGGGCAGGCCGATGCGGGGGTTGGGCTTAAGAGCGGGTAGGGGGAGGTTTTGTGCGCGCTCCGAGGGGACGAGAAGGCGGTGGCAGCAGGGAGAGAAGATCTGTTCGGACTACTGAGCCGTCGGCTCCCGAGTTTCCCCCCGAGCCTATTTGGCCGCACCACAGAAACTGCGGGCCGTGAACACCATGGCTAGCGAGATCGACAACCTGAACAGCCACGAAGCAAAGACGGTATGCGAGGCGTTGGGGCGCTATGAAGACACGTTGCGAGGCGCTGTTCGGGAGATCCATGTGGACATTCAGGTGTTCAAGCAAGGCGTGAGTCGGCAGGTGGATGAGGTGCTGCGCCTCGCTAGCCCCCTGGCTCGCACCGTCTCAGAGCTGCAGCAGGAGAACCAACGCCTGAGGGTGCAGCTGGAGCGTCTTGCTCGGCAGGTGGAGGCCCTTAGCCGGTCGGCGGGGCTGCCGCAAGAGTGGCAGGACGAGGCAGAGAGGAGCCCTCCAGCTGTGGGACCCAGCTCTCCAGTGCCGGCTTTTTCTGCAGACAGGTTCTCCACCCTTGCGAAGCTAGCAGTGTCTGGTCGGAGCCAAGTAAGTGCCGGCTGTGGCTGGGGGGGCAATGTAGGGAGGGTCATGAGGATGCATGAGCACTTGATGTGAGTGGATGCGTCTACACTGAGCTGTAGGTAACACGGGGGAATGTTTACAATCTTGTGCATTGAATATTTATGAGCTTTTGGAAGGTGTCTAGAGAAATGGTCTTGACTGTTATGCCAGCTGGAGATGTGTCTGATTATAATACTACTTGGCCAAACTGAGATCTTGCTTAGAGTGGTAGCAATCTCTCAGTTGAGTGTGGTTAGAAGTAAGAAGAGACGTTGTGGCAGTCTCAGCTATCAGTATTTATGTGTAGGTGAATGTCTGTATATCCTTTTAAGATTCAGGGGGGACCTGTGTGCCAGCAGTGCTGTCAGTTGCCAAGCTCAGAAAGGAGAAAAACTCAGCATATATGTAGCAGGTAATAATGTGCTTACCTAACACAGTGACTTAGTGTGCTGAAGTGTGACAGTTTTGAGGCACAAGTGCTGTGCTGTACTACTTTGGCTCAATTTTAGAGAGGTGTGCCCCATGCAAGCTGTCATGGTCTCCATGTCCTAAACTAGCACAGAGATGTTCTTCCCAGTGGTAGAACTGCTTCTGTGAGATGAAGCCTTATAATGTGGTGCATGGAAAGCTCAGTTAGTGGGAAGCTCGTATGGCACTGAGCTTTGTGTAATATTTTTCTAGAGCATCTGGTTCTGTGGAAGGAGCTGAGAGTTCCTGTACAATCCTTGATGCCAAGAGATTGCCTCCAGACAGTACATGATGATATGTAACTATGTGGTATTAGAGAGCTAACTTTCAAAACTGGCAGCCTATTTCATTTAATATTAATCTATCTCTTGCAAGATTCTTAAAGACTTGGAGCATGGACAGTTGTGGGATTGGCTATCCAGGCCTTGGGGATGAAAAGTAAATGCTTGGAAACTAAGCTAATTTGAAGTTGTTTGGGTGCAATTGAGCAGAGTCAGTAGAACATTCCAGCCCTTTTACTTCCCACCAACCCAAAAGTATTTGGCAACAGCTGGCCAAATGAAAAGGCAAAGCAGCCACATGCAGTACTGTTCCAATGCTATTGTAGCAGTTGCTGCCTTTTCTCGCAAAACATTAATATGAACAGCTTACACAACTTCTAGATCGTTTGTTTGTTTGTTTTGTTTTGTTTTTTTTTTCCTCCATGGAGCCAGCCACACTTATTACATTGCAAGAAACAGAACTAAGCTCAGTGACAGGGAAGGGATAAGAGAAAGTGGTGCCTCATACAACTCATCTTCTCTATTGCCACTGCCTATTTGTGGTGGGTACTCCATGCTCTGTGATAAGGTTTGCATTGAGGCTATAGCATTATCCAGCTTTAGATAACAGTCTAGGCTGAAACACAGAATGTGCTTTTGTTTTGGCTGGAACCTTCTTACTTAGCTTTGAGGGTTCAGGGAAGATCACAAAAGTACTGTTAGCTCCCCAGTGTCCTCCCAACAATTTTCCCCGCAAGGATGGATGCCTTCCAGGGTTAGCATAACTGACTGTAAAGGAATCTCAGTACTAAGAACCATGGGAGATGCAGCTAGAACTACACACACCAAATGCATGCAGAGATTACAGTGTTGATCAAAAAAATATGTAATGTGGCTGTGCTCAAATGACTAAGGAACAAGCCTTGATCACTGTGTTGGTCACCCAGTTTCTCTGTGGTAATGAAAATATTCCCTGAATTGTCTGAAATTTCTATTTGTGCAACAGAAGCACTTGAAACAGAGTACCATTGTATGGGAACTGCTGAATCACGGCCTGAACCTCTGATTGATCACCTGAGGTGAGCAATGAGTCAGCCCTGGGAGAACAGGTGAAGGCAATTCACCTGTGCTGCTGGAAGGGGTGGAGCCTGGCTGCACCTCTCCTAAACCCATTTAAGAGCTGACTACCAGGGGGAAAGGATCTCTTCTGGAGATCCCTTCTTTGGAGTTTTGCAGTGAGTCCAGCATGCGGGTAAGCTTTCTATCTATTCTCTTTTTGTTATTATAATCTGCTTTGCCAAACTCTCCTGTTTATTTCATAATTGTAACATCCTTATATTCATTGAAATACAACCATAAATGCTACTGTGTTTGTTTTCAGGTAAATTAGTGGTTGCAATAAAAACTGATGAGACTTCCATCCACAGTAAATGCTTATATAAGTCTGAGATAGGAGAAGCAAATAATATATTTCTGGAAATAGCAGCGAATAAGAGTACTCTTTTGCTCCTGAAAAAGGTTTATTGGTTGGGTTTCTTTCTGGTGTGTAGTTGATGTAGCTCTTATCCCAGTAAGGAGTCAAGTTCTGTTCCCTTCAACGCTTCTATCAAAATACTCCGGATGAGAGTTTCTTTCTCAGGGTGAAGATTAGGTATTGAAGATTCTGAGCATCTTTATTGTGTGAACTGTTGTTTTCTAACATTGCTAGATTACTTTTAAAGGTGATTTCATTGAGAAGAAAATGTGGCCAAGGTGTTCTGAGCATAATTAAATAGTAAGGGCACAAATATCCTTTTAAATATAATCTTTGGCTAGTCTCTGCTACACTGTCCTTGAAATCTGATATACGACAGTCTATGTGCTCATTTAGATGGACCCAGTTGCCTTTCTGTCTATCAAGTGGGGTAGACTAACAAGATAACAGTTTATTAGCCCCCATTTCCTGCATGCATGCAGCACAGCAGTGACAGTGTTACAAAGGATTTGTGTTATCTGCCCGTGATTTACATTGTACTCGAGACAGGGCTCTCCAGGTACTGGAGAAGGCTGTTTTGGGGGCGTAGAGTGGGGAAGGGAGTGTGTTCTTCGTACTTTTGCTCCTTGTCTTGTCTTTTGTCTTTCCCCCTCCCCTTTCTGAGGTTTTTTGTTTGTTTTTTGTTTTTCTCTCTCTGCGAACATTTCAGTTCTGTAGAGCAGGATGGTTCAGAAAGTAATTTGTTAGTTCTAGTATCAGGTGGTCATTTGTATCCAAGGTTGTTACACTGGCAGTTTTATTTGCCCTGTTCTTCCAAGAGATTACACATGGAAAATTGCTCACCTTTCCTTTTCCATCTTGGGTATGGATGGATTAGAAATCTTAGTAATGAAAGGAGAATCGCTTTTTGTATTTGCAGTGCTTTAGTAAACCCACTTGTTCAGTTGCTACAGCTAGATCTGTAAATTTGTTTTGACTTAAACTTCAGCTAAGTAGATTTTTCTGAAAAGTCTGAACTATTGAAACTGAATAAAGATGAGATCTCCTATCTCTTTAAAAATGAATAAACAATAACCAAGTATGTTTAAAAGTAGCTCTGTGGAATGTTCCAAGGTCTTTAGATTATAGCTGCTGAGCTGAGAGGGAACATCCAAATCCAGCACGGACAGTAGCCAGTATACAAAACTAATGTCAGAACTGTAGGGATTGGTTTAAAATTATTATATGTAAAAATTTGGATTAGTTTTTGCCTTCTGAGTTAATTTTTCTTAAAGCATTTATGCAGCACTTTTGGCACATAGATTTTTCTTTTCCTTTTTTTTTTTTTCTTTTTTTCTTTTTTTTTTCTTTCTATAATCATTGGAGCCAGGAAGCTGGTGCAAGGCTATTGGATAGCATAAGTTCTGGAGCTGGAACTACATGGATTGAACAGGATTTTGAGTTAATAACTCTGCAAACAGGATGTGATTTCTAATTATAACATGGTTACATTTTTAAGAGAGATACATTTATGTATCAAATAATACTAGCATAATAGAGGCACTCTTGCGTGAGACTGGAACACTACGTTAATATGTTCTGTGTGGTTTGGATGGTGTTGAGCAAATTGTAGTATATATTAAAAAAAAAAAAAAAAAAAAAAAAAAAAAAAACACAAAAACAGGATAAAATCAGCATTACTTTAGAAGTAGTACCAACTTGTTCCAGTGATTTTTGTCAAGGTGAAAGAAAAGGACCTTGCTTTCTTTTTTCCTATTTGAAGACGTTTCTTTCCAAAAAGTTATCTGCTTCTATGGTTTTATGTTTTTATTTTGGCAAAAGATTTGAGAATAGCTTTTTAGCTATTCAATATGAGACTTGTTTTTGGACTCGGTGATCTTTGTAGGACGCTTCCTACTGAACTGTTCTGCTATATTCTGTCCTTTTTCTGTCTGCAAGGAAATACAGTACGAACTTGACTGAATTCTTGTGTTTCCATTGTTTGTAGAAGCACAATATTCTGAGCTCTGTTCTAACTGCACAATAATTTGCAACACAGTGAAGATCATGTTTCATTTTTTCAATTACATCTCCTGACAGGTCATTAGTTCTGTACTTTGTTTCTGACAATTTTTGGTCAAAGCTTTCGCTGCTAGTTACCTGTAATGTCATTCTCAGCAGCTAGCTTTGCATATCTTCTGTGAAAAACAGGGAGAACAGCATAGAGGTACCTTTAGCGGCTAAAATAGATAGTTTGCCCATTACAGTCAGTGTTTGTGGTGTTGGGAAGGGTGTATCTGTTGGATACAAAGGCTGTGGAATTCTAAGAGTAGAGGACAGATTTTAGTGAATTAGAGTGTCCCCCTATTCCTTCCTTCCTTCCTTCCTGATGCTTAGTTTTTCACTTTTTGAATGTGAAAATTGTGGTAGAGCGCTGGAAATTTCTGATCAAATCTCAAGTTTGGAGGATGTACCTATGAAATTCAGTTTCCATCAGCTCCAGAGAATTTTGACTGATAAAGGCAGTAGGAGAATTATCACTTGCTTAGGTCCTGCTCATCCTAAGATACTAAGTTGTTGAGTTAGTGTCATATAAACATCTGTGATTAAAAGGTCTACAAACATGTCAGCCCAAATTCTTATCAGGCTGGATCTAGATCAGCTTGGCTTTCAGATGGATAAAAAGAGATAGTACATTTCCACTTTCTTCCAATCTAGCATTTCTACCCTGAACTTAAGCTTCCTCTGTCCAGAAATTTACTCTTACCTTGAATCAGGCTAGTAAATTGCACTTGTCATGATGAATCAGTAAGTATTAGTCAGTTCTTCCTTGAATAGAAAAGTCTGCTCACCTAGCCTTGCCTGTTTTTCTTGGTGTGACCTCTGGAGAAGCTGTATATGTAGATTATAGGACTTATTTCTGTCAGCTCTAAAGTCAGGAGAAGTTTGAGATTAAAGGTGGTAACCCGGACGCATTCCTTAACTATGATGAGTCTGTCATGTAAACAGTCTGCTGATTTCCAGGGATTGAAGTGCCTGATAAGAGTCTTTAGTTGGCAACTTCCCTCAAAGCTGAGGAAAATATCATTTAATCGAGAGCATAAAAACTAGGAAAACTATGTGTTTTCTCTTCAAAAACACATTGTTTGTAGATTGTCCTTGACTCAGCCCAGCAGTGTGCTCTTGCAGCTCAGAAAGCAAATGGTATCCTGGGCTCCATTAGAAGAGGGGTGGCCAGCAGGGACAGGGAGATGATTGTTCCCCTCTACTCTGCTCTTGTGAGGCCCCATCTGGAGTACTCTGAGGTCTGGAACCCCCAGTACAAGAAAGATAGAGCTGTTGGAGAGGGTCCAGAGGAGAGCTATGAAGATGATCAGGGGACTGGAGCACCTCCTCTACAAAGACAGGCTGAGGGAGCTGGGCTTGTTCAGCCTGGAGAAAAGAAGGCTGTGGGGTGACCTAATTGCAGCTTTTCAGTACCTAAAGAGAGCCTACAAACAGGAGGGGAATCAACTCTTTGAAAGAGTTGATAACAGCAGGACAAGGGGAAATGGTTATGAGTTGAGGGAGGAAAGATTTAAGTTGGATGTCAAGGGAAATCTCTTTACATTGAGAATGGGGAGGTGCTGAAACAGGCTGCCCAAAGAGGCTGTGGATGCCCCGTCCATCCCTGGAAGTGTTCAAGGCCAGATTGGATGGGGCCCTGGGCAGCCTGGTTTAGCGTTAAACGTGGAGGTTGGTGGCCCTGCGTGTGGCAGGGGGATTGGAGAGTCATGATCCTTGAGGTCCCTTCCAACCCAGGCAATTCATTCTGTGAATTCTTTCCCTTCTTTTTCTCCTTCCTTCAGTCAATGCCCTCAGCCCCTAGAGGGACTTTCAGAGTCTACAGTTCTCCACAGTCAAAGATAAGGGCACCTCTAATGCTCCTTGGGAGGTCTGCTTGGGAAAGGTGTGGCTAGTCTAGGTTTCTGACTCAGCTTGGCTGTTACGGTGGGCAGAGGCCATATTGGTTTCAATAGAAAGCTCTTCTCTGCTTCTCCCTGATGAGAAGAAAACAGGCTGCTTTCTGCCCTCACGATGTTCCTTCCAGAATTTTATACTTTTCTCCCTAGAATTTTTCATCAACCATATTATTGCTTTTCCATGTGTTTTGTTTTTTTTTTAATGTAACTGTGATGAAAACAGGTGAGATCTAGCTTATAGCCTCACATATGTCATGAGGAAAAGCCTGAAGATTTATCTGCAATAAGAGAATGACAGAATAATCACATAAATTAGCAAAGCTCTGTTTGATGCATCTTCTGGTTGTGACATAAAAGGAATATGACAGGTAAGCAGATGTAGAACACAGCGCTGTATGAAACTGCTTACAAGTATGGTGCTCAGTATTCCAGTCTACCAGATGACTGTGCTGCTAAAGCCAAACAAAAAAAGAGAAGTGTGAATTTATGTGTTAGTTGTTAATCACAGTTGTTAACAACAGTTGGTCTTTCTGGTATTTTGATGCCAGACTTCAATTTGGTTCTCTAACCGGGCCCAATACTGAGATTTGCTTTTGTCAAGCTATCAGTTACAGATAGGTAATCATAGATTCATAGAATGGCCTGGGTTGAAAAGGACCTCAAAGATCATCTAGTTTCAACCCCGCCCCATGGCATGGGCAGGGTTGCCAGCCACTAGACCAGGCTGCCCAGAGCCACATCCAGCCTGGCCTTGAATACCTCCAGGGGCATCCGCAATCTCCCTGGGCAACCTGTTCCGGTGTGTCACCACCCTCTGAGTGAAGTTATGTTTGAAGGATGAATTTTAAAGCAGAATCGCAGAGCTGTAGCTGTGTGACTGAGTATGCATCCTTTGTTGAAGGATTTCACAGAATTGTAGGGGTTGGAAGGGACCTCCAGAGATCATTGAGTCCAACCCCCCTGCCAAAGCAGGTTCCGTACACCAGCTCACACAGGTCGGCATCCAGGCAGGTCTTGAACATCTCCAGAGAAGGAGACTCCACAACCTCCTCTTGCAAGCCTCCTTCTACCTGCCAGTGATTATTAGAAAGGATGAGTTCTGACCTTTTTTGATGAGAAAATCTCACATGTTTGCAGGAGCACAATCATTAAGAATCTTTCTGCACTGTTTGTGGTTCAGCATGATGTCTTTGTGAACAAGGAGGACTAAAATTATAACATGGATGTTCTATTTTGACACTGTCAGAAAAGTCTTTAGTGTTGACAGACTGCTGAAAGGACATCTGCAGAGAACCAGCCTGCTATGGGGAAAGCAACAGAGTGATTGCCTAGCTGGCTATGATCACTTACGAAGATCTAAACAAACATTATTCATTGGTATCTGGGGGCCTGATGGCACTCAACAGTGCTGGAGTAACTGCATGAGACACAAAGACCTGCAGTATACAAGCAGACAGATTAAATACTCCAGAAGTCAACTTGCATTGTATACCATGAAGCCATCTCTGCTCGTGTATTTGACCAGGAAGTTTGGTAGTTCTGTTTATTTCTTCTTATTTTCTTGCAATTCCTGTAACTGTCTTGTAGGAATAATTCCAAAGTTACCTGAATCTTCATTTAGGTGATTTGTTTGCCTGTTTTGTTGCTGTTTTATTGTGATATAGTGTGAACACCTGCTGAAGCTATAAATGTAGCGTTGTTTTCTCTCTTGTCAATTTTTTAATCCAGGTTTGCATCAAAATAAGGTTTTGTGAAAAATGCCTCTACGGTTTTTCTTCAGAGGTTACTCCATGTGCAAAAGCTTTCTAATGCTGTTCAAGGCTGCTGCTTCAAGCTGAGCGGTTGGTTACAGAATACTCCTGTAATCTGACAGTTTCTCTGTGCTCTCGTAGAAGAACTGAGGAATAAGTGTGGTGCAGTTCTCGTTAATGTCTAGCAGCCTTGATTGTCCTCCCTTACACATCTCACTTTTTCCCATTTCTGATGTATCAGTAATCTCTGTATGCAAAGCACATAGAGGCAACTGAGGAGCTTGCTTTTATGAAAATTCCTCTTTCAAGAGGTCTCTAAATGAAAGATATCCCACAAAAAACAGTGGAGCTAATAGTGCTTTTGCTTGTAAGAGAATTTTAGATTTTTGGACCACTGCTATTTTAGGTGTATATGAAACCATACTGGGGCATGAAAGAAAGTTCAATTGTCCTAATAGAGCTATAAGGCACGTTGTGTTAAAACTTGTGGTTGTGTTTGGTTTTGGCTTGTTTTTACAAAGCAGCACCTTTTACACGTTTTAACAGTAAACAGACCAAACTTGCCTTGTTATGTAGCCTCCAGACCTTTATCTAGCAGAGCACAGAAGTGCGTATGTAACTCCAGCAAGATCACTGACTCAGAAACAGTCAGGAGAAGTAAACTAAACCTATTGTCTGAAAAATACTGAGTAAATCGAGGTTTTGCTTCCAAATAAATGGTTAAGTAAATACCAGATACATTCACCTATCTTTTCTCATATATAGATGGAAATTTATGTCCTCTGAAGCATCTCAGATTTCCATGTGCTCCTAGTAAGGTGGATGCCCTTACTTTAACACCAGTCTTTCAGACTTTCTGATGAAATAAAAGAAGTAGAACAGGAAGATTTGATCTGGAGTTACACATCTCACATTTCTCTCGTCTCTCAACTATTAGACAGGGTCTTCAGTTTATCACAGTCACAGTGGATACTGATAGCTTTATCTAACAAAAGTGGATGATCCCTGCTAGTTGCATGGGGCCTGCTGGGACAAGTATGTGAGGATTGATGTGAGTTGTACATTCCAGTGTTCTGTTTTCAAGTTCTGGCCTTTGGAATTAAATAATTCCTCCCCTCCTGTATCATGATCACTAGTAAAGGAAGGCCTGTTCTTGGCTGGGGTTTCTGGATAATTTAACTTTTGATGCTGTTTAAAATTTAGTTGTGTCCATTTTCTGTTCTGACAGAGTGTAGACCTGGATGACCACCACAAACCTGAGTTTAGAAGAGTTTGTAGTTCTTCCATCATTGAAAATGGGCATCAGTCTTCATCAGGTAGGAACAGGGCAAGAACTGAAGGATTACTTTAAAAAATACCTGATTCTGGCAGTCATAGAGCAGCTTTTGGATGTTGGAATCATTAAAATCTGAAATGGTTTCAGGATGGATTTTGTGCTGCGGCTGTTTATTTCCTTATTAGGAGTCTAACTTTTAATGTTCAACTTCAATGTTAAGCATGCACTGTGTTGTTTCATAAACTGGAGACTATAATCTCAGTGCCCCCCTGATAATAAGATCAGCTATTCTGGGTTCCATTATAGCCTTACATCTCAAAACATCTTGCAAATTACCAATCTATTTAAATCATCCTTCACTGGGGGCATTTGCTTCTGATCTATATTTTAGAGAAAACTGAGGTGCCCAGCATTTTGTGAAACTAGAAAAGAACAAGGATGCTGATTTCTAATCTGCATCACGTGGCTGGGTTGCACAGAGGAAGAGGAGGAGCTTACCAAATGTAGGTGCTAATGAATTAATAATCTGAAAAGGCTGTTTTTGCTGAATGTCATGCAGGACAGGTACCAGGATTGTACTTCAATTTCTGCAGGGTGCTGTAAATGGTATAATGTCTCAGAGGGAGAACTGGATAGAATACTTTGATTGACTTGTAAAACAAAGTTGTTGCATGGAAATTTGTTTGTAATTTTATTACAAGTATTAAGTAGATTTATTTCCTTTCTGCTTTTCTCTTATTCACCAGGTCAGGCAAAAGCCTCCCATGAGCTGACCTCTTCTTATATGTCAGACTCTTCCCCTGAGGCCCATGCTCCTGCAATAACCTTACAGATGCCCCACCTTCCTGTTACTGCAGTAACCAGAACATCAGAGAAGTTTTCAGGAGAAACTGTTCATTCAGCAGGAACAACTAGTGCAACCACTGGCCTGCTTGGACAAAACCAGAGCAAAAATGAGATGGCATTGACAACTTCTAACCAGTCAGGTAAAATACGGGGATAAAAAAAGCAGTATGTTTTCTGAAGCTCTGTTTCATTTCATTACTTCAAGAAACTAGGGACGTGGAGATTGTCCTGTAACCTGGAAGTAATTATGTAACCTTGCTTCTATGGCTTCCCTTTCATAATGGGATGCTCTGATTTGTAATATTGTGGGACCTAGTTGGAGGTTGAATTTATAATGTCACATCTTCTGAGAATTTTTGTTGCCTAATATAATTGAGTTCACAGTGCAACCTAATGTTCTAGTACAGTTACTGAAGAAGTATCTTGAGAAGTTAAGGGAGCATTTGCTAACAGGTTTAAAAATTGTTTGGAGGGAGGAATGACTGACAGCAGACTGACAAGTAGACAAAGTTACTGCAGAATTTTATCTGTAAGTTAAATTTTTTAAAATAAAAAAGCTCATGTCATTTGATTTACAGTCAGATAATTCGTCTTTGGGCTGTATTTCGTGTGTGTTTAGTGTTGGTGATGCTTTATTGATCAGAAACAGTAGAGATAGATCAGATGGAATTGCCAATGAGAAACAGAGTATTTGCAGTTTCATCTTTCAAATTTTATCATATTCAAGCTAAGAATGTAGGAAAGCATTCCTCTGTTGCTTCCCCTCCCTCCCTCCCAATTTCAGTGAGAACAATGACTTCATCTGCCAATGGAGGTGAGTATTCCCACCAGTGTATCCTTATGCAAAGCATTTTGAGAGGGATTCTGTGTTCCATATCTGGGGGATTCAGATCTGAGCATCTAGTTCCATTTAATAGGTACGTGACAGTATTAAAATCGCTAACAAGATTGCTTGCAGATTCAATTTTCTGGGTATCGTGGATCCTTGTTTTAGTTTATTGGGCTCTCCATCAGTTCAAAGCAAGTGGGCACCTATGTATATTTGCATAGTGGAATGCATGTGTAATGTTAGGCATTCTCTACAGTGGAAAACAATAGGTGCCAGAGAAGAAGGTCAGAATGCAGTTTCATTGGTGAATGTCTCAGATAATCGGGAAAAATGTGACTGAATGCAAGCTAATGACAGCTGGAAAGTACTGGGCCCACTCTGGATTTTAAAGCAAATTTATCTGAGCAGAAGAAGAGTAAGTAGTCTGCATGTGTAAATGCGTAAAAGGACAAAATGCCTTTAGGACTTTTTATTCCAGTAGGAATAGACGACTTGAGCTTTATCTAAAACTGCTTCTGATTTATATCACCAAGCTGTTACCATTACACAATGTACTGGCATTTCACAGTGATCTCAAATCGCACTCCTCCCCAGCTTAAAACCTGTGAGATTTGTACAGCTGTTTGGCAGTTGTTTGTGGTTCCAGATTTGCTTCTGTATGCTGGCATTTAATGGAGTGTTATAAATGAGATGTCTAGTTGATCTAAGTCCTTTAATAGGCCAGCAGTTCAGTGCCTTCATAGAGCGATTTGGACAGCAATTAGGTTGAATTGCTTCCAAGATGTCAGTCTTGTCTATGTGAGAAGCCTTCCTTTGTCTATGTGAGAAGCCTTCCATAAATGAAGAAGCCTTGTACAAAACGTTTTGGCTTTAGTTAGTGTTAAATCTGGACAAGTCACTCCATTCTCCACATTTGTGGTGCCTAGACTCTAGTATTGGGCTCTAAGATGGAGAGCACAAAAGATGTAACCTCAAAAGCAAGAAGAGGAAGATGCAAGGTTGATTTTGAGCTACCTTTGGAGTACGTTCTACTTTAAAATTAGAAAAGTTCCTAGTGTAAGTTAAGATTGGGTAATTTAAATTATGCTGTCAACTGTGGTAGACATCCCAAATGTGGTAGACATGCCAAAATGACTGTGGTGAGCTAAGTCATAGCACACTTCTCTCCTTTCAGTGAGATATCCATAGCTTTATGCCCTCCTCTAAGGTCTGCACAAGGGCCTAGAAGGACCCAGTGTTCCCAACGCAATTTCACCAAAGGCATTTTCTCATAGTCTTTTCCGGCCTGTTAACACAATCTTTGCTGTACTGCAACAGTGTTGCTGTGGGAATGAATCCCTGGGGAAAATCTTTCCCCGGTTTTTTAATTTATAATAGGACCTAGACAGAGGCCTGCTACTTCTTACTGCAGTGGGTGAAAAGCCGTGCACGACTGTCTTACCAGGGAATGATTTGAAAAATCATGAGGGAAGGAGAGAAAAATGTTTCAACATTAATACTACTTTTTTTTTTTTTTTTTTTTTTTGTACAGTGAATGCCACGTCTGTCACTAAGCCTGTCTCTACTGCAAGCTATGAAGCAAGTAGTGGAAACAAAACTGGTGAAAGGTAAGCATTTATCTTGATGTTTTGTTAGGCCATTGTGTTCTGTATATTCTTGATGAAGTATCTTGCTGATTTATAGAACAGGTGAGTCCCGGATGCTGTAATTTAAACACATTAAAGTTTGTAAGCCTCCATGAGAGCTTTGTGGAGCAGAGATGAGAAGGAAAGAGGGAAAGAAAACAAAAACCAAAACCAACAATCAACCTTTTGCAGAGCAGTTTAAAGCAGACTTAATTGTGGATTTCACATTTTTTTTAAATGTGCTACTAGCACTATACTACTCTGCGGTGGATTTTTGTTAGGGGAAGAGAGATCTCAGGCATTTTGAAAATACTTTTAAAAATAGTCAGATGTGTCAGTTTCTGCTTTGAACTTATATTTTGAAAACCAGCAAATGACTGCCATCAAACATCCATAGTTTGGCTAGACTAGAGTTTGGTTTGTAGATAAACGCATTGCAGGATACAGAAGACTTCTAGCTGTCTTTTTGGAGAAAAAAAAAAAAAAGTTACATTTTTTTTTTTTTAATTAATACAGTCACAGTTCCTTAGTATAGTGTTATATGGTATGGCAATTACTACAGCCGTAACCAGGCAATCCTGGCATGCAAAATATGCATCAAGAAAAGGGAGAGAACAGCCAATTTAAATCTCTTAAGTTGAGCTTCTTCATGCCTTGAAAATCATACAGATTTTGACATAACATTTCTTCCAAGTTTGTTCCAACATTTGATATACCAAGCACTTTGAAGATCTTGCTGTCAGGAGAATGACCTCCAGATATATCAGAACTTAACAGTAAATTCAGTGTCACACTCTTTGCTTCAGTTTGTGCATCATGGGGAGCACTTTCAAAGCTAAGCCTGGCTTACTTCCTTAATTCTGATGAAGTGGTTTACTGCTCAAATAAACACAAATGAAAATATAATCCTTTATATTAATCATATTTTCAAGTTACAATCGGTGAAACAACACCAATGTGCTAAGGATTCTGTGTACTATAACTAAAATTTTCAAAATTACTTCCTGAATTGCTGTTCAAGTTTATTTTTAAAATGTGAATTAAATCTTCTGGGAAATGAACAGTTGGAAGTTAAAGGGATTCAGTACTTCTGTGTCTCCACAACTTTTGCTTTAATTTATGTGTTTTCTTAAAGGTGTTGCTGTTCTTCTACTCTGGGCTGTAAAGCCTTTGTGGCTTGGCTAACTGTCTCGTGCCTAAAAGTACCTTAGAACTTTCTGTACTTGAGTGCTGTTGTCTATTAATAGAACTTTAACCTTCACTTAAATTACTTTTGACCCATTCACATCCTCTTGAAGTTGCTGTTTTGACAGGCAACCCTGGGCATTTATGCTGAGTGCTGGCACTGCAGAGTGCTACTTTTATTTTTTCTTTAACCACATAGTTTTCCTGTAATTCTTTTCTAGTGCAACTGATAGTTACTGTGGTGTGACACCCAAGCCTCACTCCTCTCCTCCTACTGTACATCGTCAAGTTGAAAGAAGGCGAGAACTGGTACGGTCTCAGACGCTTCCACGAACTACAGGAACACAGACCAGGAAAGCACTTTTTGAGAAATTTGAGCAAGACAGTGGAAAGTATGTCACTCTCTTACATCTCCAGAATGGATTTGTTTATGGGAAACTAATTTGTTAATTGTTGCTAGCAGAGGACAACTTGGTGGGAAGACTCTTACAGTGTAGAATTTTGAGCTCAGGGGGCTGTAAAGTAACGTACAGATTTGCCGACATTGCAAATTGAGCCCTGGAAATTTACAGGTACCGATTTCTATCTTTGAAGTTGTTTAGTTGAAGAAGCTGATGCCTTTTATTAGGAGTGTTGTGAAAGCTGCCTTCTCTTCTTAAAATAAGAAACTGAGGATCTTTTGTTGTCATTTGTTAAGGAAGAAGAACAAGGACTACTCTTTATACATCACGATAAGGGCATGATTTAAACAGAAGAAGACTCAAAATCCTGGCTTCAGTGAAATGAAAATTTTTTTTATTTGTGGAACTGGCATGTTGAAATTTTAGCCATGTGTTTCTCAAATATCATCTGATCAGGGAGTGAATCTGGGCAAGGTTGCATATATGTTGCTGACAAGTAGGTTTAAGTTATTCTAGAATGTAATTTAATCTGGTCTCTGTTAATTTTCCAGAGGAAAAGGACAATCCAGACCTAAACTGAAGAGATCACAGAGTTTTGGGGTTGCCAGCGCTAGCAGCATTAAGCAAATTTTGTTAGACTGGTGTCGCTCAAAAACCATAGGATACAAGGTGAAGACATTAGCACTTCCAGCTCTCTTTTTCAGAAGAACCTGCTCAAAAACTGAATGTAAAACATGCTAAACAGTGAGTTAACTTCCCCCGGTGTCATGGTGTTGTGACATCATGTTGCATGGGCAACACTTCAGGACAGTCATTGCATGAATGAGATTTTTCTATGTCTCTCAAAGCATTGCAGCAGTGTTTGCTCTGAAAGCTGACATTTCCATGGTTACATATGTGGACTTCACTATACACATGTATTTTTCTTAGATGCAGACTGTGATTTTTGCATTCTCATCATGTAAAGTCTGAACAGTATTTTTCCATTACATAGAACCTGTCTCATTTTGGCTACACAAAAGACCAAATTATTCTCTTCTGATTTTAGATAAGTGAATTTTTATTAAATATTTGAGAGAGAATCACAACATGTTAGTGAATTAATTTCTGTAAGGCAACATCACAGTAGATAAGAGAATTCAGTTGCTGAGATCTTCAGTAATTTTTCCTGGCCTTAAGCCATAATTCCCAAAGCAGTTTCAAGGGGGATGAGAAAAATTTTCCAGTTTTGTTTGTGTTTTTTTGTTTTCCCCAGTAATGCATGTTCTTCAGCATTTTGTAAAATGTGCTAAATCACAGTATTTTCCAGCAGAGCTAATGAACGTGACTGTTAGTTGTTAAAGAGGAAAGTTGGATTTCAAATTTTGTATGATGTGAAAGCAACACTAGCAGAGAACCAAAACATACTTTGTTTCATTCTGGCAGTTGAAAGTAACAATAAACATTAGTTCTAAGAAGCAGAGTCTGCAGTAGTAGAAATACTGGAAGAGTTAGGTCTACTCTGTATAATAAAGAAGCAATGAATTAGGCCTTACTGAGCAGCAAGTAAGCAGTTATCCAGTATTATTTATCACAAGGTGAACCATTTTTCAATTATAAATACTTCATAGGCATAAGCAATGTCCTCATTGTACGTCGACACTGAGCTGGTACATTGGGCCTGCTCCAGAGCTCACTGAGTTTCACGAGATTCTTCACAGTATTTTACTAGCTTTTGGGATCAGGGACCTTGAGTGTATGTTTGCTTTGTATCTGGGCATGTCAGGCAAGAGGCACTTTCTTCTCAGAATACAATTAATGTATTGGACATGCACAGAGGGGAAGGAAAACCACAAAGCCTGTGCTCTGTTACTCTAGTCAGTGGGAGAACAGGACAGAAAACTACAGTGAGTGAAAGCAACTGCTCTTCCATGTTCTCCAGCTCTGCATTAATGTGTGTTTTTTTTTCATTGTGACAGCACATTGATCTCCAGAACTTCTCCTCAAGCTGGAATGATGGGATGGCATTCTGTGCTCTTGTACATTCTTTCTTTCCTGAAACTTTTGATTATAATAAGCTTGATCCAGCTAACCGCAAGCAGAACTTTGAGCTGGCTTTCACCATGGCTGAGTGAGTATTGCCTTAAATCTCTCTGAAGTGCTTGCAGTTCCAATCTCATGAAGCTGGACAGCAGTGAAGAGTTTAATCATTCTTTCTGTAGATCCTATATCATTAACTTAAGTGTGTTGTGCTAAAAAGTAAAGCTCTGCATGAAGAATGCATAGAACAGCAACTGAAAATCAAATGTGTTTTTGCCAGACACAGAGTAGCTGACTGGAGTCCCATGTTCAGAACTATCTTTGAGTGGTACTTCAATTCTGCTTTCTCACTTCTGTGATCCTAGAAGCAACTGCTAGAACATGTGACTGCTGCAGCTTCTGTTAGCAGTAGGTTTCACTCACTGCATTTTACCACAGATGATATTGCTAACAAGACTGCTACTGCACAAAGCCATTAGCTTCAAAGGATCTCTGGAGTCCTTAATTCTGTTGCTTCTCATTGTTCCCTGATGCTGTAAGACTGTACTGTAGTTTTGATCTTACATTTGTATGCATTACTGGCTTTTTCAGTATGTTGTATGAGTGTATGTGCAGTCACTGGATTTCAGTTGTGCTCTACATAGATGTAGAAATTCACAGCTTGCACTTGTCACACTTCAAGGTGCCTTATTAACATCTGCTGCAAATGCTTGCCTTCCAATATTTGGTAGTGTGTATTGATAAGAACTTCATTACAATGGGATGCTGCTTTTAAAAGAAAGTAGCCCTGGCAAATATATTTTATAGAGGTTGTTACTGACAGAATATTATTTCTCAGGTCATGTAAATGACTACCTGGAAAGTTCCTAAACCGTACATATTTGCATTCTCTGGGACTTACACAAGACAAAACCCAGAGTGTATATAGCCCAGCCCATTAGAAACACAATATAAACAGAACAGATTGCATGACAGAAGTAATTGTTAACAATCTACTGGATGGCTGTGTGTTGGTAAGCGAGACTTGCATACTTTTATCTTGAATGATCTATGTTTAGCTGTCTGAGTAGTTTCCAGAAAAAGAAAGTTGCAACCTGTAGATTGAAGTACATTTTAGATATTTACTTTCTCTGTTGCGATTTTTACATTGCCAGTGGGTGTGCAGTATGACTTCTGTGTCCTTGCATTTCTTAATTGAGCAGTTTGGTTTCTCTGTTAGCTTCTCTGCGGCCAAGGAATGCTGAGTAGAAGCCATGTTTGGTTTCTACTTACATTGATGTTTGCCTAGGTCTGCAAAAGGTTGTTAACAGGGAGGAAAGTTGTTCAATTATCAGCCTGCCACTTCATTTATCATGTATCTTTATTTTTGTATGGATTTTAGTATCAATGACAGTTAATCTTTCACATAGGCTATCATTAGCAAATTCTACTCATGCAGAATTACAGGGGTTTGCATCTGTGGAAACTGATGCTCAGACAAACTCAGTTCAGCCTAGTGAATGTATTTGAATACTACATACCTGTAATACAAATAAATGCAAATTACTCCTCAGTCTGCAGAAAGATTTATTCTGCATCTCTTTTATGTATTACTTGGGGAAATAATTATTCTGGTGATAACTAGCATCACAATGTTATGTATTTGATGGTTTATTGATCGGGGCACTGCAGTGCTCTCTCCTGATCAGATGAAGTGGAGACTAACTTTTAATTATGGGCAGAACTGATCTGACTGTGTACTCAACTGCAAAGATAGATCCCTCAGGTTCCCACAGATGCTTCTTTTGCAACAGACTGGTGTGTACCAGTTAAGATGGCATTTCTTCTTTCCCTTTCTGAAAGTAACAGGAACAAAGCTTTGGCTTTATCAATGTTGTCAGGACCATGTACACCATTATATGGTATGCATGTAATGGAAATAAGGGTGGTGTAATGGAGAGAAACAGAAAGCGCAGTACTAGTGAAAACCCTGTGTCCTATCTCTTTATTGTTCTGTAACATATTCAAAGTCAAGAGGTCTGAATTGCATTATAAAGTGACTTCTTTCCAGTGTTCAAAAAAGATAAATTGTAAGCATGGGAAACTAATTTATAAAGAATAAGGGAGAGGCAGCCAGTGCTATAGTTTATGTAGAACTTATATTTCTAGAAATGTAAAGAATTCTATTGTGTGGTTCTCTGTTTAGGCAAACAATTGCAGATCTTCAGCATTTCAGTGTAATTGTGCAATTAACATTGCAGTTGCTATACCACAAACATGTCATTTAAATTGGAAAAAATTTAGTTGTAGTTACTTTGTCAGCCTTAGCTAAACTTGAGAAAACAGGCTAATGAGTTAACCTTAGAGGAGTAAAAAGCCAACCACTGTATACTACTTCTCTCTATGTTTGATTTTTTTTTTTTTAATTATTGGGGGAGAAAGTGTTGTTTGTAGGTTTTTTGTTTGTTTTTGTTTTTTTTCATTTTGTTTTTCAAGTAATTAAGAAGTCTTAATGGATTTGTCCATGTCAATCATAAGAAAGGAAACTTGAATTCATAGAGCACAATGCATCCAACTTTTACTGACAGCCCACTGGGACTGGACATTCAACTTGTAGCTTCTTTGCCAATCCCACTTACACAAAACATGATTTGAATCTCAGGCATGTTAATATACGCAATGTCTCCAGGAAAACCTGTGACCCTTAAAGGGGAAAGAGCAAGCAAATTAACTTTTGGAATTGAGTTTTGTGTGAGGGTTCATAAAATCACAAAATGGCTTCAGTTGCAAGGAACCTTAAAGATCATCTAGTTCTACCTCCCCCTGCTCTAAGAAGGAATGCCAGACATTAGATCAGTCTGCTTACAGCCCCACCAACCTGATCTTGAATGCCTCCAGGGAATGGAGCATCCACAACTTCTCTGGACAACCTGTTCCTGTGCCTCACCAACCTCTAACTAAAAAATTTCCTCCTAATATCTTACTTAAATCTCTCTTATTTTAGTTTGAGACCATTCTAACTCCTTCTATTACTATTTGCCCATGTAAAATATTTGGGTGTTTTGTTTTTTTTTTTATAAGCCCCCTTTAAGTACCAGAAGGTTGCAATGTGATCTCCTCAGAGCCTTCTCCAGGCTAAACAACCTCAACTCCATCAACTTTTCTTCATAGGTGAGGTGCTTTAGCTCTCTGATAATCTTGGTGGCCTCCTCTGGATCCCCTCCAACAGCTCCATATATTTCTTGCGGTGGGAGCCTTAAGCTTGAACATGGTGCCTCACAAGGGCAGAGTAGAAGGGGACAATTGCCTCCTTTACACTGCTGGCTGCTACTTTTTTTTTGAGGCATTCAGGATGTAGTTGACCTTCTGAGCTGCAAATGCACACTGCAGGCTCATGTTGAGCTTTTCATCCATCAGAACCTCCAAGTCCTTCTCTTCATGGCTGCTCTTAATGAGCTGTTCTCCCAGTCTGTACTCATGTCTGGGATTGTCCCAGAGAAAGTGCAGCACTTTGCATTTGGAATTGTTCAACCTCATTTAGTTCACATGGGCCCACGTCTCAAGCTTGTCCAGGTCCTTCTGGATGGCATTCTTTCCTTCTGTTGCATCAACTGCTTTGCAGAAGTTGAGGTAGATGACATCAGTTGCTCTTCCCTTGTCCCTATTCTAGCACCTGGCAAATTATTTATGTAATTTGTGAATCACAGTTTTTTACACAAATAAGCATACACAAATTTTCTTACACATCAGTGAGTTAAAATGACACTACAGCATTTTCAGATGGTTATTCTCTGAACTTAAAATGTATACAACTCTCAAAATTGAAGTGTGCTTTTACCTCAATTTCAATCTAGCGATAAGTAGAAGGAAAAGTCAAGAACTTGAGCATGCACACAAAGAGAGACATTGGGTAAGAAATATCTACAGAAATTACTTCTCCTTAGCTGTGATGGCGTCTAAACTGTTCTCTTATTGCCAAAAAAGGCTCTCAATTATTGCTGTTAGCCATAATGTGAGCTCAACAGCTCAAATGCTTACTGTCCTTGTGATTTTTAATCCTAGGCTTGAGCAGATCTTTCTTTTTCTTCACAATGCTCCAGATCTCAGGCTTATGCTCTCCAACATGATGGTCATCTTGGACAACAATCCGAGTTGCTCATGTAAGGACAGGGGAAAGCAAACAAGAAGAACCTATGGCCACTTTGGCTTTTAATGAGCACATCTGATCTCATGTTTTCCTATTCTTTGGAAGTTTTCTGTTTAATAAGTAGAAAAACCTCATAGTTTGCACACTCATTTTGCCCTGTTTACTAAGTCTTGGGCACAGGAATGAGATTATATTACGTGCCACAGAAACATAGGACAGTGAAAAAGGCTATACAAGATTGGGTCAGATCACAGTATAGAGGAAAAGAGGGGAAGAACAAGTATTTTCCATGATCGCTAAAATAACAGACTCCAATATTACCTCAGCCTGACCATTTCACTGTTCCTGATAAATCTCAGGATTTCTTATATCCCTCAGTGATGCTCAACTCAGAGCAGCAAAGAATCTTGGAAGTAGTTACAGGCTTTGGCTTTAACTCTTGATTTGCTGAATCTGTTTTATTATTACTACAGGAAAATGGCTCACTGTGATCGTCTGATAGAAGTGGATGACATGATGATGATGGGCCACAAGCCAGACCCCATGTGTGTCTTCACTTATGTCCAATCTCTGTATAATCATCTACGACGCTTTGAGTAAAACCATCACCACCCATCCAGCCAGAATGATCAAGTATATTATGCTAATGGGAAGACTGACATTTTGCAAATAGAACACTGTTAGTTCTTGCAAGCATGTGGACAGTGAAAAGCATTCAATTGTATTTGCTGACTGAAGTGTTGCTGAGCAGTGCCTATGTACTTTTGGTGCTAATAGTAGGTTTAATTTTTAATATTCTTTCAAAGGTTACAGGAAGCTAAATCTCAGCTCCTGTCTCTGTTAGAATTACAGAATGGCTTGGGTTGGAAGGGACCTTAAAGATCATCTAGTTCTAATCCCACCGCTATGGGCAGGGTTGCCACTCGCTAGATCACGTCGCTCAAAGCTCCAGCCACCCTGGCCTTGGATACTTCTGGGAATGGGGCATCCAAAACTTATCTGGGAAACCAGTTCCAGTACCTCGCTGTCTTCATGGTAAATAATTTCTGCCTAATATCTAATCCAAATCTCTACCCTCTTTTGGTAGGGTAACTCCTTGTCCTGTTGCTACATTACTGGGCTAGAAACAGTTTTATACGCTGACAAGTAATTCTGCTATGAAGATGTTCCCTCCTAAAAATACAGGTAAAACTCTAGGAGGCAGCTACTTCACTTCCACTTCTTTGCTCAGTATACCACAGAAGTAATAGACAGACAAGAAAAATCCTCTTTAGCAAATTTAGCAATATTACCCCTCCACCATCTCCATCCCACTTCAGCGAACGTGTGCATGCACACATGCACATGTGAAATAGGCACTATTCGAAGCTCTGGAGAGCGGAGGTCCAGCGTGGACAGGAATGAAGCCTTTACAGCTTGTTCAGTCCCCATGTTCTCTAATGTGGCCAGGCAGTGTTCCAAAAAAAAGTGTGAAATACGTGGGAACTCTAAAATGCTTTGGGCTAGTATCTGGTTTCAATTAAATTAATGTTAAATCAACAGTGTCTCCATTAACTAGCGTGGGTTTGCGCCAGAATTGCTAGACATAAAGTTCATGTTTTATCTTTTCTGATTTTCTGTTTGCTAAATCAACACAGCTTTGTTTTCCCATTGAACACTGTAAACAAAAACACTAAATAAGCATATATATTTTTTTTTTCTAGGGCCTTTTAATGTATTTCTATTCTAAGAATAGTCTATATAAAGTAAAAACAGCCAGCCACAAGCCCTCAACTCATGCTAGAGAATGGGTTTTTAACCTGCATTTATTTATGCTCTTTGTAGATAGTTACAAAGATGACTTTGGCTCTGTGTTGATGACTGTTTATAATACAACATATCAAATGTTCTTTAGAATTACTGCTTCTTTATAGAAGGATTTTATTTTATCCTTCCTTTCCAGTGAAGTTTACTTAAGAAACCATGAATGAAGCAACCGCTTTATCAGACAAAGTCTGAAAAGAAAAAACCATGTAAAGGTAGAGTATAAGCTAACTGCTGAAGAGCTGGATCACCAAAAGCTGTTCGCAATGTGCCTAGCCTGTTTCTACAACACGCTGGAAACAGCTTGAAAGCATGTTTTAAATGTGCATCTTAGTATGTTTCTGAAAGATATGTGATTAAACTAGTAGTAATCCCAGGCACTGCTCATACAGGTTTAGTGCAAGTGGACAGAGGACAGGCAAGGTGTTTGTAATGTGTCTGCCATTGTCTTTGGTTCCTAACTTTCTTGAATGATCATAGTTCTGATGAATAAATTGTTCCAACAAACACTCTGTAAAGATGAACAAACTGTAGTTGTGTTTTGGAGAAATGATCAAATTAGGCACAATGAGAAATGAGTCTGCAGTAGGTATGTGATGTGCATATTTCCATTCTTATAGCAGAATATTTTTCATTGACTAGCAGAGCCAAGTTCCACTGCAGCTATATTACTGGCAGCAGCAGCTTTATACATTATATTTGTACACAGTCTCAGGTCATGAATGATTGTCCTGTGTGATTTGAGTGCTGAGGACATGGTTAAGTGCTTGGCCAATTTTGGTCTAGTAACAAATAATTATAAAAAAGGAAATTCCAGGCATAAGTAGTTTTGCCAATTCATTAAGGGGAATTAAGGTTTTTGCTACAGTTTAGCTTGTTCACATTTACCCAAAAGCTATTTGTGCAGTTTCCAAAATTTCTCCCATTTTAAAGAGATGATCATAAAGGTATCTTGCCAGCTGGGGAGTAGAAGACAGGTTTTAACTCCTGATGGTTTGTATATAAGGTCATGATAGATATGGTATTATCGCATAGTTATAGAAAAGTACAGTGCACTAAAATGCATTAGAGAATGCCTGATCTATAATATATAGCCTGGATGAGATTGTATGATTAAATTTAATAATGTATGTAAAGTATGCCCCTGATGTCTTTTTAGTGTTTCTAGTTAAAAGTAATACAGTGTGTATGAATATGATGGTAAATGTATTTAACATGAATGACAAAGGAACAATATATTAAGTCAGCATATTGTATTTTACACAGATGGAGTGTCTTGGATTTTTTTTTTTACAGTTTCTGCACTGTATCCAATATTCAGTACTATCTCAGTTTATTGGCATCTTTATCCTACTTCTAAAGGCTGGATCAATTTTTTTTTTATGTCAGATTTTCAAAATACTCCTAGCAGAGCCATTACCTACTGTTTAGGTGATTATATTTTTCCTTGTTAAAACTTTCAAAACCCTCACACTTTCAGCCTTTAAACACATTTTGTTCTCTTTAGTCAGTGTTGTTGTTTACAAGCCATTTCTGAGCAGTTTTGCCTTAGAACATAGCACTGAAATAAACTACATGCTGGAGGATTAACCTACAAAAGCTGTGAGTAATTCTGTTCTTAAAAAGCAATGCAAGTGACTCTATCTTATTGTACTAGCCATATATGAAATTAACAACAAAGAGAAAAGGATAGCTGTTAAAGATGCCCACTGAAATCTAAGCAGTGCAAGCATTTTCTTAGGCCATAGTTCACTGCCACTGTCTATTTGATTTTCACTTTTGAAAAAGTATCTCCATAGGTGACTTTCAAGTAACCAAATCTATTGACCCATCCTGAAGGCACTGCATCTGCTACAAATAGATATTATTACAGTAAGATTAAAATGGTAGCCCAAGCAAGTCCAAGGGATCTATCCCAAACCTGTCACTGGCAGAGGTTTCCGATTTGTTGAGAGTCTACAGCATCTCTGCTTCCAAAAATCCTGGCTTCTAACAAGGACTTGTAGACATAAATGGTGAATGCCATTAAATCAGTACTCATAAGACAAATAATGATAGAAGTGGAGGAAATATTCTATGAACATGGAAGATTCTTGTTTTATTGAGCAAAGCAGCAAGAAAGTTCTGATTAGCCTACACGTTCTGGACTGAGGGAGGAAATACAGGTAAAATTCCAGTTCTACTTTATCTGCATTCTGGCTTTGATGCTCTCCAATGGAGCACTGTCATGAGTGCTGACTGTAGTAGCAGTACCAAATACACTGCTGGGATCATCACCTGATCAAGCATGGATGGAAGTAGGCAAGAGATTGGGACAGGGCCCTAGGAAAGAATATTCCATGAACTTAAGCTTTTTAGGGAAAAAAAAAAAAAAAAAAAAAAAAAAACCCACAACAAAACAACATTCACTTTTAGAGCTATTCCTCACCTCTGGTTTGTTAGTGTTACCGCAGTGTTTGCCAATGATGAAACATTAATAATGCTTTTATGGAGGGAAATCGAACACTCAAGCTAAAGGCTTAGCTGGTTTTTAAAAGTATACTTAAGCTGCCATTCCAACTGCTGATTTTGTCTCAATACACACTGTTAAAGAAGTTATCACAGAACAATCCAATGGCCTGGTTTGAACCTTATGAACAGGAACTGTCAGGCCCCATTATATTCTACGTAAACCTATAGAAGATTATGTCATTTCAAATTTGTTCATGATTCAAAAAAAGCTTAAAAAGGACAAAAATCAGGCTGCATCCTGTAATTCCATCAAAGAAAGTGCCTTCTTATGTCCACGAACACGTTACATAGAGACAGTGTCCTGGCCTGGTCTGGTGCCGCGGAGCCGGGGTGCACGGTTTCCGGGAAATCCCGTGACCTCGCGCCCGTTCCACGCCCTTCCCGCTGCGAGAGATTGGCAAGTACCGGGGAACGAGCGCGGCCGGTGCGCCACAGAGCCGCGCGGACCGCCAGAGGCCACCACAACCCTAACTGCGGCCGCAGCAGCGCACGCATACAAGCCTGAAACCGCGACCGTTGGTAAGAAGCGCGTTGGGGGACGGGCCAGGCTGTGGAGACAAACCGATTGGCCACGGCAAGTCAAGTGGCGCCTGTGATTGGCTGGCGGATGTTTCGGTGAGTGGAGGCGTTGCGCTACCAGCGGGAGAGGTTGGTTTGTGCGGAGCGGGCAGGTGCGGCGGGCAGGGGCGAGCTTTGTGTTCTCCTTTGAGGAGTGATGGGGCTATTCCGGAATTAACAAACCACTCTAATTTCTTTATAAATTATCGCAGAGTTGATTTTACCGATCGTTTGATGAACAGCACGCTCAGGAAATCTACTATGACTTAAGCCCTGAAAACCACCTGAGGTAAAAATAAAATTTTCTTCTGTTTTAGAATTTGTATTAAGGGACAAGTTGTACATGGAGTGTTAATTTAGACTTTAGCATCTAATGTAGTGTTTTTCTGTCTCCTCCATTTCTTCTCTCAGGCTCCTAGTCTTTTGTCCCAGGTAGGTCAAGAACACAGTTCCCATGAAAATGGAGTAGATAAAGAATACTGCTTAAAAAATACTGTAAAACTGAAACTTCAGATAGGTGCACAGCACACCTTTTATTTGATTTCAGATTTTTAAAATGCATTTCTGCAATATATCCATTAAAAATTACTGTGGAAACCATTTCAATTAACATACAATAAGTTTTTATTTCTAGACAGACCTTATCTGTCAGTGAGTGAAAGGAAGTACTCCTGTACTTCCACCTGATATAGCAAAAGCTGGTTGGTTTGCTAGAAGCCATGTTGCATAGCAACCACTTTGTTGACCTCCCGTGTCGTTCAGAGCCCCCTCCTGGAATATTTGTCTCACATTTAAAAATGCACTGTGGTGCTGCTCTGGAGATAGAGACTGCACAACAGTTGGGAGTAAATCCCACAGTGAAGGGAAGCAGAAGATGGGGCTTTTAGCTGGGCTCTGACCTTGGGAATAAGCAGTGTGAAGCAGTATCAGTTAAGGGGAGAAAGAGATGTTTTAAGGATGCCTGTACTAGAGCAGGGACAACCTGTGTGTTGCAGAGGAACTGCTGTGTTTATCTGGGGAGAGAAGTTATTTCAGAAACACTGGAGAAACACAGTGCTCTAAAAGAAAAACTGATATTGAACCAAAATGCTATGACTGTGTTTTGGGGACACTGGTTTTAACTGCCTTAGAAGTGTCCCTTTGTTCTTTGTTCTTGTTTAGCCCTCCCTAGACTTCTCAATTTACTTTTATCTGGTGTACTTTCTCCTTCAGTTTTCCAGGTCTTGTTGTCTCATATTTTTCCAGTGACTGTGCTGCTGCTGCTGGTGTTTTTCTTTACAGTCTACCACAACTTGCAGGACACTCTTTAACTCTTACATTTGTTAACTTTTTTTTGTTGTTTTTTTTGTTTTTTTTTTCTCCAATTTGCTATGATTGTTTTTCTCTTCTTCTAACTTCCATTTCCAAATTCTCATTTCTTCATGCTTTTTTGAAGGTTAAAGGGACAAGAATTTTTTTTACCTTCCTGGACCCATCCTTATATATTTTTGCTTCTGCAGCCAAATATAATCCTCTTCCTGTTTTCAGGCTCCACATTCCAAAAATTCACCTGTGTTACATGCAGAACCTTTCAAAAACCAATGGCCAGAATGCTACAAGCTCCACCCAAGTTGCATTCTTCAGAATGGCACGTTGCAAACAAGATGCAGTGTGCCAGTACAGAGTCTCAGAAATCCAGTTCAGAGCGCTTAGTAGCTGAGAGTCGAAGACTGGTGGATGAAATAGAAAAGACAACTCAGAAAACCCAAAGCAGTGTCAACAAGAAAATAGGTAATCCCATGTATACTTTTCAAGTGTCATTTGAGCTAGGTGTTTAAGAGGGACTTAGAAAATTACATGATTGTGAGTAAGAATATATGTCAAGGGCATGTTATCTGATCTCGTGGAGAAGTCAAGATATCATCCAAAAATATTTTCAAGTGGATTCTTTATTTTGTTTGAAATTATGTCTCCATACATCAGGTCCAGCATGAAATTCACGCAATAATGAAGTCATTCTATTTCTAGCCGTATCTAAGATATGACCAACAATGCTCTGGCTTTTATTAACAGTTGTTTGAAATTTTCATTCTGCAGAACAGAGACTGGAAGAAATAAAGTTCTGGAAGCAAGAATTAGATAACAAACTTGAACAACTTGTTAATGAGACAGAGGTACTGTTTACTTTCAAGATCAGGCTGGAGAAAGCCTTGGAGAGCTGCAAAGAGCCACTTGTAATTTCCCAGAAGTGTCTCCTGAACAGGTGAGATTAAGAGGAAAAACATTCACGCAGAGAAGAAAATCTATGTAACAGACCTTTAACAAATACAACAGTGGCAAACTAAGGGCCTGCTTGTGCAGCAGAATCACTGTCTGGTTTGTGTTATAACATTAGAGGGCCAAGCCCATAAAGGCAAGGAGAAGCTTTGGATATAGAATGCTGGGCTTCACCACTGTCTGTTAGCTATAGGCGTTTTAGTAATGTGACTGATGCTTTTCTCTTTTTATTTAGGCAGAGACGAGCTGGGACTGACTTGGTGCATGATGAAGTGGAACAGGAACTGGTCAAGGAAGCTGGAGTTCTGCAGGGGGTTATTGCTTTGCTTGAACGTACATTAGAACAAACGAATGAGCAAATCAGGTGCAGAGACAAAGAGCATAACAAATATGGGTTAGCTGAAAAGCAGGGCTGTCATAATCTTGAAAAGTTATGTCAGGCTGAATGCGGGGCCAAGATTACCTTCAGTGCTACACAGTTATAGAAGTCCTGTTCTAATCCATAACATTTGATAATTAATTGTAAGAAGTTCTGTTAGAACTGAAAGTACTGCCACATGATCTACAACCTTCTCAGCCAATCCTGTGGCTTTAATTCCAATTGAAATTATACCACTGATTTATACTCTAGGTCTTGGGACGTTGCAAATAACAGTTTGTGAATGAGGAATTTTGAGCAGCATTTGCGTTGCCTGGTGTACCATTTCTCACATGCATATTAGGGAGATCTATAAGTGCTTAGACTTTGGCTTAGAGTGCGATCATTTCTTCCTCTAGACTAAACCGTTCCACAAAATACAACCTGGAAATGGATGTGAAAGACAAGTTCACAGCTTTGATGATTGACAATTACTGTGCTAGCTTGACAAACAACACTCCTGATGTCAGATACACTGATAAAACAGTGGAAATAGAAGGAAAGTAAGTGGTTGTTTAACTTGATGGATATACGTTAATTATATCAATTATAGGATGAACTACTGCAGCAGCAGCAAAATTAAAGTAGCTGTGTGTAAGACAATTCATCATTGTTCTGTTGTACTTGTGTAATTTTTTTTATACTTCTGTCCATCACTTTAGTATCTGTGTAATACATTGTTGAAATGAGCCACGATAATCATGTTTCCAGTGAATTGCTGTTCACTGGAAGTTTTTGAGTCTCACAGATAGCTATAGTAAATTTCTCACATGGGTTAAACCCAGAATAGATTCCTCTAACTTCCTCTCCTCTCCCAGGGTGTCCAAGCAGGTCAAATGCTGGACTGAGGCAGATGAGGTATGTGAGGTTAATTCATCTGTCCAGTGTGCAGATTTTGTGTGAATTAGTGGTTTCGATGAAGAAATACCTACCACAAAAGAACAGACTGGCAAGAAGAAACAGGCTAAGTAACGAGCTGACTTGCTTGGAATACAAGGGACTGCCAGCTCTTACCACTAGCCCATGTTAGTGTCCATCAACAGGTTGTTTAACTCAGACCATACCCAGAACAGCGCTTGCTGCTATGTACGAATGATTATTGAAATGAAACAAAGAAATCTCTGAGGGACTTCCCAGAGACCTGCCTACCAGCTACTAGTGCACAGATACTACTCTCCCCTTCTGAGGATGGGCTTCCCAACTATTGCTGGAAGTGACTATGTAAGCATGTAGGGGTGTCCTGTGTGCACAATTAACGTGTGCATAGTAAGTTGGTGTTAATAATACTAGCTGAATTGTATTACTTGTAACACCTTCATTGATGAAAGATGTTCCAAGAAATACTGGTTATTATATGTGTCTGCCTATTTGTCCATATCTTTCCTTCCTATCTGTCCATATCTTTTCTCCCTTTTCCTGCTACAACTCAGTCTCTTATCAGGAAAGGAAAATAATAACAAAGTTGTTTTGAGATTGTAGCAAAATGATTTTTTTTTTTCCTTTTACACTCGTGCTTGGTTTGTGGAGTAATTATAGATTTATGAAATAGTGGATGCTGCCAGCTGATGACCTTTTATTTTGAATCTCTTTCAGTTTTGTTAGCCCTGAAGACTGGTTATATTTCTCAAACATAAATGTTGAAAAGGCTGACAAGCAGAGAAACAATTCAGTGGCGCTAAGGGTGCTGATTGACAGCATCCTCTCCCAGGCAGTGAATGACATGTGCAAGCAATATGAGATGGTGAATATCGCATTTAGAAATAGAGTGGAGGAAGTCAGAGATGCCAAGCACAAGCTGGAGACACTCCTTGCAGTGGTAAGTTGTAGGAGATCATCAGTGAAAAGATGTAAACAGCAAGCTTTGGTTATCAACCAGTTGGCTCAGTCCAGTGTATTGAGGTGTCTTGAGCTACTGTGGTTAAGAATTTTACCTTTGCAATACTGGCAACAGCTGCAACACAAGCTTGCCTCAGTTTCCTTTAACAGTCATCTTAGATTTCATTTACTTATCCAAATGTGCACTGCTATAAAGGTGTATTCCTCAAATCAGTCAATTGATTGAAGTATTCTAGTAGATTTCTCTGAAGCCAGGATTTCCCTTGTGATTTTTAGATACGTGGGGCTGCTAAGGGTTTTTTGCGATTGTGCTGTAAGAGCTTAATGGCTTATAAAATCAGGGCCAGTGTGATTGAAGTTCGATGTATGAAAACTGTGCTTGAGTTCTAAAAGTTAACCACTGAACTTAAAGTGATGTTGGCGCCTCTCCAGTCATAATCCTGGACAACCTTTGTGAAAATCTGTTGATAAAATAACACCTTAACATAATGAGTGTTACTGTAATTACTGTTACTATAGCTATTAAACAAGATGTTGAGGATTTTGCTGATTGCAGGAGAAAGTGTGCTGTGCTTTCTTCTGTTGGATTTGTTAAGGTGATGAAGGAGGCTGCCTCGCAGGAGATGAACATTGTAGCCTTAAAGAAAGCAATTGCTGATAAAGAAGGACCTGTTAAAGTGGCTCAAACCCGCTTGGAGGCAAGAAATCATCGCCCTGGAGTGGAATTATGTTATGACACAGTGCAATATAGGTTGACCGGTGAAGTTCAAGAGATTACAAACAACATTCAAAGGCAAGTGGGAATGACTAAAGAGTGGGGAAATCTGTGGTACAGATTATTTGGTTAAATAAATAGTCCAAGTAACATTGGGTCCCAGCTGTTCTCCATGAAATTTTGAGACATGCTTTTTCCTTAAGGGTAGCACACTTTAAAGCATACTGCATGGATATTGTCTGATTGTGAATCCCCGTCCTTGTTTTTTCACTTCGAATTACTTTTGTGTATGACAAAATATCTATGTATTCTTAACTAACTTCTGGCTGTATTTTCCCTGTTAGGTTAAAGGACACACTGGCACTGGCTGAAACAGAGCTGAAAGGTCTGAGACGTCGGCAGCTTTCCCTGGAGGAGGAGATCCAGATCAAGGCAGATACATTATACATTGATGAAGTGCTCTGCAAGCCAATGAGAGAGTCTGTTTGCATTAACAACTTTTAAAGCCATATTACTGGACAGTTCATGCTGAGATTTTTATTGACAAACTCTAAATTTATTGATTTGAATTAATGCTGTCCTCATTCTAGATGTGTGAGGCAATTAAAACAGACAGTACTTACAGCCAGGACTGTGCTCTTGAATGTCTGATGAAATCTCCCACTGGGCAGTAAAGTTCCAGAATAAGAGGGAATGTGGGAATGTGCTTTCCATGTTATCTCAGGTACAAGCAATGATATTTTTTGCCATTGAGAGGTGTAGAAGTTGTGGAAGCTAGAGCAGTTCTCTCACAAGACACTGGTAAGCTGGTCAAGTGGGAGTGTTGACTGCCAAGATTAGCTGCAGTATGTTTTTTTTCTTCTTAACATCTGCTGTTAAGAACTGGGCAGAGAGTGTGTTATTAAACTCAACAGGAACTAGGGAATGATGATGCGGTGGAATGGAGTACCTGACTGCATCTGAATCAAGATGAAGCCAAGGCTGATTTTGGGCTAATCGTTTCCTTACTCCATGTCTCAGTTTTCCTATTTGTAAAATGGGAACAAACAGATGGGCCTCACTGGTAAGCTGTTTGAAACTCTACAAGGGGAAGTGCTGAATGAAGAAGAGGGTCTTATTTTTACTAGAGGTGCCAACGAAGGCTGAGGAAAAAGCTCACTGCTGCTTCTGGTTCTGGTGAGGGAAAACAAAAAAATGGCAAGAATAAGTGATACTGGAGACATAAGAGGCTGGTTGCCAAGTCCAACACTTTAATCCAGGGCATAGTAAAATTGTCCTTTGCATACGATGGTATCTCCCTTTCAGAGGGATGCTGACAAGATTCAGTTCTCCTATTAATGCCCTCCAAAGGATTTGTTCATCATTTGCAGATGTAACTCCTTGTGGCTTTACTCCAGTGGATAGATGATGACAAAATAGTTAAGCTCTGAGTCAATCAGATTTTTAAACTTCTTGTAAATATTGTGCAACAGCTGCTTCTCTTCACTGGTCTCCTGTCGGGATGTGTAAATCCTGACCTGTGAGCATGAATGGTGGTCATGTCTCTCAGATATGTGCAGCAGTCTCAGCCCATTAAAGCTTGTGGCAAAAGAAAGCCTTTGTTGCTACTGAAGAATATGGAGAAGCCAAATTCTTAGAATACAATCCTAAAATTTACTTACAGTTTTCACTCTGAACTGAGTGAAAATTACTACTCATCTTCTGCCAAAGAATTTTTGGGAAGAGGAAAGTTCCTTTTACCCTCAAGATTGACACATTCTTGGAATATGCATGGCTCTGGATCTAATACATTTACAGTTCAGCAAGCAAAATAGTATGACAGTATGGTTTACACCAGCTGCATTTGTGGAGTGGCCACATACAATACAACATCCCTTTTTGGTGAGATGTGTTTGTATCTTTTGTTTAATGAGATTCAACTGTCATGCTTCAATTTAAGCATAGATATGAGTACCAGGACTGAGTGGAACAGACAATCCCTAGCTCAATATAGGAGGTGACATAGGGAACCCATGGACTAGCAGAGATTTGTGGAATGGTTGGTGCTGGTTATTAAATTTACATAGTATTCTGTAATATTCCTTCTTATGGATTAGTAGGTTGGAAAGACCCATTTCTAAGTGGTTCTCAGGATTCTTAAAATGCTAAAACATTATATAGGGAAGGTAGTTATGCTAACATTTCCTTCTCTAACCTTACGGTGGGATTATAGGGACCTCAGCATTTCTCTGGATATGGAAGAGAGGAAGGTAGATAATGGGAGTTTTGAAGCATCGAGTCTTACCTTTATTGTAGTCAAAAAGCATTTCCTTTCTGCACGATTCTGTAGCAACCTCTCCACAAAAGTAACACTAAGAAATGCCCAGACTTTCAGAAAAAACAATCTCCTGCATGATAAGATAAGCTGTAGCAGCTCATCATCCAGCAGCTCATTGTCATTGTTTACTTCAAGGGTTAATTTCTTCAAAAAGAAAGAACGCAGTCAGTTCTATGAAACAAGGCTTGCACTAGCTAAACTTCAAAGTGTTTCCCAATTTTACCAACAGAAGTGATTGACAGCAGATCAGCTGTCTACTTTGACATTAGCAGAGAACCTTTTTTTTGTTACGACAAAAATATATGCAGTGGTAATTTCCATTCTCCCGTAACGATGAGCTTCCCATGTACGTTATATACCATCCTAAGAGATAGACAACTTCCAGTGGGTGCTATACCCACAACTCATGCCATGGTACTATTTTGCATACCAGAAGTAATTCAAGATTAAAAGTACATCTAAAAACAATTTCTAGAAAGCTTTACCGATCTGTGGTGTCTATTGCAAACTCTGCAATGCATTAGGCCTTAAAGAAATCTGTCAGTAACCATCAGTTATAAGGCCACGTGCTTCTCTCAGGCATACACAGACTTGATGCTCATTTATATGGGTCAGGTGTTGAATGCCTTTCATGATACATCCTTGGTGATACCAAAATGCTTTGACTGAAAAGCTTTCCTACAAAAATAACGCTTTCCTGCCTGAAGGTTCCTTTTGCTCACAGCTGGCTTTACAACCACCAGTATTTTTTGAGTGTTTTAGCATCTTGTGCTAAACACTTTCATCATGCTAAAACATGCTTGGCAACCTGACATAAGTGACATTTGTGAAGAACAGTATAACGGACATTGTAACAAGAACAATCACTTGAAAGGGACTGTATAGCTGGTACACTGGAATGGCTAACTCCTAGGGTTATGTAGAATGCCTATACAATTACTTTGCTTAGCTTTGTGCAGCGAGTTGTCGTGACTGCTTGCCTTACCTGCAGCGCATGCCAGTAGGCTGGGAGGATGTTGGTGAGAGTAGGTCTCATCATCCAGTCTGGGTTTCTGAAATAGCAGCTCCGTAAACTGATGCTCCTAACTGGTATCTCCACTAGCAGGATCCTGGCTAGATGGTCATGTTTCATGACTCTTTCAAAATAGAAGTTCACATTCAATTTTGAGGCTCTTTTGGCCAAGTTGGCCCATGACATTCCCTGGACCACTTGCCCATGGGGGTCATGGATATGACATTTGATATTCAAGGTGCACAGGGAATGAGCACTGTTCTTACAGAGATTGTCCAGCAGTTCATCAGAAACACAGTTATAATTGAAAGTCAGGATAACCAGGCTGTGGAACTTGGACACAGTATGGTGGAACAAGGTGCTGCTGTAGACAGGAAGATGGAGACTGAAGAAATCTTCAATGTTTATTTCAGATATAAAGCTTTTATTAGTCAGGTAGCTCAGAGAATTCAGAAGCTCACAGCCTTCTTCCAAGGTTACTCTTGCTCCTTTTAAGTTGAGATAATTAAGCTGTTTGCTCATTCTTTTCAGAAAGGTACCTAAGTTCTTGATAAACTGAGCCCTGACTATGTTTTTCCAGACCAAGCGATCTAATTCCAGGTGCTTGATGCTCAAGGATAGCAGGCGACAGTTACATTTACCCAACTGTGAGAAAAGGCTTCTCATAGACACTTGAAATTTTCGGGTAAAGACAGTACTGTAAGGTTGCAATAGCTTGATTTCGAGGTGTTCCAAATATTTGCCAAATTTCTTGACGTACCATAGTGCAGTTTCATATTCAAATGCATGTGCCCTTGATGGTTGGCCATTGAATGTGATGGTTCTGGTTCTCCAGAGGGATCCTGAGTACATGGCTTGATTCCATTTTTTACAGACCAATGCAGCTTGAGATCTGTCCTTGTCATCTAACCAATAGAAGACATGCCTCAGACAGACATCAGGTAAATTAGCCCAGGAGCTCTGCTTAAGGTCACTGTCATCCTCCATTGGGTAAACACTTCTTGACAACTCTTCTGAGTGCAGAACAAAACCTAGACGAATCAGTTTGCTAGCTAAATGGCTTGTAATCCCCACAGGATATGCCTTTAAAGCAAATAGCTAAAAGTTGCCTTTTTTACATCCAATAGCGATAGTCCTTTTTCTGCCTCTGTACTCAAGTTGTCAGGATCCAAGTTCTTATGTCTAAACTATGGTCTAACCTAAATCAAAAGAGAAAAACCAACAATGAATAAAAAACAACCACAGTAAGATAAGAGCACAGGACATCAATGAACATTTTGGCTTTTAGTCTGGCTAAACAAGGAAACAGTATGATAATAGAGCAGTTGCTGCAATTGATAATGGCCTGGGGCCTTGTATGGGAACTGCTGAATCACGGCCTGAACCTCTGATTGATCACCTGAGGCAAGCAATGAGTCAGCCCTGGGAGCACAGGTGAAGGCAATTCACCTGTGCTGCTGGAAGGGGGTGGAGCCTGGCTGCACTTCCCCTAGACCTATTTAAGAGCTGACTACCAGTGGGGAAGGATCTCTTTCTGGAAATCCCTCCTTTGGAATTTTACAGCCTGGGACACAGGTAAGCACTCTATCTGTTCTCTTTTGGTGTAATAACCTGCTTAGTCAAAGTCTCCGATATATTTCATAATTATAACATCTGTATATTCATTGATTATACAGGCCTGATACCTAGCATTCTGGGCTGTACAGAGATGAACAGTGATCTGTGCAAAAGCAATGCAAATGACCATTCTTAGATCTTCAGAGTACTTGTCAAGAAAACCTGAGGTAGTACCCTGCTGTAGATGGAGGTACAATCCCTGTTGAGAGTAATGAGCACTATAAGCTGTTCTGTCGCTTTGCAAGATGTTCAGCCATTTTCCTCCAGTGGATAGGAAGGAGAGTGAACAGGAGATCGGGTGTAACAGTAAAACACAGAAGAAAGTAACCACATTGCAAGAAATTACCAGTTCAACTCTCAAGGCTAGGCTCTTAGTATTCAGCTGCCTGAGCACCTTTCTAGATTTGATAGTTTCCCACCTGTGTTCATGATTTACTTTCTCTACCTCCTCCTGCCCCTTCCTCTCCCAAGTTCAGTCATTGCTATGAAACAAAGAGGTATTCTTTGTGATGTCACAACTGAATTTATGCTAGGGCAAACAAAACTGACTTGAACCAAGTTATTTGGGCTGAGGTGAAGGCACTGGAAAAGAAAGATTTGCTTGGTCATCTCAGGAACAGAAAAATACAAGCCGTAATCTACAGATATAGGTGGAAGCTATATGTTTGTTATTAGCACTTTTCACCACCTGGATAAATTGGATCAAGCAACTGACCAGTAAACATCCAAATAGGGAAACAGTGCATTCCTATTTCTTCACTTATGATTTGCAAACTTCAGCTGTGAAATGCAAATTACCTTCCATGTATCTGCTAGATGCTTGCTTTCATAAGATCTTTTATACAGATCAGGGTATCAGTTGTCTCTGCCAACAGCCATACATGGGGAAAACTTGTATTTTGTTAGTACTTCTGCAGTGAGGCAAAAACGCAAAATGCAGGTACTTCCTATCTCTACAGCGCGCATATTACCATGTCCACTTGGCAAACCACTGCTTAGCTCTTGAGAATTTAAAAAAAAAAAAAAAAAAAAAAACCACAACAGCTGGGGATACTGATCTATATGATCTACTCCAAAATCAAGGCTTAATTGCTAGCATGACCAAAAGACAAAACAACTAAAAATTAGGTGATGCCAGTCTTTAAACAGTCTTTTTCCTCCTTCGTATGAGAGATTTCCTTGTTGTAGTGGAAATGCTAAGTCAAGTTTGTAGAACACTGAAGCAGCAATGGAGCAGCTGGTGTGAAGGCAAGGCCAGCCCAGGGAAGCTCAGCTGCATGCAATGTACCTGAGTGACTAGAAGGGCTGGAGCCAGCATTCCACCCCTTCTCAGACTTCATTTAAGGGTTGGCAGTGGAAGTGAGGGTATCTTTCTGGAGATCCCTGCCTACCTGAGGCCCTCCAAAGGTATGCAGCTTTTTACCTTTGTTCCTGTAATAGCTGCATTTCATTAACAGGCCTATAAGGTCAGGCTGGCTGCCCAAATGAACTTTGCCTTGCTGCTTCCCTTTTGGATTGGGACTGTTCTGTCATACGTTATTTCTGCATTAGTTATGCACCCTCTGTTTTGTTAGCACCATGTCTATTCCTAGTTTCCCTCTCGGTACAAAAATTCTAGCTGTCAGCAATTATCCTTAAATAAGTCATGGGGCTGTAATTACTACCTCGCTTCCATTGTTATTTAGGACTCACAACACCCCTCACCCCACAAAGAGTTTTGTTTTTAGCATTTTTTTAATTACCTTGAAACCTTTCCTACACGAATGCAGGTTGGGGGCAAGGGGATGTACAGTGGCACATAGTTAAGATTTGTTGTGCCTCTTCCTATCTGGAATCCTTAAAGTGAATTGGCAGGGGAAAAAAAAAGCATATATGACTGTAATATATAGAAATACATTTCTATTAATAAGGAATTATTTACTGAGATGCATTTGCTCCTATGGTAGCACATGAATGCAAAAGGGTATAAATGCCATTGTGTAGAACTTACAAAACAACAACAACAACAAAAGCAAAAAAACCCAACAACAAAAAAAAATGTAGTGCTTTAGAAGTCATGGAAAGTATGATTACAAATCAATGGTGGGACTCACAAAGCACTGTCAATTGGCAGACAGCTCTAGGATAAGGGTAAACTGTGTGTGTGTGTAGCAGTCAGCTGCTGAGCTTGAAGGGAGAAAAACATTCTGGGGTGGAAAGAGGGAACAGAAGCTGCCAAGAGCACTTCTTCAGGCTTCAGGTAAAGTACTCACCAAGAGCAATTTTTCAGGCAAAAGTGTTTTTACTAACACTCTTTATAAACGCTCTACACACAATCATATCTTTGTTAAGATGAAAAAAGACCTCAAATATCATAAAGCACAACCCCCCCCCCTTCCCACTAACCCCATCTCTTGGTGCCACATCTCCACAGTTCTGGAATGCCTCCAAAGACGATGACTCCACCACTTCCCAGGAAGGCTGTTTCAACACCTGGCCACTCTTTCTGAGAAGACATTTCTCTTAATATCCAAGCTGTCTTGTTTTCCTTTAGGGTAGGATTGTAAGGAATGCAGACCACTTTCTCAGCACTTTGGTTTTTTTATCTGCCTGATTTGCTGAAGGACAGTCCAAATGGTTTCTGGTCCAGCATTGTGCCATCTATCTACATCTCTATCTCCTCCAGCTGCAGAAGACAGTGGGTGGTGTCATCTGAAGTCTGGAATCATCATTTATCAGCAGAAAGCAGTAATTAAAAAGCTTTCCTAGGCCTCTGGCACCTAATGGGTTATCAGAAACAAGAATTGTTATGTGGCCACCGACCACTGCACAGCACCTGCAGCTTCGTTGCAGAGATGCTCCCGTTGCTTGCTGGGACGTATCATCGCTTATGCCCTTTTCACATCATTCTCCGCTCCGCGCTCGTCGCAGCAGGCGACACGGCCGCGCAGCACCACCTCCCCGACCCCACCGGGCGCGGTCACCTCACAGTCTAACGGCCGCTGCGCGAGCGAGAGGCGGCAGCCAATGGGGAGAGCGGGAAGCGCCGCCGCCAATCAGAGAGCAGGCGGGGCTGGATTTGAACGCGGCGGCCGAGACGGTTGCCGGCCGGCAGCAGTCTGTCCCCTCTCGGTCTCCTGCCTGCGTAAGTACAAACCCAACGCAAGCGATGGGCAGAGCTGTCCGGTTGCGGCCCGTGCTTCCTGCCGTAAGAGGAGACTTTGTCTCCTCCAGTCTTAGTATCTATCGCCTTTACTACCCTTCTTGTTGCGGTTTCAGCCGTGCGGTGCGGAAGCTCGCGGGGCGGGAGTGGCTCTGCGGGTGCGGCCACGGCTGAGAGCGACCAGCGGGGATAAACAGTGCTTGACAGCATCGATTAACCAACAGTAGACATCATCTTATCACAAAGAAGCGGGATCAGGGCGTTGGACTCGATGATCTCTGGAGGTCCCTTCCAACCCCTACAATTCTGTGATGTCTCGGTGCTCTCCTTGCCGTATTGATATGTTTCGGGTAGTTGGTTAACTTCTCAATTACAAGCCTTTCCTTGCTGCTACGTGCAAAAATGCATTATATATATTATATATATATAATGCAAGGGCATTAATACCCTGAACGTTTTTTGATTAAGAAGATTTCATTAAAAGATTTCTTGCATTTTGAGATAAATTAGAACACTTCTGAGAGGTGGGGTCTATTTAAGAAATGAAATTTAATAAGGGATATATGGAGGGTTTTGTAATATGTAACGATGGCAGAAGTCTCCTGTGGTGTTTTTTTTTTTTTTGTTTGTTTTTTGTTTTTTTTTTTTTATCTACTGCATGTCTAATTCATAATTAATTATTGGTAAAATTCACTCTTAATTCAGGTTGCTAAAATACATTTGCATTTCAGTTGCTTTTCAGAAGTAATAGCAGTATATTTTGCAAATGAGCTAGTGAAAATTAAGAATTCAGAATACATACTTAACATTTTTATAGACTGTTATAAGCAATGGGCATTTTAGCCCTTCTCGCTTTTCTTTTGTCACTAGCAGGCATGTCCACTTTTGGACTTGTCTATGTACAGTTATAACAGTGACTAAAGTGTCAGCTTTCAGGCAGGAGCAAACTTGCCTGGGTGTAGAAAGGTGATTTAATGAAGCCACAAATTTTATGTTAGACCGTGGTTTAACTTGCAGTTAAGGTCTATTCTACTTTACAAGATTGAGTTTCACAGTTTACCAGGACTGATGTCCTGAAAACCAAACAAATAAGACTTGCTCACAGATATATATAAATAGCTGTAAAAATTCATGTTTTCTTCTCTTCAAGCTCAGAATTAAAATGCTTGCTTGGCTCTACTTTTGTTGTTTTAGGTAAATGTAGCTAAACATATTATAGAACAGTTTCATTTCTCCTTTTCCACACTGGTGCACCTTGCTCTAATTTTTCTTATTCTCATTATTTTAAAAATAAGGTTGATGAAGAACAGGAACAAGATGGCATCTATGCTTCAAAATGTCAGGGCAACAATGGACTGGCAGAGACACCTGCTTTTAGCTGACTTTGAGAATGAGAGCCCTGTACCAGACAAATACAGGAGAAAAACTTCTTTCAGTTCTCTTAATACTATCGGCATGTCTCTAAGAAAGCGAATACTGTTAAAGCAAGTAGAGCTGAATTTCCATGAGACACCACTTTGGGAAAACATGGAAGCAAGAAAGAAAAGCCAAGTGCTCCAAAGTATTACAAAAACAGCAAGAAATGCTTTTGGAACAGTGTCACAGGTACTTGTCTTTGCAGCAACATGTAGGTAATGTCTTTTTGCTTCAATTTCAGTAGTAAGATTGTTGGGCTTTCATGTCCTCCTTAGATTTATCCTCTGCACTGCACAACGTGGTTGGCTCTAGAACATAAAAGCTATTGGAGGGTGTCCAAAGGAAGGCTATAAGGATGGTGAAGGGTCTAGAAAGGAAGACATATGAGGTCACTTAAGTTTGTTCAGCATAGAGGAGGGGAGGCCTCATGGCAGCCTACAGTTCCCTCACCAAAGAGCAGAGGGTCTCTGCTGAGTTCTGCTCTCTGATGATCTCTGATGACAGGACCTGAGGGAACATCATGGAGCTGCATTGGGGATGGTCAAGTGGGGACTGGGGAAAGATTCTGCACCAGAGGGTGATGGGAATGGAAGAGGATCCCCAGGGAGTGGTCTCAGCCCCTTACTGCTGGAGCTCAAGAAGCATTTGCACAGTGCTCTCAGACACAGGATTTCAGTTTTGGGTGGCCCTGTTTGTAGACAAGGGTTTGACCTGACTATCCTTATGGGTCCCTCTCAGGGGTCCCTCTCAGCTCAGGATAGTTTATAAGTATATGAACTAGTTGATTTTTATTATCCCTGCTAGGTAACTCTTGCCTTTTTATTATCTGGATAAATTATGGCTATGACAGAACAAGAAAGAAAGTGAGAAGTAGGAATATGGGAAGTAGTTCAAGCAAAACCTTTTCCCTTACTGCATTTCATAACATAGGACAGAGCAGCCCACACAAGGAAGAATGTGGATAGACTGCCACTGCTTGCAAATAATTGTTTCTGAGAAAGGTGTAGCTTTATATATTATATATATTTAATCATTCTTGTACCTGCACTGTTTATTAGGATGTTCTTCCAAATTGTCAACACAATTTGGACTCATAAAATTCAGTCGGTAGTATGTTAGCAAAGTTTGAAGTTTGTATTGTTCTAACCGTTGGCGGCAGACTTTAAGTTAATCAGCATATATTAAGGAGCCTGGCTCTTTCTTGCACAAAATCAGCAGGTGCTTTTCTTCTAAAGCATACAGAAATCCTTGGCAAGTTTCAAGGATTCGGGGAGCAAATCATTCAACCCAAATGGGTACACAAAAAAAGCATTCATGCTAGACTAAACCTAATATGAGAAAGAGAGCTAGGGATTCGGTTCAGAGAGGCTTCCTCATCTTTCTGGTTCCAAACAATAGACTGATGGACTCATTTAGCTTAATATGTCTGTCTAATGCATATTTCAGAAAATACGGAAGACTTGCCAAAGGCCAATACATTCAACTATGACCTTTCCAGCTGAAGACACCAGCAGCAGCTCCGCAACCAGTTTTTCCAAGAAAAGAAGAACAGTACAAACACCTTGCCTTAGTATAAACAGTGTTACTTCAGCAGCTAGTTCTACATGCACATCAAGGTCCAGCAGAAGATGCTTGCTTTGGCCAACAAGGTTGTCAGAACATACAAAATTGACGGGTTTCCCATCTTGGCGTGGTGAAGATGCTGTCCCACTCGAGATCAAGGAGAGCATCAACAGCACTGAAGAGCCTCTGTTCATCACCTACTCCTGCCAGCAGAAGAATGTAAGCTGCATTCTTTTGTAAACCTTATTGTTCTTTTTTTAGTTATTGTTGCTATGACTAAAGTATTTCTTAAGATTAAAGGCAAGATGAAAGTTGTTAACCTATTCCACTGAGACAACATACTACTAGAAGATTTAAATTATTATTTACATGTCCCACAGTCAGACCGTAACAAACAGCATCTGATTCAAAATCACAGAAGAAATCATAGAATGGCACAGGTGATCTTAAAGATCATTTAATTCCAACCCCCTGCCCTGCACTGTGGGCAGGGTTGCCACATGCTTAATCAGACTGCCCAGTGTCCCATATAACCTGGCCTTGAGCCCCTGTAGGGGGTGGGGTATCCACAACTACTCCGGACAACCTGTTCCAGTGCCTCATCACCTTTTGAGTAAAAAATTTCCTACTAAGAGAGGGAACACTTAGATTAAAACCATTCCCCCTTCTTTTATCACTGTCTGCCCATGTAAAAAGCCTGCCTCCCTCCTGTCTTTAAGCTTCCCTGAAATACTCCAGTACTGAAATGAGGTGTCCTCAGAGCCTTCACATCTCCAGACTGAACAAGCCAGATCCTTCGCTTTTCTTCATTGGTGAGGTGTTTTAGCCTGATAAAAACTGATAAAACTGTTGAAGACCACTGATACTAAAATGGAATCCTTGGGGTTGCCGCTTGTCACTGACATCCACCTGGATTTAGAGCCAATGACCACAACTCACTGTGACCATCCAACCAATTCCTTATGCACTGAATAGGCTTGGGTATTGTCACCTGTTCAGTCTGTTCATTTTAATCTTTAGTAATGACAATTCTGCCTCCAGAGAGAAGTTTGACGGTGAGTTGGAACTGGTCTCTTCAGGGATTCACCAACTGAAGCATCTCTTCTGGGCCCCTGATAATGATACTGTATAAGGGGAGATGTAAATACTGTTAAGTATCCTTCATCTCAACTCTCTCATTTGTAACTGAAGATAATGTCAAACAGGTGAAGTAGTTGTTCAATTACCTTGACTAGACCTGCATGTATCTATGAGAAAATCTGCTGTTTGGAGAGCGGAAGATACATTAATTCTAACTTATTTAAAACTTCAGTGTGTGGAACCAAAAGGTTCTTCCCTCATATTCAGTGTGGCTTCTATAGCACACTGTTGCACAGTTATGAAGCTTAAGCTTTATATTGTGGATTAGTTATATTTTGTGACTTTGCAATGAGCCATAAGTTAGGCTTCTATGCAAACAATTTTTCTCATCCCATATGAGAAAATGACTGGTACTATTGTCTTTGTCACTTGACCTTAGTTCTTACTGATTACTAAAATTATGAAGCACAGCAGAAAAAACTATTGCCCCAAACAGTCTAATTTTACAGAATCACAGAATCACAGAATTGTAGGGGTTGGAAGGGACCTCCAGAGATCATCGAGTCCAACCCCCCTGCCAAAGCAGGTTCCCTACACCAGGTAGCACAGGTAGGCATCCAGGCAGGTCTTGAACATCTCCAGAGAAGGAGACTCCACCACCTCCCTGGGCAGCCTGTTCCAGTGCTCTGTCACCCTCACTGTAAAGAAGTTCTTGCGCATGTTTGTGCGGAACTTCCTATGCTCCAGTTTCTGGCCATTTCCCCTTGTCCTGTCTCCACTCACCACTGAAAAGAGTCCGGCCTCGCCATTCTGCCCCCCACACCTTAGATATTTATAGACCTGGATCAGGTCCCCTCTCAGTCTCCTTTTCTCAAGGCTGAACAGACCCAGTTCACTCAGCCTTTCCTCATAGGGGAGATGCTCCAGGCCCTTCACCATCTTCGTGGCCCTCCGCTGGACTCTTTCCAAGAGATCCCTGTCTTTTTTGTACTGGGGAGCCCAGAACTGGACGCAGTACTCCAGATGAGGTCTTACCAGGGCAGAGTAGAGGGGGAGGATCACCTCCTTTGACCTGCTGGCCACGCTCTTTTTAATGCACCCCAGTAAGCCATTGGCCTTTTTGGCCACAAGGGCACACTGCTGGCTCATGGCCAACCTGTCATCCACCAGGACACCCAGGTCCCTTTCCGCAGAGCTCCCCTCCAGCAAATTTTAGTCTTTTATTCTTTTTTATTTTAGTCTTTTTATCTCTAGCATTGTCTTGGCAGTTAATACAATGACAAAAACTGTAGTTGATGCATGCATCGTTAGCATTTTTAAACACAATAATTGTACTTCAGTGAATGGGGAGCAGTAGTTCTTTGTTCTATGTTTCTGAACATCACTTTTAGTGTCAACTTATTGAACCATTACTAGGTTTGCTATGAGAATGTCACAAAGGCCTCATCTACCTTCTCTGTGATCTGCACTGTGATATTAACACAATGTCCAATACTAAAAGGAGGTTATAATCAGGAGGGAGAAAGACTTCTAACATGGTCTGATAGCGACAGGACAAGGGGGGAACAATTTTAAACTAAAAGAGGAGAGGTTTAGATATTTGGGGGAAGTTTTCACACAGAAGGTGATGAGACATTGGAACAGGCTGCCCAGAAAAGGTGTGGATATTCCACAAGGTATAAAAGGCCAGGTTGGATGGAACTCTGGGCAACCTAATCTAGTGCCTGATTTTGTAGCTGGCAACCCTGCCATGGTGTGGGAGTTGGAACTGCATTGTCTTTGAGGTCTCTTTCAGCCCAAGCCATTATATGATTAATACCATCATCTATTAGCATTTGAAGTATTCCTTTTATTTAAAGGGGAAACTATACTGTGTATAACAGTTAATATTCTTGTAACAAGTTGTAGGAACATCATTTCTGTAACAGTTTTAAAAAAAAAAAAAAAAACTCTCCCCTACCTGTGCTGGATTGAAGCTTTAAACAGTGATGTGTGCTGCTTTCACTGAGCAATTCGTTACAGTTCTCCTGCATAGATAGATGCATACAGTGCGCTGTCACTGGCTGGTTTGTAGGTTCTGCATTTGGAATACCTGTAGAATAAATTTTGCTTTCTGTTCTGGTATATAATTTGCAAGAATTTTAGCATCGTAGCTCCTGCTTACCTTTACCATGATGAATCAAGATTTGATCTCGAACTGTCAACGGTTGCTATCTCCATGCATTCAAATGTATCTGTTTTAAATAATTAGTTTATATTGCAAAAAACGCTCCTGTTGGTAGTTAAAATGTTGCCATACTTAATCAGTATACTGCTGTTTATGCTCAATGAAGGTTTAAGAAAAGCTTTCTTGTTTCTTTTTACAAGTTTTAAGTGAAATACACAGGTCCCATTAACCGATTTTTCCAGCAATGCATGTGAATAACCAATTATATAACCTTGATGACTTTATGCTGCTAATAGCAGTCTTGTTCTTCTGCAGGCACCATGCAATATCAAACTACTGCTATTCTAATGGCATGAAGTTTGCAGCCTGTGCATCAATCTTGGGAACTACCTCAGGCTGTCAGAAGGCAAGGAAAGAAACTCCGTTCAGCAACTGGTGCCTGGACAGAGATGGCTATAAATACCGTTAGTTTATGAATATATATAAAGGAAAACTTCATTTGAGATATGAGACTATACCTTATACTCTGCATAGAACTGTGTGCTTTAAAAAACAATTACATTTTATAATATTTTTGGCAGAGCAGCCTAAAATTACTCTTCCCTTGCTTTTGCTGTTCAAGTCAACTAGAGAAATAAATCTGAACCACAGTGTACTACCTATCTTCTGCTGAGACAATGGACTATCTTCTATGGGGCTTTCACAACTTTCATAAAGCACTAAGTAGGAATGGTCAAAGCAAGGGCAGAGATCTACAAATGATGATCATAGGAAAGAGTAATATTCAGATCCTCCTATGTATTATGAAAGCACTGATCTGTTATTTTCAAAGCTTAACAATTTATCTTATTTTTTTAATACTAACAAATCAAAAGCTAACTTTACATGTTAAAAAATGTTTTAAAGTTTAAAATGTTAACTATAATGCTTAAAGAAACAATGATTGCTATTTGAGTTTTGACCACAACTGCCATTCCAAGTCAGCAGGTTTCTGTACTCATTTCAAAGTCACAACAGTGGAGCCATGTTAGGACTCCAACTCACAGCCCAAGGATTGCTGTTAAGTAAGTGAGCCCAAGTAGTTCTACCCTAAATCATAGCAACTTAATTTTTTGCTCCTATTTTAAATACCATAATGGCAGCAGAGTTAAACATTGCTTTTGTAGAACACCATTTGTCATTTAGTTATATGCAGAAATTGCTTATCAGTTAATATACATAAGTTGCTCTGAAAGTAATGCCTTATATTTATTTCCATAAATATTCAGCAAGTGCTGATGAATGTCAGTAGGTGCCATTTTTTTCCCCCCACACCAAGGAATTCAGTTCCTCACCTTTGCTTCATACAGATCCTATTTTGTCAGACTGCCACTCTCTGTTGCATGACAAGAAAATGTAACAGAATAATTGTTTTAAATCACTAAGAAGATTCAACCTGTATTGCCATGCTACCAACATATGTTTCTGATGTTGCAGGCCAACATCATAAACTGAGAGGCATTCATTTTGGAGCAATGTTCTTATTATAACTACTGTTATTTGCTGATACAATGCAGGCATTCTGCTCAATGAAGTATACTAGGCATTTGACACATGTCTTTCAAACTTAAGCAAAGATTTCTTAAGCTTCTAGAATTCAACAGCTATTTCTACAGTAGCAGTTTTGTGCAAGTTTTGGAATTTACCTTCTACTCTAAGCTGAACCTTCAAACAAAAGACAGATTCAGAGAACTTTTCTGTACAGTGACTTTTAAGATGCACGTGTAATTTGGTAAAACTGGAACAGCTAGAATGTTAATGATATTAAGTATAAATGTAGGAAACAGTCATGTTCGATTCTGATTAAAGTACTGATTTTTAAACTTGTTTCTGATTTCCTTTTTACCTGTTAAACTAATTTATTAAATAATGAAATAATTAGCAAGCTCTGGAAGCACGAAGACAACCCAGCCTTCAGATGACTGGTGAGAATGTTATTTTTCTTTCTTTTTTTTTTTAAACAAACTGAACCAACTAAACAAAAAACCCACTGCCTTTGTATATGGAACAGTAGTTTAAGTTACTCTTTGTATGTACTGAGACTGCTTCTATAACATTTTATAAAAAAGGATGGTGTCTCATTATTGAAGTATCTTCTCATATTACTTTTGAAAAATGAGGAGGGTTGGAGTTCGCAGGTTGACTTCTATTCACAAACTGAAGTTTTACGCCAGATGGTCACCCATATTAAACAGCTTGTATACTGTTTCTACTTGTTACTACAACATGCAAACGATGATCTAAGACTTCCAATACCATTGATAAGAAGAGTCTGGAACACTGCTTGCTTAAAGGCAAGGAAGGTTTTATTTAAGTGATTAATATAAGATTTTAAAAACCAGCTCACATCAAAATCTATACGAGTTGTAGAAATCTTACTCCTTATTTCATATTAAGAAATGCATTATTGTACATTTTTGAATCTTTACAAGGCAGCCATAAGAAATATAAACATTTGTTACCAGATAGAACCTTCTCACTGACCAACAACATTTAAAAGTTTACACTCAATAAAACTACAGACTGAAAGAACATGTACAATTTCAAGTTTACTTATAGGAATTAAGTTCTAAGTGGACTGCCCTTTCCCCTCCCCAGCAAATAGAAAAATATATTAGGGAGACAGCTTGGGGTTCTGTGAGAGAACTGCCATTTTGGCCTCTACTCCAGAGGTCCCAGAATTGCTAACCCTTAGAGGCTCCAATTTTTAAGTTACATAGTAATCTCTATTAACTCATATCTCAGCAGTAAACCTGTTTCTTTTTCTCTTTCCCCCTCTCTTCCTCCACTTGAGTTCTATACAACCTTATCAATTAATGATCTGCCAAAATTTTTCTCATGCTCCTCTATCCTCTGAACAATGCTATCCAATTTTAAAGGTAGCTTATTGGGTTAAATAAAAATAGAAAAATTTTTATCCCCTTACCTTGGGCTTAATCTGAAAGGAGGGAGAGAGGGAATACAACACCTTACTTTGATTCCAGAGTCCACGGCACAGGATTCTATCTGCTCCAGGACATGTCCTATTTTTGAAGAAAAAGGGCTCTCTTCATCCAGAAAGGTGTGTGATTACCTTTTTTTCTTTTTTCTTTTTAAAAAAAGGAATTTAGGATCATAAATAGAAACTTAAAGTTACAACTGAATGATTAAATAGTATTGAAGTCAAATTACCTTGTTAAAATCACAATTTCTACTGAAGCTATGAACATAGATCATAAAGAATCACTGCTCTCACAGAAGCTGAGGAAGAAAGCTGGAAATGTTTGCGATTAGGGAATTCCATCTTGTACCCAACTCCAGGTGTAAATAAGAAGTGCCACTTTCTCCCCTGCATGACTGAAATGAACAGTTCAATGCAGAATTCTTGACTTAAGTTTTTGTATTTCAAGCTGAAACCAGAACAAATTATGAAACTGCACCATATAATCTCTTCCTCTTTCCGCTATTAAGCCAACAAGCTTATTAAGAAAGGGTCCACCATTGGAATTGTCTAGTACTTTTATAACATACTCACTATCTGTAGTTTACAGGCAAAAGGAGGAAAAATGTGGGAAATCCTATCTGTTCAGTAACAGTTACTGCAGCAGTTACAAATTATAAAAGCTGAAAATACCTTTGGTTTTCTGGTGTAATTAAGAATGCTTTCAAATGAAGTTTTTAACACATTCAGGACAGGAAGCAATATAAAAGGAAGATGAATTTCATTTTTCCCTTCTGAATTTATACTGTGAAATACATGATAATTCTACAGCCTTAACTATTGGGGATTAACTTAAATACACATATTAACAGTGCCATGATATTGCAATGTGTAAAATACACAACGTGTTCACTAACAAAAGCAAACAGAGGCTATTTTGCAAAATGGTGGAGCTTCAAGATAAATGTCACTTATTTTAATTGTAGATGAAAGTATCAAGTTTATTTCTCTGTGGTTTCCTGATAGCTGCACTTCTACATAACGAGTAAAAAGTTTTAATTTTGTTAAGAAATTATTTCCCTACGTAGTAGAGAAGTGATATGTAAGAATGAAAGGCTATTTTCATCCAAACAAATCAAAATAGCAATTCTCACGAATCCCTAAGGAATGAGAGGAATGATCAATACCATGTCAATTTTACACTTGACAAAATTTTTATGCAGAATAGATATAAATCATGCCACAAAACTAAATAGGTGTAATTTGTCAAACAAGAACCTGTTCCAAGTGCACTAGCGAATACAAGTATTTTTTTAATTGAATAAACACAGCCATTGTTTAAAAAAAAAATTACAATTGTGCTGTGAAAGCAGAAACAAAACATCACTTAAGGTTGCTTTCAGTAGTTACACAAAGATGCCACAGTGTAAATGTGTGTTTTCACAATATCTCAAATCTTGATAAGTCTAAAATGGCCACTGATTACAGTTGTTTTTAGTTTTTGTTTAATACAGTAATTTAAAACTGGATATACATCAACAATTCAAAGAAGTGCGCGCTTTCAGGTGTGGCCCACTTTGTACTGACTTGTACTACCACTTCAGCATTCACTGAAATAACAGCTTTGTGTTTCACACTTTCAATTCTGCTTCTTCTGTTTGGCAGATCAAGTGTAAGTGCTTCTCTGTAATATACAGCTTCTCTGTCTGTTTCTCTTCTGTGGAGAGGCTTCAAAACTTCCACAGACTGTAAGGTTAAAGAAAGTGCTGACTGTACAGAGAATGCAGCAGTGAGGAACAGTAGAAAACTGAAAGACTATAAGATCATGCTCGATCTCAGTGAATGGCCTGCTCAGGAGGCCTGATTATGCCTCCATGATAACAGAAGTGAAACTGTAACCTCAATAGAAAATGAATGCCTGTGAACAGCCACGTGGTTTTATGTAGGCAAAGTATAAAACTAAAGCACTGACTAGAAACAAATGTTCCAGGAGAAAATGGGATTGAAGAAAATATGCTGTAAAAAACTAGCAATTCATCAGGGATTGTCCCAAACATAACTGGGGAAAAAAAGGCCAAAAAAATCCCTAGTAATTGAAGTCCTTAATCATGTCCACAGAGTACTGAACTGCCAACTTAGCTGTGAGATGCCTAAATCACTACCACCTCTTTCATACTCTTATCTCCAACATAAAATCTGTGTCATTTTAGTGTCAGCTGGCTAGAGCTTTCAAAAGAAATGCATCTCATGTTTGTGAAGATAAGCTCCAAATAAGCATGAAGCCTTAACCTACAAACTGATGTCTGTATCACTGTTTGTCGAAATGCTCAGATGGAGGCATGCTATCAGGCGATGAACCATTCTATCCCTGAGCATTAGTAGTGCTGGCATGATGAAATGACTATGTGAGTTCTCATAGGAAACAAAGTTAGGAAAAATATTTCCAGCTGAATTCCAGTACTATGTTTAGAGACTGAATTGTTACCACTCTAAATCAAGCATGAAGAGTAGCACTTCTTTTACTACTTTTAGCTCATAATATACTGTATATGCATATATAGAACCAACACAGTGGCTAAAAAAAAAACCCAAAACCTGTGAGAGTCATCTGACCTTGTGTTCATATGAAGTCTTTTAACAACAGTCACAGAATCACATACAGATCTCTCTTTTGAAAAGAAATAGGTCTTTTTATGTTAGCAACTTAAATCAGAAAATGGATTTTGGCATCTCCTGGCTTGTAGAGGTAGACAGCTAAAGCAGAATTAATTTTGCTAATACTAGTAGGTATAGTGATTACTATGAGGAGACATGCTATCCAGCACTCAGTACTTAAGAAAGTAAGTTCAAATTCTGCAGTCAGTGTTGACTTTACGTCCTCTAAGCAAATGTCAAGTCTGCTCTTTGCATTCCTCCACTCTTCAATTCATTCACCTATTTAAAACCAACAACCAAGAGCATGCTCGAAATACTTATGTTCCATTAGGCTTGCTCTGGCAAGAGTCAAAACTGCCAGTCATTAAAACACGAGAAAGTAGAATGTTTGTTTTCCTAGGAGGCTGCCAAAACTGCTCTGTAATATCAGTTACGTATTGGTCAGACACCGGGCTACTGTGGCTAGTCTTTTCAGAGGATGTACTCTGGGCATCTTTTTTTTTTTTTTTTTTTTTTTTTTTTTGCTACCTGTTAAAGCAAGATATATTTAACAGAAAAGGAGCACAGATATAAACATCAGATGTGCATTTTTGCTACCAGCTTTTTTTCTTTCCTAGATCAGCAGCAGGAAAGAAAACCTCATCAGTATGATAAAGAAGCCTTCCCTGCTCTAACATGGTACCTGTGCAAGCAGTGAACTGACTGGAGGAAGATGGAGTATGCTCTCTGGTATACCTTGTGCAATCTCTTCCTAGCTGCAGAGGCTAAGAAAAGAAATGGACACAATCAGAATAAAAACACACAGTGGACCACGATAAACCATTGAAAACTACTTAAAATTTATGTCTTAAACAACTATGAAACTAGTGGGAAAACTGTAAGCCTGAAGACTGCTTCAGTGTAGTTCATTTAGCTTTTGCAGCTGGCTACCTTGTCAGCAGAGATTAAAAACCCCAGGCTCCAGTAACATAAGTTAACCGTGAGCTACTAAAATCTTAACATCCTTCCTAAATTTTCAGCAAAAAATTACCCCTTCCCTTACAGGAAGCATTATGAAAAACTACTGATGTGCCAGAGATCTTTCAGGATGTTTGAAATAGGTAACTCAGAAATTTGCTAAGTGACAAGCTGAAAAAAAACCAACAACAGCAATCACCACCATTTATACACTAGTTTGCTGGTCGCCTTTTAAGACAAAAGCCACAAAGCTGTCCTTCAAAAAGCACACTGAAACTTTTGTGTGAACAAGGAATTATCAGACTTACTTCTGCATTGTCATCATAGCTTTCCACTGCATTCCTTCTTTGTTTTACATACCAATTTTGAACTCATTAACCAACAGGCTTGTTTCTGTTCCGGCTATATATTAGGAAAACCTAAAAGGGAGGGTGGGGATGATGACATCCTCCCCCTGGTGCCAAAAAACTGAGGGAGGGAAGTCAAAGAAACCAAATCTAGAAACAGCTCAAGAAATCACCTGTTGACTTCAAGCTTTCTCAGGGTCAACAGTCTGATCTTAACTTTAAAAGAAAACTGTTTTTTTGCTCTAGCAATTTCACTACAGGTTTTGAAACATACATTAGTTCTATCACAAAAGTTATATTGGTGAATTTGGCATAGTGGAAATAGATGCATAATGAACTAGAAAACTGCAACTGTATTAAACTAACTACAACATTTAGTTTAGAAATATTATTACTTAGGGAAAATTTCACACATTTTACTTCTAATAAGTAAAAGACCTAAGAGAAACCAGGAGAACACACATTTGGCACCTCCATTCTTTGAAGCTCAACTGTTGCAAGTTTGATTGCTATAGATTGTCTTAGCAGAGCACTCGCTGTCAAGCATGAGAAGGTAAATAATTTACTCCATTAGCATTTATTACTCTTTCATCCTGCAGATTAAAGATTTTAGTTAGAATAATGAAAAAAGTGACTACTCTGCAGATTGCAGACCCCTTAGTGAAAAGGCTCCCTTAAGGCGTCTGTCTTAGAATCTATCTCAGTCTGAAATGGTCAAAGACACCTCCTTACACACAGTTCACACATTTTACACAGTCATCAAGTTTCACAAAAGTCACAGTTTGGTACACTTGCACATCACTTTGCATACAGCAACACTAACTACTTCCAACTGTGGCAGAGATGTTTATTTCTAACATTAAGCATTTACGATTTGGTTCACAGGCAGAGTCCTATTTATTTGATGTCCAGCACCTTATACAGGATGAGTGTCTATATTAGCATCTGTTGACCAACAGTATAAGCTGAAAGGAAATCTTGGACTCAAGGCACCCAAAAATCATCTTGCTGTACAAATCCTGATGACCCATTTTTGTACCCTCACCTCTGCTTCCCTTACAAATATATCGCTTCATCAAAAGTGAATTGGCAACAGATGAAACTATTTAATGTTTTAAGTGTAAACTTTCTCTGTAACCTAAGGGGTATACTGTTTATATTGTTTTGGGTGCAGCTAGTTAGCTAATACTACAATCCTTTTGTGTAAAAAGCCTGTAGCAGCTTTTTCTCTTATTGCACATTTCATTGTATCTGTTGTAAAAAGTAACTGAAGACTTTTTTTTTCCTGTTGCTTTAATGCTTAAGCACTTGGGATAGTTTTAGATTGTTTTAAAATTTCCCAATACGTCAAGAGAACAAACTGGAAGTTCTCTGGTTGGTGTAAGAAGGCATTTTTCAGAGCAGGGAAGACTCTGAGGTACAGTTTCCCCTCTACACCTCCTAGTTTGAAGCTGCCTAAATACTACCTTCTGAGGCATGACTACAAGTTAAATGAAGGACACCCAAAATCTACAGCCTCAGGCTTCCTAGGGAACAGATTCAAATTTGTGGACTCCACCCCTAACCCAAGCAATGGAAGGCAAATGCCTATCATGATCTTTGTCTGACTCGGGCTGGCTCTGGGCACGCTCTGGTTTGGGGTTGGAAGAAGGTGGATCAGGTTGCTGTACAGACATAGTCCTGCGGAGATGGTTTCTCTTGCGCAAAAATTCAGGTTGAGAGTGGAGGCCAAAGCTGCCTTTTCTCAAGATCATCCGAGAGTTGTTCTTTTTAGGTCGTGAATGAAGACTGAACTCCAGTGAGGCCAAGTGGGCTGCATAACCCTCACTGAGGAACTGAAATATGAAGGAAAGAAAGGGAGTGACAAATTACTGCTGCCTCAACCTATAGACTCTATGAGGAGTTAATTTTATATCTTTGGCAGCCTAGTTAGAGATACATGAAAGAATAATATTAGACTCCTCTTGCTCTTATTTTCAATGAATTCTTCAATTTTGTTGTTCAAGAATATGCTATGCATGCACTTGCAGGTACAACTTGTGACCATTCAATTTTCTTTATCGTTCACTCTGCCATAAAATGCCTCCTCCGAGACCAAAACTGCTTTTTTTCCTCTGACATATTCTCTGCTCTTTATTTGGTGAGTCTGTGCATGCATGTGTGTGCACGCACACATTAACACAGACGCATTTCCCTGCTACCCTGAAGACTTCCTAGTTAAGTAGCAAGAGTTACTTACTTGACATTGTGCCTGGTATTTCTTTGTCGATCGTCCAACTATGTAGATCTGGGATGGCGACAGAGCTAAGACATTGTAAACGGAAATATCCTTTGTCGAACCATATGCAGCACAGATTTTGATGTGGCACTGAAACAAATATTACTTCCAGAGTGAATACTCTGACTACCGAACAGCATGCATTACAGGAATGGAACTTATTCTGCACTGAAGCAGCAGATAAACTCACTTAACATTTCTGTAAAGCACACACAGCTAAATCTGTCTATCTCAATGACAGCAAAATTATGAATAGGTAGACAGAAAAGAACAAGTCATTTATTTATTTGTAATACCATATGCCAAAAGGTGCATTTGGATGTTTTGTTAGCCATCTTTGCTCTTTGAAAAGTAAGAAAAGACACGAGGAATAGCAAAAATATAACAACAGTAGGATTTACTGTTCCAAAGGAAGAGAGCTTTTACTTCAAACAATGACAATTTCTAGAAAAACGTTTCAAGGATATCAACGTGTTTCTAGTACGTACCTCTTGCATGAGATTCCTTAGAAAAATAGTCTTTTGTCGCAGTGGGTCATGAACAAGTCCATCAGAGAAGAAGATCATTCCTTGAGGGAAGTTGTGCTGAGATAACCATGAAACCACACGCTGCTTTTGCATATCTGGACGGCCAGTAATATAGATAATCAGATATCCTAGGTCCTGCCAATGTCTGTCACAAGCAACAAATAAATTATATAGGTGAAGAAAAATAAATTAATGCCCACAGGTCACATCAGTATTTCTTTGCCTGGCACAGACCCAGTCATACAAGATCTTTCAACAGGTGTGAAACAACATGCCTAAGCATCTGCACCTATAGAGAAATGATGTAATAAAATCTTCATCTTGGGAGAGATGGAGGAAAGCAAGCAACAGTCCAGTCTCATACAGTATGAGACTTATAAAAAACTTAAAAACTCACAACAAACCCAGGCAACTCTACAGGCTTGGGAGGAGTGGCTGGAAAGCTGCTGGATGAAAAGGGACCTTGGTGTACTGATGGACAGTCAGCTGAATGAGCCAGCAGTATGCAAAGAATGCCAGCAGCATCCTGGCTTGTATCGGGAATGGTGTGGTGAGCAGGACTAGGGCAGTAATCCTGCCCCTGTACTCGGCACTGGTAAGGCCTCACCTCAAGTACTGCGTTCAGTTTTGGGCACCTCTATACAGAAAGGACATGGAGGTGCAGGTCAAACGGAGGGCAACAAGACTGGTGAAGGGCTTGGAGAATATGGCCTATGAGGAGTGAGAGGAACTGGGGCTGTTTAGTCTGGGGAAGAGGAGGCTGAGGGAGACCTTATTGCTCTCTTCAGATACCTGAAAGATGATTGCAGTGAGAGCAGGGCTGGTCTCTTCTCACCAGTGACAGGCGATAAGATGAGGGGAAATGGCCTCAAGTTGCGACAGGGGAGATCTAGGTTGGATATCAGGGAAAATTTCTTTACAGAAAGGGTAGATAAGCACTGGAATAGGCTCTCCAGGGAAGGTGGTTGAGCCACCATCCCTGAATGTGTTTAAAAACTGCTTGGATGTAGGGCTCAGGGACATGACTTAGTGGTGAGTTGTTAGAGTTAGGGTAGTATGGTTAGGTTGTGATTGGACTTAATGATCTTGACTTTTCCAACCTAAGCAATTCCATGATTCTATGAACTCGAGCTATATCTCAAGTACTACTACCTTTGAAATTTATAATGAGATTCCCTGTGATTTCAGCTGTAGGAAATGGAAAACTCTTGAGAATTGGCATCCCTCCTTTCCCATGCAAGCTCCAAAAAGAGCACTGTTTTCTTTGCTCACTGCAGCACTGCAAGAATTGCAAGACTGAATTAAGTCTTTTAACTTTTCCTCCAGAAAATGCTCTTGCACTCATGGCACTTTGTCATTCAAGAGCAGAATTCTGTCCTTATTTGAAGCTGACAAAATATAAAATACACTCTTTGCTAATCACAGTAACAAATGAAATCATTATAAATTCATTATGCTCACTTTAACATCATATTCTCCAAAAGCAATCTTTATGCAACTTAACGTACAAATTATAAAGTAAACCACAGCACTCTAAGATTCCTCTGAAAACCAAGAGCAATTGTTGTCAAGGTAAATACATAAACATATCTGCAAAACATTCTACCCGTTAAAGAATTTTTGTATAGTTAGTAAAAAAAAATCTATTCTACCCTCCTCTGTCCTGTTGTGCTCTAACAGAAAAATTAGAAATTTACAAAGCGAAGCATGCAAGCTATACTCACCTTACAACATCGACAGCCCCAGCTCGGACTTTGGGGTCACTTCCCATTATTGAAACACTTGCTGCAAATGAACCATCAATGCTGAACACAACACATTCCATTCCTCGGGGAAGCACAGTCAGGTAGCTTGTGGCGCTGCTCTGGTCCCCTCTGGAGATTAAAAGCAATATATCTTTTTTAAAAATGAGAATATTTTCTGCATGTTCTAGTTAAGAACTTGTACTAGATCTGACTGGATCTGCAGCTTCAAAAATCTGTGTTAAACTGGACTTTTCATTTCAGTCCTGTATGGGAAAATTAAAGCCTACACTTTTAGGAAATAACTTTCCAAACAAGAAATTTGGAAGCTGACTTTAATAAGACATCACATTCATACAAATATATGATTTATTTCAAACAAACAACATTGAAGAACTTAAACTTTTAATGTTGTCTATATGTATATGTATATACATATATATATATATATATGCTCTGAGTACATACGTGCATTTTGCACAGAAATTAGCTGTATCTTCTTTTCCCGAACAGTCTATAACTACTGGCAAATTATTAGAAATTACAGTGGAAAAACTGATATGCATCATTTATTGGCATCCACCTGCTTATAAACATCAACTTATCTCTACTAGAATTTTATTAAACAGAAGAATTTTTAAAAGCACAGCTTACCCCACTAGTCCTGCACCTGCGCCAACAAATTTTATTTCACACCTTTTCCCTCTTCATGCTTGACTTACCACAGAGTTGGTTTGTGTTGTTTGTTTTTTTGTTTCTTTTTTTTTTTTAAGTGCTGGAGAGCCAGAAGAATTGATCTCAATGAACTGTTACTTTTAAGTGCTGTTTTCTTCCCTCAATTTTAGAATAAATATGGTCTTACAGAATTATAGTGTATAATTCTGAAGTATAGAATTAAAATGACTCTTATAATCAGTCTGCCATCAACATATAAATAGCTGGCTGAGAAGAAGGCAGTACATGCTCTACTGTTCATGTCAACAGGAAAAGCTTCTTATTGAAGAACGCACGGCCATACCCATCAGTAATCTTTTCCTCAGGGAAGAAGCTCTGAAATAATCCAAGTCACACACTCTTGCCATAACAAGACTGATAACAGTCATTCAGTCTCCCTAATTTTGCAGGTCCAAATGTCACTAAATTGAGTTATGTGGAGGATTTATGTTGCAGGAGGGATAAAACCCACTGGATTGAACACCTTTAAGCTGGCCAGTATGCACACGGTCGCTGCTTCAAATCTAAGCTGATAATACAGGAAATAGACCAAAGAAAGATAAACAGAACTGTCACTGGAGACTTGAGGTGCAAAGAAATTAAATCATTTGCCTAAGGCCACACAGAAGTCTGCAGTATAATCCAGAACTGACCAAAATCCCCCTCCATGCCCCCTTCTATCCTACATATCAATATCTTCCTGATCACAAGAGCCCATAAAAGCTGTAGTATCAGCTTGGAACTGTTACCTGACAATCATTCTGATGGGATATACACCAACTCTCAGTCTCTTCTGTTTGGGTATGCTGTAGGATATCCGGCCACTGCTGTTGGATATCTCTGTGTCAAAATAGACCCACCTACCAGAAGATGGTTCAGTCATTATGAAGATATCAACCTGCAAAACCAACACAAAGTCACCTGGTGTGATAGTGGGCAATTTTATTACCACCTTAGGAACATGGCATGCCAGGTCTTCATCATATTATTATCTTAATTCGTGTTTTGTAACCAAAGGTTGCAAGTTTCAAGGAACTTTGAAACTCAGAAACTTCTCAGATGGTCCTCACAACCAGAAAACGCTTCCTAACACACAGCACAAGAGTTCATTATTGTCTTGATCAATTAAAACACTCAGTACTGAAGGTATCAAGAAAACACAGAGCTCAGGAATTCTAAACTTTCAGAACAGGCAAAGTGAAGTTTCCGTGCCTCTGTTTTATTTGCAGCTCAGCAACACTGCTACATTAATTTCCATTAAAAATTCTTAGTCTCACTGAATGTAACCAAATGAGTTCACTCAATATTTATTTGGCTTTGTTATTTTTAAACTTTGCTACTGCAGTCAGCTTTAAGAGCACCGACTGATCCAGCTACGTCACATTACTGAAATTCTAAAACTACTCTTTACTCTTCCATGTATATGAGAAACAGCAGCTACCCAAACTTTAGAATCCCAATTCCTTTATCCAGTTCTCTTACCTTGAAAGGTGTATATACACTTTCCTTTAAGTGACTTGCCAACTGCTATTCAACTATTTTTTATCCTTACTCAAGTTAATCATCTCCAGCAGATGATGCAAACAGATGACAGGTTCAGAAATCACTGCATAGCATATTCTTCTTTCACCAGAGGAGATGTCCAGCATCATATAAAAAGGATTTTAGCTAGAAAAAATGCAATCTACCAAAAAACGTGCTTACAGCATGGTGGGATGCTAGTTATGTACTCCCCCTCTCTGTAAGGCTCTCTCTGGTATTATGAACTACATGTGCATTATATTCAACAACTATCTGTATGTCAGTTGACAACAAATAAGGAAATAGAATATTTGATCTTTACCTTTTCACCTGTTAAAGCTACCATGTCCAGAGGTCCATACATAAAGCGCCCAACAAGTACCTGAGGACCATCTTCTGCAGCAATTACATCATTTGCCCGATGATTAGCAGTCACATTCTGAAATGAGACCAAAAAATGGGAAGTGTTAGTTTTTATGTAAGGTTACTGTCTCTATTATGTTGGTAAGCACAGTGATAAAGAAACACAGTCCCAGTGAGTTTGAGGAACTTTCAGCAAGAGCCAGGATCCCATTAATGGGGGTGTTACTGAATAAAGACACCACTGAGAACATCCAAGATGACAAGGTAAGAGAGTACCTTTATAGACACTCCAACTATATAGGAGAGTACGCTTAAGGAAATGTCAATTATCCTTCAGTACAAGCAGTGCCATAGAGTAATATTATCACATGCAAGGCATTCATCCTGTGAGGCACTTTCCCATATTTTTAGTAACCAGAATTTTTCATAAAATTAATGCATAAAAGCAAATCTCGCACAAGAATGCTTTAACTGATGCTAATGCTGGAAGAATATCTACAACTTGGCAATACTTTCAAACTGAGTATACTTTTTAGCATATACAGGACACAAGCACTTGCTGATGATCATGCTTCAACATGCTGCGCTCTGAAGTGCATACTAACACTTACAGTATTACTCAGTACTTGTTAAAAATGTATCTGAAACGTAGTGGGCTCATTTTTCTACAGCAAAAGAATAGTCAGAAGCTCCGTGACTTCCAAATGAAATTTCACAATATGTGAATTTTTTTCATTTATTATTTAAGCTCATGGCATCTAAAGAAAGAAGAAAATATTTTTTCTTGGGTTTTGAATTCATCCAGCATGTAAGAAAACAGAAGAATAACCTGTGCTTAACAGGTCCTTCTGTTATTTAAACACATGCATTTGGGGAAAAAAAATTTCTAATGGTAAACCAAGTATTAATTGCTTTTATTTCTTAACTGCTAGATCACCTCTGTAGTTTGCAGTTAAGTACAATTCCATGCTTTGGGAGATTAGGCTCCACTTAAAGTGCTGCCCAACTCAATTTCCATAGCTACCCTGGATATTCAGAGACATACTTACTCTCAATTTGACATGTGTCCTTTTGCGTAGCCATTTTTCTCGTGGATTGGACGGGCTTAGCGTTGCGGGATCCAGGCTATCATTTTCTTTGAAATCTACATTTTCATATCTCATCACCTGAAATGATAATAACATTCTAAAAAACTGTGTTCTGCCTGGGGAGCCCTGCGCTTGACAAGGAAAGGAGTTATACTGCTGTCCCAGCTGAGTGACACTGCAGAGCAAACAGCACAAGCAAAACAGAAAGATACAGGCCATGATGTCATATTAAGAATTTAAGCCACTGACACCAGCGCAGAGAGCAGGACTTCACCAGCCAAAAGGAGATGTGAGAGCAGCAAACACACTGACATCGTCCCAACTGATTTAATCAAGAAATATGACTGTGTAATTTTCTGCACTATTCTCTTGACCATTTTCCTCTGAAACAGCAGCTGTTTCATCATTCACTGGATAAAAGATACACTGATTACTGGATTAATCCAAATTAAAATGTTTATCACTGGATTCTACAAGGAGGGTCATCTTGACTTCTTGGAGAGATATTTTTACTGCAGGTCACACTCAAATATCACTAAATTATTTTCAACCCAGGTGAGATTTCTCAACCTCACCACTTTCTCTAGAGGTCACAGCACGAATCATTTCCAAGTCACTGACAGCTGTGATCTAAAAACAACAGGAATAAGAGAGACATCACATACCTTAGAAATGAATTCTAAGGAGACAGTGCACACAATGCCTATAAACATACTAGTACACAATTACAAGAGAGACTGGTAATGAACAGTCTTTTCTAATACGCTTCAGTCTCCTCATTTTTCCTTATTCCCTCTAAATTAGAGAAGCTCTTTCATTGTGGAGAGAGAAAGAAACATCAACAACCTGTCTTAAAATGAATGCCACGACGTCTGTTGATTCCCAGTAGCTGGCATGGAAAAGATGTGGCAGGGCCACAGTTGGAAATGCTGTCAGGACATCTGGACAATACAAGGCATAATCAATTCGCTTTGTTCCCCACCACTTAGCAGTAACTACAAAAAAAAAAAAAAAAAAAAAAAAAAAAAAAGCATAACATTTCTAAAAGATGTCTTCATAACAAATCTGCTGTATAAATGTATAAACTAGATAACAGAATGAAGCCTTCCGTTTTTTTAATATTGACATCTGGAGCCTGTTGAAAGCATCAATCTAACACAGAAGTTCTGTTTTCACTCACTGCATAATCCCTTGAAGTTCTGCTGTCTAAACGGCATTGCAAGTTTTGGGAAGCAGAGGTTACCACAGCACGATGCCCTTTGCTTCCTGGCCCACAAAAAGTGTACAGGAAAAGACTAGTTAACTTTATGATCATATTATATAGCAAGAATCGTAAATACTTTCCAAATAGTGGTGATAGTACTAATGTAGCATTACAGTCTGTAAAAGAAGAATATAATGATCTATAGCACTTAAGAGAAACGATTCTTATCTATGTATCTTTCTTCATGCTTGGACTATGGCTCTAAACCCAAGTTTGTCTGAAACTCTTCATAGCTTTGACTGTCACCTTAATATAAGGGACTATATAAAGAACTTCATTTCTATTACTTCACCTACATTACTATGGACAGTAGAGCAAGCTAAATTGTGTTATTTAAAAAACACAACAACTTAGGCTGTTCTCATTCTCCTCAAATTTCCAAAAAATTAATTTTCCTAATAATCAGAATGATTAGGAACTCCCACATTTTCACAAAATGGCATTTGCTATGCACACTGCAACAAGCTTCACTCACTGTTGGTGAGGCATGCTGATGACAAGCTCTCTGCTGATCCTGAGTTTTCACTGTTTGTGCTGGCCAAGCTCAACCTTCTCTCTTGTTTCTGAGATGTGTTCATAGATTTAGAACTCTCCTGAGAGTGAGTTATGTTCAAAGAGCTGCTCTCAAGGAACAGAGCACTGTAGTTCTGGATAGCATCACCTGCAGATAACAGAAATAGAATAAAGCAAAATAAAATAAAGAAACATATATTCATTCACATATATACATATTCATACATATATATGAATGAATTTTCCTCTGTCTTCTTTCAGTACTTGCTAAATATATTTGTGCCATTCTGACCCAGATTACTTACTTTTATCATGCTAGCACATTTGTTGTTCAAATCCTCTTGAGCTGTGTAACAAGAGAAACGTCAAGAGAACATTAAATAAACAGAGCTATGAAAATAGGTACTATACCTAACTGATGAGATCTTCCATCCCCCAGTGGGTATCTCTGGTATCGTGGAACACTGAATGGAGGCAGGAGATGAAATCTTTTCTCCAGCAATGGTTCAAGTCTGCAGGCAGATGGGTCAGCGGAGTGAAAGAAACTGTACACCTGGCTGCAGGCTGGGCGAACCTGACAAACTTCAATGAGAATGAAAGAGAGAAAGAGAGTTTGGTATTGCCACTTTAAGATTTTCAAGGAGTCTATGCATAAAGATGGTTAATACAGACTCCTGCAATCTCAGTCTTCCAGTGATCCTATGACACAATTTAAAATTTCAGGAAAGCAGATTCCAAAGTTACTTTTAAAGGATATGTTTATATATAGCCAATAATAACTTATAAAAGTGACTGTGGCACTTTCGAACATACAAACATTTTCACACACAGTACAGTATTCAAGAGAATGTAATCAGACTGCACACAAAATATATAACTTCTGAGCAAACTCTCCTGCTGTGTTGTTAAAAACAGCTCACAGCCAACATATCCAGGGACCAAGTTTAGTCATGAGGCCAGAAATGAAAAAGATGACATACTAAACCAAACACAGACGCTACTTTTGGTATCATTTTCTAGGATTACTCCTTGGTGAAGTAAAAACTTTCACATTACCCTGCGAGGAATATATATGATCAACAGCAAATAACACACTACTATGAATAGGTGAGCAGTGACACCGCTGGAATTAAACTCCATCATCTCATGTCTTAGTACTAACTTGCACTGACATTCCCATCTTTCAGAAGAAGGAACCCTTCAAGCAGGAAATCATTCCCCAGACTTCCAGTAGACGCCTTTGTTTACCTGCTTTTAAAATAACCTCTTTGTTTACAAAGTCATTAAGCATCCTGCATTCTAATGTTAGAAAGAGCTTACCATTCAGACCTGGCAGAACAGTACTCCTCATGGCCAGCACCAAACCAAGCGGTGATCCAAAGAGGAAGAAATCAGACACCTCAAAATCAAACCGGCCCAGGTTTACATCTGAGAGACTGGAATTCGCAGGAAGAAAGTCTGCGCCATCTTTCAACACACTTGAGCGGATGCTGAGTAAAGAAAATACACTCATTTAACTATAATGAACCCAGAGAAGAAATGCATTCCCCAAACAGGTATCTTAAAAAGCTCTAGCATCCACATATAGATTCAAGAAACATGCCTTAAATTGTAGAAAAATAATTACAGTATAGCAGCCACTTATCATGATTTCCAGTGTGGATATTAAATGTATTACCTTTAACATGCACAAGCTTTGTACTGTTGAAATACTTATCAGCAAGTTATGCAAGAACTCTAAAAACTGAAAAATTACCTCTTCTTCTTGTTAGCTGTATAGATGCATTTAAGCTTATTCTGAAACTTTTAATATGAATTTGAGCCTCCTCAACTTGTATGAGGACAACGGTATTAAAAAGTTACAGTGATGCCTTGTGCATAGCTTTTCATTTTGTAAATGATTAAAACGCTGATTTAGTTTCTATGCCATACATGCATAGAAATGGCTATATATTTGTTAGGACACAAATAAGTTAATTATGTTAAATCTTGCTCCCAGCCTCCTTCCATCTAGGCAAGACATTTACTCAGTTTTAGTTGTTGTTTTGCTTTAAAGATAGTCTGGAGCTTGCTGACCAATTGAACAGCAAAAACAATCATCTTACTCTTTAGAGAATAAAGGAAAGCCTGTGAGGGGAATCCAAGGTTTAGAAAAAAAAAAAAAAGTAACAAATTCATCCATCTTGACTTCTGTGGGTTCTTCTGAAGAAATGAAACTTGCATTTAGTTTTGCATACTCAAAACTCTCACAGCTGAATAAAAAATAAATAAAAAACTTGTGAGAAAATTCATACCAAACCTACTAAATCTATGTCTTTGGAGGATGTTTGCAAGAACTTTAAGCAAACCTCTAGAAACACAAAAGAACGAATAGAAATGATTCTGCCCCTCCAGTGCTGACAAGCTGAATCGAGTGCCAATCCTATTTCTTTTACTCAGTTATCACACACTAGTTACCTAGACAGGAAAGCATGATGATTTGTTATAGTATCACAGTTGTAGGTGGATGAGTCACTCTGTTTCCTAGGCAACAGCTGTCTTGGCTCTTCATCCTCCATAATTTCTGAGATGTCAATATTGCTTTTGCTCAGGTGTTTTCTGCCACCCAGACTGGAGTCCTCTGTTAAAAGGGGATTATCCTTCAGAGAATGAACAGAGCAAAAAGAAGACTTAGACAGGGATCGAAATTCAACAGAGCTTATACAAACGGGATGCATTTATACATTTGACCTCATTTTATCAAAGCCGTGGTTGAAAGGGTTAGAAACTAGGCCAATTCAGCACCTGTTTTAGCCCTAGCAGGGAGTGAGAAACACTTCTGAAAAACACACTAAACCACTTAAAAATACACCAGGTAGTACATTAGAAGAAGGCTGAAATGATCAGTATAAAGACTATTCACTGCATTTCAAACAATTTAAAGTCTTTTTTTCTATTGATAGAAACTCTCTCAGTGCCCCCAAATGCCACAATTAAAAAAAAAAAAAAAAAAAAAAAAAAAAAACAACTCATCTGCATTGAAATGGTATCAATAATTAGGCTCTGAATCAGTCATCCACAGGTGAGTTTTATGTATTATATATCCATGTGGTAAAAATCATCAATTTTCTCTATCTCTTCTAATGACAGTTGTCTGCTTCAAAATAATGTGTTTTAGCTGTTGCAGCAAGAGAGAACCATCTTCCTCTTCTAAAATGCAATGCTTAGTTCTTTTCAACTTAGAACTTACATTAGAAATGAAATGGAAGAGGGGAAAGATAGAGACAAAAACTGGGAAGGAAGCTCTACAATGTTGTGGAAAAGGAGAAGAGTAGGAAAAAAAGAATGTAGGAAAACTGGAACAATAAGCAAGAGCAATGCAGTCAAAGAACCTGTCCTACATTCTGATCCCCATTCCCCCATTTTTGGTGAGAAATGTAACTAAAGAGTCAAAAGATGAAACAATTTAGCTAGCATCATAAAACCATCAAATAATACATTACAGGCACCTCATTCAGTATCAACACCACTCTTCCATATCCACTTAAGTCTAAAGTACATAAAATTAGTTGAACTCAAGCATTCCTTCTTAAGTGGAGAACACACAATGCAGCTTATATGACAGAAATGTTTACAAAAAAAAAAAAAAAAAGTGCTTCTACTACCAAAAAAATATCTTCTGGATCACAGTGAGAATGAATTTCTCCTATTTCCAAATGTAGCACTCATTTAGAGACTTTGTTACTCTCACTGCCCTGTTCATTCAACCTCAGGTGACTCACATTCTTCACCAGAAAGTAGGCACATCTCTCACCAGTTAGCAGAACTTATTTATGAGCACATCTTAATGTTAGAATACCCCTAGGCAGTAGTATAATTGATCCTATAGTGTCTGGAAAAAAAAAAAAAGACTGGCAGAAACAGTACCCTGAGATTACTGGGAGGATACATCTACATCTACAGTTAAGATGACACCCAGTAATCCTACTTTAAAGATTTACTAATAAAGCCTTCACTACTGATGATGTATCATAAAACTGAAGCTGCAGACTTAATTTTCAGACAGCAATTTTTATGAGCAAAATCCCATGCCATTATTATTATTTATCAAATCCTTAAATTTTTTGTGGTTTAATATGGACCTGAATTTCTTAGTTTCCCTCTAGGGAATGAATCTATATATAGGGAATGAACTTCAGCTGAGTAGATTTTTTTTCTCTTCACCTGGATGCTGCTGATGCTTCCTCTCCTGCTACTGTTCTGACTCTCATCAGTTCTGTTAGTATTATAGCAAATGGCATCAAACCCCAAAATGCCTCCAATGCAGTCACCAATGAGACATACCTGAAGGAGTAAAAAAATAGTGAGTTAGTGAAATGCAGCAAGTATTTTAGAAGAAACAAAAACCATCACAGACCTGCAGAAACATACCCTACTCCTTTTAAACCCTTGTTCTTTTTTTCTTTTTAATACCTTGCTTCCTACTGCAGTTGAAGTGTGTAGTCACTTTTTCCCACTTCCTCTTATTTACAGACATATGCCCCATGCCACGAATATCCATCCCAGTGACTGTTTTGATAACCATAGAATTGCTGTAAATGCTACAGAATTCTTCACTACACTGTACACCAAATGCAATTTTTTCTTCCCCCTTGTGAAAACAGGAAGTCATTGTACTTTAGGGAAATGAATGTTTCCAGCTATCTAAAGGGCCCAATAATAAAACATCAATAACTCACACAGAGTAGCAGTAACATATTTACTCTAAAGTAGGTAAGTACTATTTCTTTCTAGTCTAGAGATGGAGAAGCAGGAATAATAATAATAACTGTGACATGTCAGTTGGAAGAATTCAACAGGTGACTTCCCTGAGGAGTGGACCATACCAGAAAAATCAAATGAGTATACCAGAGCTACATGGGAAATCTGCAAGAGAGTCAGCAACTGAGTATTTATCTTTTGAGTTTCTCTGCTGTCAAATGCTTTATTACTACTGTGATGGAGGCAAAAAAGAAGCAATAAATTTTGGATTCTTTTTGCTGTCAGGGATGTGCTGATGACCCAACTCTTCAGCTATGGAAGGTGTGTGACAAACTCAGAAACACAGATTAGCAGTTGTTGTTTTGGGCTCACAGACTTGTCCATTGCTTAGTATAATACACTCTTAAGACACAACTAAGGCTCCTGTATACTATCAGAGTTCATAGCAATAATTACTAAGAGCTTAGGTGTCAAAAGGCTTGTGGGAGAAGGTATAGTATTTTCTACCGACTGAATAAATCCAGGTTAGATTCAGCACAGGATTCCAGAAGGGTCTTCCTCATGCTGAGTACTGAGAGGGCATTTTGTATAAATAATCCCAAGCTAATGTTCATGCACCAAATTTACAGTATTGTTCTCTCACACTCATAACTTAAAACCATGAACGCATACTAGAAACAGCTTAACAAGAAATATACTTGCTCCAAAGGAATTTTTCTTTTATGTAAGAAAATAATAGTCCTACCTGCCCGTTAAACCCAACTCCATCTGTAGATTTGAGAAAGTCATTGTAAACTTGGTTTGCTCTACTGATCACCATGGCAACTGCGTCCTGGTACTGAGGGGATGAAACAGCCAGCAAGGGCAAAGCAGCCAGCGGGATGTGGTCTTCACTGCTGCTGAGACAGCTTTCATCATAGCTGTAAGGATTTAGGCTAAAGTAGAACATGCTATCGTCAAGAAAAATGCAAAAAGCAGCACATAGCATTAGCAAATGAATAGTTATTAACAGAAATAGGCTGAGCTCTTGCAATTCACTATGAAAGCACAAAAAGGACCATTTGATCACAACACTCAACAGTTAAAAATCAAGGAGTTACAGCTTTATGAGACTAAGACAACCCTAGAACACATTCCTGAAATTAAATACACAAGGTGAATTTTTTCCACCTTATTTTTACACATACAAGTGGACATAACTTAAGAGAATAAACTGATTATTCCCTTTCAGCCTTTCCCCCCCCCATATACTAACTTACTATATTAAAGAATGGGATTCAGAAACTACAACAGAATGTTATTTCCTAGAACAGCAAATAGAAACATTATTCAAAAGCATATAAAAACATTTTTCCAAATGTTCCATCCCTTCAAAAAGATGGAACAAAGTTGCACTGCCTCCAAAATTATATGCAATTTTTTTCACAGAAAAATGTTTCAAAAAGGAGGTTTAACAGCTAAAAATGTAAGCTTAAATTTGACAGCATGGCATTCTAGTTTGGATGTGTGCTCTGCAAATTTTTCAGTAAATTCCATTCATATCTTGACTGATAGATGAATGCAGAAAACAGTTCAGAGAACCAAAGGTGCAGGTCACATAACTTGTGCCAAGGCAAACAGATGGTTGCTCTACGTTGGCACGCGCTATGCTGACACATTCATAAAATTGAGTATACACTCAAATCAAACATGAAATTTTATGCTGCTGCTTAATCTGGCTCACACTTGATAAAATATTTCAGTAATTTAAAACACACTTCCTTCTCCACAGTTTGCTAAGTGGGATGTTGACCACAACTTTACATTCCACAACTGCTTCCTGGAGTTCTGACTGTAAAAGCTGCTGGTGTGAAGCTACAGCAATGTGAGAGCAGGGAATCACTTCTCCTTTTGTCAGCTCCAAACAGATAAACCACAAAAGCAGCTCTGTGCAAGAACATATCAAGGCAGTAGCAATCATATGTCAGCACCAGGAGTGATTCCACTGGACATTCAAATATTCAGCTTAGCTATTTTCAATTGGGCTGAGTACTGTATAATGCAACAAGAGAGAATCCAAAAAACAAAGAAAAAGCAGGAGGGAGTCTTTTCATTTGGGGTGCCAGCACACTCTTCCTTCCTTCTACTCTACCAGCTCTTCTTGCAGTCAATCAAGCCCCGTGGGCTATGCTTTATGAGACACCTAGGAGATGCTACTGATCTGGCTCCATAAAAAGCCCATTTAAAGTGGGATCCTTCAAAAGCCTTTTGATGCTTCAACTCTCCTTCTTCTGCTGGTTTGCTTTCTTTACAGGGTAGCTACTTGGACACACACTTATAGTTCTTTCCTGGCTGTTTCAGTGTATTCCCTCTTGATGTGAACACTGTTGCAACTTCAGCAGTCTGGTTTGCCCTTAGCCATCCCTTCCTACTATAAGCCCGTCACAGCTTTGAGTCCAACCAGTATTTCGGAACTTTAATGTATACTCTAATCCCTCCATTCCACTGCTGTCACCTAGATAGCAGGCATCACTGTTTTCACATCTAAAGGTCCCAAATGTGATTTTAAAAAACTCATATCCTCTTCTGTGAGGTTTTCTGCTCCACAAAAAGTTCAAATGTAAGCTCAGGTGTTATACTGCAACAAAGGCCATAAAAGAGACCATCATTTAAAGGAAGTCTCAGGAAAAAAAAAAGAAAAACAACCCAAAACAATAGAAGTTTCTCTCCGCTTAGGAAAAAAAAAAAAAAAAAAAAAAAATCAAGCAAGTCCAAATCTTTCCTCCCCATCACCAGAGTTGCTCTTGGTTTACAGTCACAGAAGACTTGAATCAGGCCCAAGAACACATTTCTTTCTCCTTTCTCTATCATGCAGAAAAGATGAGTACACATCTCTTTAAAATATTTATATCAAGGAAAATGTCACCAAGGAAATACACGTTACCTGAAAAGGTTCTCTCATTTAAGGGGTGAATTTCAGGACTGAAAAGAAGAAAAGTGGGCACAGACAACCAGCCCACTAGAAAATTCAATTTGGTATTTTAAATTCAGCTCACCAAGACCACAGAAGTAAATAAAAACAGTGAAGAGATTTTTAATATTTTAATCATCATGTTACAGAATATTCTGCATGAGCTCAGTTAAAATACTGGTTGGACTAGTACCAGCACCACAGCACAATCAGAACTACTGCTACCCAAGTTGATAAAATATTATTGGTTACCATTATGAGGATGTAGAAGCCAGTTATAGCAGCACTCGGAGGAAAACCTGCTCAGGAACTAAGGCTATCAAGTGTTTAGTGTGCCAGTAATGCTGCACGGAAAATTTTTTACTATGGGGAAAAAATGTAAAATTAAGCTGGTTACTCTACTGCTGCTATAGCTCTCCTTTCTACATGAACCTTATAAATGTAACATCCTCTGAAAATACAGGCTAAGATCAGCTGCTGTCCCATGTTAACAACCTGACAAAGAGAAACATCTTAACCATGGTACTCTCTTATACCCATATTCCTTAAATTTTCCACATATATTCTAGGCTACAGGTACAATTCAAAGACAGCATAAATATTCCTATTTCTTCCTCAGGCTTTGTGCTAGGCTTTTGGTTAATGACTGAAAAAAAATATCTCTTTGTATTATTTTAACCTTGTATCTCTTCCAACTTCAAGAAGTGAGGCACTGATGGACCATTCAAGGTCATGCAGGAAATCTACTGCAGACTAAGGAATACTACTCTTATTTCCTGACTTCCATGTTAAGATTATATCTAAAAAGTCATACCTCCTCTCCAGGAACTGCTGCTACATGTCATTTTTCAATTCTCACAGCAACGTCATTACGAGTGCATATCTGAAATTTTTACTGTCATATATATAATGATTGTTAAAATTAATAATAACAACAGTTTTTCACTGTGAGGGTACCTTTCATACAAGCATGCAAAGCAACTTCAAAACATACTACTGATGCACAGTTAAGAGTTATGTTCTTGCTCTGGGCACAGTAAATACCAAACCAAGCAGGTCTCTAAGCTGCTAATTACCCTTTCTCTGAAATTACATTCAGAATTTCCTGACTTGTTTTTGCATTGAAATATTATCACAGCATACTACACAGCAATAATTATCAACTACAGAGCTGACTTGCTACAAGAAATGTGATCTGATGAACAACCTCTTTGGTTTGTTCAGCCCAGAAAAGAGGAGGCTGAGGGGGGGCCCTCATAGCAGCCTGCAGCTTCTCACAGGAGAGCAAAGAAGCAGGCATTGCCCTCTGGTGAGAGCAAAAGGGCCAAAGGGAACAGAATGGAGTTCTGCCAGGCAGGGGTTGGGAGAAGGGTTCTGCACTAGAGGGTGTTGGGTATGGAACAGGCTCCCCAGGGCAGCGGACGTGGCCCCAAGCTGCCAGAACTTTAAGAGCATGTGGATACTGCTCTCAGATATAACTAAATCTCAAATGTACTGTGAACTGAAGCCTTCAATAGCCAAAGGTATTGTTTATTACAGATGCATTCTCTGTAACTCATTCAAGAGTATACTGCATTCACATACTGCATTCTTAATGGCAACAAATGAATACCACAGAACTACAGGACTTCAAAGAGCGGTAGCTCCTATTGGGAATGAACATGTCAAAAGCCTTTCAAAACCACACTGCAAAGCCAAATAATATAAAGCAAAATCAGCTTACTTGGAAACAAGAGAGAAGGCTGCTGAACAGATTGCTGGGCAGGGAACAAGTCTGATTAAGATGTGGCCCAAAGCAGCAGGGAAATGGTCTTGTGTCACCTTCTCAAAGACAGAACAGAAGGTGTTGATGTCTGCCAGCTTGCTGCTTTGATCCTCTCCCCCATTGTCTAAGATATTCCCTCCATGTAGGATCAGAATTAGCACACGAGTTTTGCATTTCTGGTGTTGAACTACTTCCTATGAGAAAAACAGGAAATAAGAAAGTAGGGAGCCTTTTTACAAAAAGCGTTGGTATATTTAGGGTAAATGTTCACAAGCACCGATTTTTTTTTCCCATTCCCACTGCGATCATTTGTGTTACCTGACTTTGGGAGGGGGTGGGGGATGGCATTTAATTCAAGTATATCTGAATCAGGTAGAGCACACTAAGCTCTGCCGTAAAGCCCTTGCAGCTCAGATTTAGGTGTTGGACTAACAAAAATTATAAACAACTTTGTACACATCAAAAGCTATTGGAAATATATCCACACTGGAGAAGACGTCAAACATTCACAGACAGCCTAAGTCTCTAGGTATTGTGAACTGGGATGCTGCAAATTTGGAAAGGTTTATCTCAAATAATCATGGGATCTGAAAAGAAAAACAAATGAGAACATTTCTGGTTATTTTCATTTCTGCCAATAAAAGCATCAAGCAAAAGAAGGTGATAGAGTTTTGACAACAGCAGCCTCTTGAAATTGACAAAATATTAAAATGAAAAAGTGGGGTTAACTTACCCAGACATTTACTGAAAGAGTAAAAATTGTACTGGAGCTGACAGCCATAAATCTCATAAATAAATTTATGAGCACGTGAATGCATGCATACACAGACAACAATCTACCATGGAAGGTGAAGTGATGTGGTCTGCAGAAAAAACAAGATGTTATCTACTTGAAACTGGAACAACGTTTTGCAAGTTTCACAGATGCACTTCTATTTTCCCCTTCTGTAGACTCTACACATTCACTCAAAGGACAACTTACTAAATACATTAAAAGACCAGGAAAATTAGGTGATTTACTGAGAAAGCAGTTGAAATATAACAAGACGTTATACTGTGAAATAAACTCCATTTATTTCCAGCAAGGTCTTTTTAATTAATTCATATTATTTTATATTCTACTACAACCTGATCATAATCTAATACGTCTGTATCTTTATCTGCTGTGCTCAGATGATGTCTCTTCTCTTTTTCATTCCTTTACCAGTTTATCTAAACTGCAAGACATTTAAGGCAAAAGTCAGTTTGATTCACATCACAGCGCCTTCTAAAAACAGGCATTCAAACATGCCACAATTCATATATATATCCCTCAGGAATGCAACTCTCAGCATGGTATTATGTTTTTGTGAGGAAACTGACCAATATTATGACAACTGTGTCCATTTCTGGGCTCTCCAGCTCAAGAAAGACATGGAACTGCTAGTGAGAATCCAGCAGAGGGCAGCAGAGATGGTTGGGGCCTGAAGCACCTTTCTTAACAGGAAAGGCTGAGAGCCCTGCGGCTGTTCAGCCTAGAAACGGGAAGGCTGAGAGGGGATCTGATCAGTGTTTATCAAAATCAAAAGGGCAGGGGTCAGAAGGGAGAAACTAACAAAGCAACTGCACAAACACACAGTTCAGCCCGTAGTTTAGGAGGATATGTGGGGTGGGAGGAGAGGAAGAAGAGGCATATGTTGGGGTGGAAACACTGACACAGATAAGGAAAAAAGATGTAGTTCAGCATACAGAATAGTGACAGAGAAATGGTTGAAAGAGAGAATCATAAGCTGTTCCACACAGCCATTATCTCTGTTTAGCCTACATTTTTTAGTCTCCAATAACATTTACTCATTTTAAGTCTCATAGTCATCTCCTGAAGGCGTGTTTTCTGCCTTTTAAGTTTTGGATATGCATGTAAGTAGAATGAGTATTTTTAAGGTTCCACTTTTTCCTGCTCTAAGTTACAAATTCTGACTCCATTTATTCCCAATCCAGTCATTCAAAGAGAAACTTAATTCCCTTTAAAAAGCTAAGAGTTCTTTCTAAAGCCAACACAAGATTGTAAACAAGTAGCGCTGCTGAAAGGTTGGTGTAACAAAAAGCTTCAAAACAGAGAGAAAAACTCAGGTAAGTCAGTACTGCTCAAGTCACTGTTACTAGAAGTGCCTCAGCTAACTGCATTTAACAGGTATCCTTTACAGAAGGAATCAAAGGGAGTGAAAATAATTTGCCTCTAAGGAACAGCCCAGGCATGTCTAAGGAAAGGGGCTCAAGGACCAACTCAAAGGGCATCTGAAGTGAAAGACTATCATAATTTCCAGGGAGCTTTAGGACTGGGATTCCTCAAAAACAAAAAAGTAGGCATTTCTGTTTTCTGTTTACATGGGAACGGATGACCTTAATCAGTCAACTGGAAGGACTAGAACTAGTTTCAATTCTTTGCATCTTCTAAAGAAGTAATTCTGTTACTATCAATTTCAGACTGCTGCTGAACCTTCTCAAAATATGCATTTGCACTGGAGTGCTATGGATACATAACAATTTCTCAAGAGACATAGGGTCATATTTCCACCCAAATTAATTATGCAATATTTTAAAAACTTGGCTTGATTTTCTGTGATTGCATGTGTACTTACTGAACAAAAAGAACATTAAGCCACCAAAGAGGCTTATAATTCCATAATGCAATATGACAGTATTTCCACATGTCTGCACCCTGGAAATCAGCACAGTTTGTTTTGGGAAACACTCACCTCACTGTCCTCATGTATTTCAATACTGCCTTGTGCAGGTAACCTTTGTTTTCTTAATGAGGCATGATATAATTCACCTGAAAGGAAGAGAGACATAACTGAGTATATAAATATTTGGGTGCCTCATCCTTCACAGACATCTGTGGAGTTAAGATACAGTTATGGTTTCAAGACAGAAAGATTCACATTCTGTGGACAAACAGAACAACAAAGTTCTTTGCAGTCCTGTGTAATACAGAGTCCTCTATTCCTAACAGCAATATCTGTAACAAGATTCTCTGTAACAAGATTCAAGTCCTTATGCAAAGGTATACTGTATCAGCACAGGTACTGTTTGTCATCTGTGCCTTTCTGGAACAGGCTGAAATGATGGACTCTGCAGTATTACTTTGTCTAAACATAAATACTGTCAGGTAATGAGAAGGAGCAGAAACTAGAATAAGTTCATTATAAGAAGTATGACATGGTAAAAACTATAGAGTTTTTTTTGCTTAAAAGTAAACAATTACAAACTGGAAGTGCTAAGTTGTCTTAAGATTATATCTGTTGTTCCTGTATGTCAGTGGAATTTACACAGTAATTAAATATTGCAATATTTCACTAAAGGGCAATTAATTCAACTGAAGTCTGAAAGATTAGTTCTTTGAGAGGTTAACCCTTCTACAGACAGTGATGAAATCCCAAATGAGATGAGAATCTTCCCATCTCTGTTAACACCTTCTCCCTTACAAGTGGGAAGGAGGCTATGAGTGCACGCTGACAGCTTCCTGAATTGAAACAGATTTTTTCTCTATTTACTGCAGCATGTCTGAAGAAAATAAAATGCATCATATAATGCTACAGACAACTCGGCTTACTTTTTCTTTTGGAGTACTGAACTCATACCATGTTTGTTACTACTCCACTTGAGACACGTTTATGGACAGTCTGCCAGACTCTAGAAGAATAGACTAGTTAAGCAGGGTCTGGTCAGGCTATCCTAAAAGCACTGAACTTAGTCCAAAACAAACTTCAAATACTCTTAACTTCTGCATTAGAATTGAGAGCTAATTCCATAGCCAGTCTTACAAATATCAATCCTTATATCCATCAAACAATATGGCCACATTTCTCCATATTTAAAAACAAATTGATTATTCTTGCCTTTCTGGCAGGCAAAGATTTAAAGGATTAGTCATTTAATATTTGTGTAAAACAAAACATAACACCATCACTAAACAACACCCACACAAGAAACACCCACAACAAACAGCAAAAACACAAACCCACAAAGCCTTAACTTTCAACCAAATGCAATCACACTATGGAACTCTCTGAAAACTGGTCTCTGCAGTTTAAAGATGCTTCTAACTGAAAGTGGCGTTTCCAAAAGCTTGGCCAGCAGACCCACTTTTCTTTTAGTTGCATACAGGAAGAATGTCAGTTTTCTAGCAACTTAGCTCACAACAGAACCAATACCATACAAACATGAATTCTGAGTCCTGAAGAAGGGTTATTCTAGACCACGAGGAAACATCTTACAGTGAACTATAATATTTATCCTCAACAGAGTACTTAAGAAATCCAGGACTCACCAAATGCTCAGAAACCTTCACTGCTACCTTTCTCCACAGCGCACCACACTAGGCAAAATGCTTTCTGGAATTACTTATACCCTGTTCCTTTGAAAATCCCATTCTAAAAATACATCTTTAGAAAGCAAAGAGAGTGGTTTGCTTTTTTCTTAAAGCACTGGATGCCAGGTTTAATGATAATTCGCTCCTGGCCTCACATGTGTGGGAAAAAAAAAAAAAAAAAAAAAAAAAAAGTAGATAACTGGATTTTAAAAACCAGGAATTGTGATATACTGGGCTTCTTTCCAAAGAAGCACGCGTGTGTGTGTGTGTTTGTGTGTGTGTCTGTGTGTCGGGGGATCAATATGTGCCTCCATTTCACATTTCGGTTTTGCTAATTGTATGTTTGGAAGATAACCAGATTTGGGGACTAGATTCAGCTTTACTGTTTTGGTTAAATATCAGACACTGAAGTAATGGGGACCTCCTCCATAATGAAGATAATATAATGAATCAGACTACTCAACAGCTGAAGCTCTGTCCAAGAACATGCATCATGATGTATGGCAGAAAAACGCTGAAATTTCATTAGACAGCAAAACAAACTGATCAAGAGATTGCATATTTTATTATTTATTGGAAGGGCTTTAATGAGGTAAAATACTAATAAGGCTTGTCTGACCAAACCTCTCTGATGATGTTACCAACATTTTACAAATTTTTCCAGTAGTCTTGTTTCATATTGTCATTAGACCAAATTATGCTAATTGTGTCATTATGCAAATTACAGTAGGGAAAAAAAAAAACAGTATTCAAATCCTATAGTAAAAAAACAATCGGTTGTAACAGATTACATTCTAATACCTAGTAATATAGTCAGGAAAGTTCAGGATGAAATAAGAAAAAAAAACATTTGAAAAGTAGTTATTTAACTTGCAAATTCACCAACTAGAAAGATACTATGGCTTCTCAAAATCTAGCACAAGAAGATACAGGAACAGGAGAACCATCTGAAACCTGATTCCTCAGGACAGTCAGCTCTCACACAGGTATCTACATAAACTAATCAACGGTGAGCAGGCAGTAGTAATGGCTAGTCCCCACTGCTATCCTTACGTTCAAGTTTTTAAAACTAACCAAGCCCCAGACATATTGAGAACTTGGAAAAATCCAGCCTTTCTATTGTGTCTTTCTGGGAACAGAACTCTTGAAAACCCAGATCTAGACACAGCTGCTGAGCCATCCTACACAGCTCTAGCTCATATTACTGAGAAGATTCTTCTGGGGAATACTGAAGAATTCCTCATGCTCCTGAGTGAATGTGTCCTAATAGCACTCCACTGGTTTCCTGCAGGCTACAAGTAGGAATGAAAAGTCGTTGTCTTTTTCTAAACACTTACTTGACCCAGCCACCATGCCAGGTTGTAAGGTCACAATCAATTACCCTGCTAGTATACAAAGACATTTCTCTAGAAGTTCAAATAATCTTGCCTCTACAGACATGAGTATCTTTTTCGGAGGTAATCTGAGATTAATTCACTTAGCACAAAACTTAACACCTTCCACTCCCACTGCAAAACACTCTGCCTGTGAGGGAACAGACTTGAAGGTACTGCAGCAGCAATTTAAACAAAACGGAACAAAACAAAACAACAAAGATTGAGAAATAAAACTGCTGAATCACAAAACTACCTTGCACATAGAACTCCACAGGGGACAAAAAGAAAAACGAACGGACTGCATATGAGAAATTTAAGCTAGAGCACATTACTATACTCCTAAAGATAAGCCACTTTAGGACAAACTAATGAAACAATTAAATAATGATCTGCCGGCTAGGATATAAAGCTCAGTTCAAATTTGTGCCTTAGTGCATGCTTCTTCTATATCATATATTATCACACTTCTCTATGCCCTTTCTTTAGCTATGCAGGTGGATTCTAGAAAACGGCTGTATTACAAGGTTATGCAGGTAATCTATCAGTGAATTTCTGGATTTGCAGGATTAGCACAAGAACAAGCTTAATGCAGAAGAGAAAAAATTGAACAAAAAACCCGGTCATGTGTTTTCCCTGTGGGAACTCCATTTAGTATTTTACAGTAATGCTTCATGCTGCTCAAAACGCCCTCCTAGAGAACACTTCCTGCTTCATCTAGCAACATACTACATTACTAGGCTGTTTTGCACTTCTTATTAAAAAAAAAAAAATTAAAAATTTTAAAAAAAGCATACAGTCTGTAAAGCGTAATGCACTATTTAATGCACTAAGTCTTACAGGCACTTTTGGGGTACATTTTCATAAACCTCAGTAACAATGAAGAAATTACGCAAACACAGCCTTTGCCCTTTCATACTCCAAAAAATAACATTTGACGAAAGCACAGTAACACACTTTTGCTGATCAAAATTTATTACTATCTCTAGCTGTTAAGCAGCATTGAATACAAAGAAAAATGAAAATAATGTTAGACTCACGTTGCTTTTCCTGTAGAAAGCCAGATGAACAAAACACAGATTCTTCTCCTGTAAAAGGGAAAAAAGAAGGGAATGAAACAGGACTGATTTACATGAACATCAAGTTCCTTCCTTTTTCTAATATATTACAGTGAACAGTTTGCACATGACCACTAAGCTGATTTTTAAAACATCCAATGGCTTCTTTGGAAAGAGCTTAGCAAAAGACACACTGGAGAATTACTCCCTAGTGAATACGAGTCTTGGCTGTGTAACATGGTGTATTTGCTTAACATTCCAAAAACACTTTAAATAATGAGATGCAAAATACAGCCAATTCTTCACAGTCCATTATTTCACACAGCAAGTACACACATACAATCCATAGGCAAAATAATGTAAGCAAAGACAGCTAGAAATTCTAGATTTCCAAAGAAATTAACAGATCTCAAAACCACCTGATACTATATTTTAATTCTGAACTGTGATATTTTTAAATTTTCAGATGCCACAGTTAGACATCTCATTAAGTCTGCCCCCCAAATGCTTGACACAAAGTTCTTTCAAGTACATAACTAAAATTTGATGCTATCTATTCTCACAAACATTCACAAAATGTTGTTCATAAGAAGGTAGATCCAGAGAAGTATGTTCTTTTAGCTTTCGGGTATCAGTTCCTGAAGTTCGGTTCTGGTCTCATTTCCTCCTTCTCCTCACAAGTACCAGTAACCTGTTTAGTATTCATCCCACAAATTTACAAGCAAATTTACAAGCATCTTTTTAAGTCTAGACCATTTAAGGAAAACAAACGAACAAACAAACAAACCTTTCCACCTTAACTAAGTGGAAAATGTTAATTCACAGCCAAGATAATACAGTAGTATTATTAGACTACTACAATTCTGTTCAGTGTCTTGCAGAAACTGTGGCAAATTGCACAGACTGGCAACCGCCTCCCTCATCAGTCAGAAATGTGCTGTTTCACACACAAATTACGGTTGTTTTTTGTCTTACATTAGATGGAAAAAGGTAAGATCCAAAAGATATATGAGAGGCCATAAAATAATCACTCTGCAAGGCTTCTTTTTAAATGCAGAGTGTCATGGAGTTACCGCTAGATCTATCTGCCTCCGTGACAGGGGTACAGCAGGCCCACAGGCCCAAAAAGGGAAAAAGGGGAGGGGAAGGGAACAAAGAGAGAAAGAATATAAAAAAAAAAAAAAACAACCAAACAACAGTGGCAATGATCTGAGGAGGAAAGTTAATTTCCTAATCATAATAGCAGAAATACAAGTTAATTGGGATTGAAGCTATTAAACAAAATAAATGAGAGAGCGAGTGTCCAAAACTGAAGGCCTTACTCTAATGCTGAAGGCAGGTGGCTGGGGAGAACACGGCACATAGACGACCAACAAAAAGAAAGGGGCAGCCTCGTGACATGGGAACAGTTTATCTTTCCCTCTAAATGGAAAACGGAAACAGAACAGTGAAAGTCTTCTGGGAGATGGAGTTCTTCTCTTCCTCTGAGAACCTGGTACCCAGAAATATCAGCAGTCCACAGAACTGGAACATTAGCTCTTAACATTAACTCCCAGTGCATTAAATGATGTTATGATGTGGAAAACTGATAACAAAAATCATAAAACTATGACATAGAGTTACACAGAACAGCTGTAGTGGTATGGAGCCACAGTGCACACTACAGTCTTTGGAGAACAATTCATAGTAAGTTTTAAGGAGAGAAGTACAGCATTTGTTATTAAAAAACAAACAAACAAACAAACAAAACCAGTAGGAATTGCATGGCTCAATTCTAGGTGGTGCAGAAAGGACAGGAGTACAGACGTAACATAACTTGTCCAACAGTAGCACCTCCCAGCTCCAAAGCACTACCTCACAACTACACTGGGTGGGAGAATTAATGTTTAGTCTAAGTCAACAATTCAAATAAGTCCTAAAAAGAGAGCAGTATTACTATCAGCATTTTTTTTTTTGCAGATAATCAGTGCATTAAAAGATGGAAAGATCTCAGTAACCTGGTCTTGGGTGGTGATACCAGGACAGAGCTTTAATATATCAGGTATTAAAATTCCCAGTTGTGTAAGCTGACTGTGTCCATCTACTTTGCTGGTTACCAGTAAGACAATCCCATCAGTCTGTACATGCAACACATGAAGCATGGGAAAAAAGAATTTCACAGGAATTCTATGGCTAATTATGTTTTAATCAACTAAAATCAGGTTTTAATCAACTAAAAAAAATATTTTCTAATTTGCCTACCTGAGAATTCATCATAATCTATGACATTTTAATTGAATTATCTGGATTTACAGTGCATAACAGTAGCATATGACAGAATTGACTAAAGGCTCTTAAAATGTAAGTAGGGCTTATTAAATCAAGTTACCCCATCAAAGCTGTATTGCAGAAATAATTCCTTTGCTTGCTTATGTTATATTCTACAAAAACTATCACTAATGGCAACTTCTCCTCCTTCCCTCTCCCTTCCACACCTGCCCCTGCATAAGATTTCCATATTGCAGAACACAAAAAAAAAAAAAAGAAAAAGAAAAAAAAAAAAAAGGAAAGAAAGGCAGCATGCTCAAGTCCTTGCTAGAAATTTGGCAGAGCTGACCTTTAAAAGTTGAGAAGTTAAACAATTAACATAGCTCTTGCTTATTCTGGCCTAAGCATAATTCTGTCTTTCAGAAAACACTAGTCCAATAAGTTTTAGTTTTAATTAGTCAGACTGCTGAGTATTAATATAAATTAAAAATTAACAACTATCATAATAAAAGTAAAAAAACCCCAATAAATTAGAAAATACATAGTAAAACATTAGAAAATAAAATTAATGATTAATTGCAGCTGCAGCATCGCTACATTTTCTTTTTCTTAGAGAAGAAGCAGCCTAGTAAACTAAAAAAGTGGTATGTAAGGGTTTACCACAATTTAGCAAGAACAGTGCTCTCATCAAAGCTAAGAGGAATATGACCACTTCCGTCAACAAAGCCAGATCACATAAAGAAAGAAGAGAAGCAGACAGGTCATTTCTGAAGAAAAGCAAAAGGTTATCATTAAAACAAACATCATTTAAATACTCTGACAAGCACAACTGGTTGCATAATCTTTTGTCATGCCCTCTATCACAATTGCAAAAGTAACGATAGAAAAGCTAAGATTTAAAATGCTGGCAGCAAGGACAGAGTCACATTACCTAGTATGATGCATGGAAGTATAATTACAGTTAATGAGATTAAACTAACAAGAAGAGAAGCATAGAGTATTAGAAAATACCTGCCAATAACCAGACCTGGCCATGAGGAAGGAAAACAATGTAAAAGGAATGACAGCAGATCTCTGTTGCTAGCAGTTCTTCCATTCCTGCAGCAAATTCAGTGCTTGGTCCTCTCTTTCTTAACAGGTAGCTTACCACATCCCTGTCAACTCACACTTCTCCTGTGAGCTGGCAATTTTTACAAACACTGTTTGTGAGAAAAACCAAGAGCAAAAAGTAAGCTTCCATTTAGTAAGAATTAGCTTTCATCTGCCTCAAAGCAGGCAACAGGCTTCGCCAGTAAGATTTTTGTGACTCGGGAGAGCAACATCTATGCTCACAGCAACAAAAATAGCCTTTGTAAGATTTCTTACAAAGTTCTTGCTGGAGTGAACTTGTGTAAAGCATTTCACAAACACAGTCTCCCTGTCAAAGAGTTTCCAGTCTAGAAAGGCCAAGTAGACCAACAGATAGGCAACCAGGGGAGAGAGAGCAACCCCACTATTCACAATTCATGTGACTTTATTTTTTTTTGTAATTTAAATCATGCTCAGGTTTAGTCTCAAATGTGTAAGCTTTGACCTCATAGTTAATACCAACCACATCAATGGAATTTTCCCCTACAATTTCACCTGCTGAAATGCCAATACAAGCATAAATTGACCTATGAACTACTAACTTGGATTGAATGGCACACCTTTTCTGTAAAAAAAACTTGCCTGGTTTGCTAATTAAAATGTTTCATGATCTCATTTCTGATTATAAAGAAACTCCAGTAATGAAACATAATACACGCTGAATTCAAAGTATACAAAAAGTCTGCTGTATTTGCTGAGAATTCACCTCACTTTAACTGTACTGTGTCAACAGTACAAGGCTGTGCTGTTGTTCAGTGAGAACTGGACAAGTTGAGAGTGGGGCAGAGAGGAACCTGATGAAGTTCAACAAGGGCAAACGTCCTCCCCTCACACCTGGGGAGGAATAACCATATGCATCAGTACAGGTTAGGGGCTGAGCTGCTGGAAAGGAGCGCTGTAGAGGACTGAGGTGTCCTGGTGGCCAACAGGCTGACCATGAGCCAGCAGTGAGCCCTTGTGGCCAAGAAGGCCAATGGCACCCTCAGATGCGTTGCACAGAGCATGGCCAGCAGGGTAAGGGTGGTTTCTCCTCCCCTCTGTCCTGTGAAGGCCACATTTGGAGTGCTGTGCTCCCAGCTGAAGGCAGACAGGGAACTGGCGAGTGGAAGGTCACAAAGATGATCTAAGACTTGGAGCATCTCCCTTACGACAAAAGTCCTGTGGCTGTTCAGCCTGGAGAAGAGAAGGCTGAGAGGGGACCAATGCTTGCTGAAATCTAAAGGGCAAGAATAAGAGGATAGGGCCAGGCTCTTTTCAGTGGCGCCCAAACAGAACAAGGAGGAATGGTCACAAGCTAGAATATAGGAAGTTCCATCTGAACTTGAGGAAAAAAATGCTTTACTTTGAGTGTGACAGAGTCCTGGAACAAATTGCCAAGGTTGGTGATGAAGTCTCCTTATCTGGAAATATCCAAACCCACTCAGATGCTTTCCTGCATAACCTGCTCTATGGAACTTGCAAGGAGTTGGACTGGAGCACCTCCAGAGGTCTGTTCTAATTTCCACAATTCTAGGAACAATTACTTTAACCTCACAAATGTTAACAATGTTTACTTAAAGATACGGGGTCAGGTGGCTAGACTAAATGCAAAGCCCTGAAAACAACAGTCTGACTTTGCTCCTAATTCTCAGAGCACGCAATTTTCTATAAAGCAATATACACATACTTTACACCAGTAGTGAATTTAACTGCATAACTATGATGTGTGAAAATGCTGTTTGTCTTACCTTCTGTAACAGAAACTTATTAGATTTAAATGCTGCTCCCAGTAAATAAAAAAAAAAAAAAAAAAAAAAGAATTCATTGGATAAGCAGATCATACTTCTTACACTTTTCCACTGAAAAAGTGAAGTACCACATCAAAGACAACACAGGACCTCCCTCTCTTTTCTACACAGTATTTTAAAGAAAAAACCCAACTTTACCTGGACACATAATTTTTGACTATAAACACTTGAGCTAAGGCTGAAATACTACCTACTCTATCTGAAGATTACTGATCACAGATATCTCTGAAACTGAATCAGTAATTCCACTCAGCCTTATTAAGCTATAACTTAAAGCACTGTCTAATTATCTGTATTAAAAACACTGTGGTAAGTATTTGGCAGATAATTCCATGAAGACAGACACAGCAGATGTAAAGGAAATCAGTAAATAACAAATCAGTGGGGCTGAATTTGAAAGCTTAACATGGCAAGGAAAAGAAGGAAATGCATGTAACTGCTTCATCTGCTACTAAATCTCACATATTTAGCAGGCATGCAAGATGGTTCACGGTGAGCCATTTAGAAAACTAAGCCATATTTGATACAATACCATATTAATTTTTCTTACTACTCTTTTTTGTCTTGCAGATAAAATGGTATACTATACCACATCTAGCAACTCTTCCAAACTGCCATTTGGAGTTAGAGACACAATGAAGTAAGTTACCAAGTAACATTAGAGAAAACTTGGTATCATTGTTAAGAATTAATGTAAAAAAGAAGTCTTCCTGAATTACCTATTTAACAATTGTAAACATAATGTCTGGATTGGCATCTACTTGTCATTTAAGTGCTAGCAATAAAACATTCCAATGGTAGATAATCAAAAAGTTTCTGAATCAGATAAATATTACTTTTAATCAATCCTTATACTGAAATATAATAATTTATATATTTTTATATTTTATATATATATATATATATTTATATAATAATTTATATAATTATATGTAACTAATATAATTTATATAATAATTTATATATTTTATAATCCTTATACTGAAATAATAATTGGAGTGACGGCATTGGTGGACGAAGGGAAGGCGACCAATGTCATTTACCTGGACCTTAGCAAGGCCTTTGACATAGTCCCCCACCACATCCTCATCTCCAAATTGGAGGGAAGTGGATTTGATGGGTGGACGACCCGATGGATAAGCAATTGGTTGAAAGGCTGCAGACAGAGGGTGGTGGTCAATGGCTCTATGTCCAGGTGGAGGCCGGTAACAAGCGGTGTCCCCCAAGGGTCTGTCTTGGGACCGGTGCTCTTTAACATCTTTATTAATGACATCGATGAGGGAATTGAGTGCACCCTCAGCAAGTTTGCTGACGACACCAAGCTGAGTGGTGCGGTTGATACAGTGGAAGGAAGGGATGCCATTCAGAGGGACCTCGACAGGCTGGAGGGCTGGGCTCGGGTGAACCTAATGAGGTTCAACACGGCAAAGTGCAAGGTTTTGCATTTGGGCCGGAGGAACCCCAGGCACCTGTATAGGCTGGGAGGAGTGGTCCTTGAGAGCAGCTCGGCAGAGAAGGACCTGGGGGTCCTGATGGACGAGAGACTGAACATGAGCCAGCAGTGCACTCTGGCAGCTCGAAAGGCAAATGGGATCCTGGGCTCCATCAGGAGAGGGGTGGTCAGCAGGGACAGGGAGGTGATTGTCCCTCTCAACTCGGCTCTTGTGAGGCCCCATCTGGAGTACTGTGTCCAGGTGTGGAGCCCTCAGTACAAGAAAGACATAGAGATTTTGGAAAGGGTCCAGAGGAGGGCGACTAAGATGATCAGGGGGCTGGAGCACCCCCCCTATCAGGACAGGCTGAGGGAGTTGGGCTTGTTCAGCCTGGAGAAGAGAAGGCTGCAGGGTGACCTCATTGCAGCCTATCAATACCTGAAGGGAACCTACACCCAGGAGGGGAGTAAACTCTTCAAAAGGGCTGACAACAGCAGGAATAGGGGAAATGGATCCAAGTTGAAGGAGGGAAGATTTAGGTTGGATGTTAGGGGGAAGTTCTTTACTAGGAGAGTGGTTAGGCCCTGGAACGGGCTGCCCAGGGAGGTTGTGGATGCCCCGTCCTTGGACGTGTTTAAGGCCAGGTTGGACGGGGTCCTGGGCAACCTGATCTGAATGTGTATGTTTCGTGGCCCTGCTAGGCAGGGGGGTTGGAACTACATGATCCTTGAGGTCCCTTCCAACCCGGGTGATTCTGTGATTCTGTGAAATACACTGGCTCATATTTACTTTCAGGATTGATTACATGTAACAAATCAGTACAGAAAAGCCTCCAAAAAAGGATCTTCAGATGCACAAATCCATCACATTCTTAAAAAATTTAGATTAATAATAAGCACTATTCTACACAAATTCTCTTATCACAGATGGGCAAGTAAGATAGGTCCACCATTCTCCAACCCAAATCATTCTATGGTTCTATGATTCTCTGTAAATTCAGTGAGGTAATTTTCATTTTTAAATGACAAGATAATTTAGGAGACAAAGAAACAATTAAAAGGAGTTCCCTAGGCTTCTGTCTTAGGGCCTAGATTCCTACTGGTGTATCAGCATTCACATCTCACTCATAGCAGTGGTCCACTATTACCTAAATGTTAAGCTAAAGCTGTCTGAAAATATTCTTAGTGTGTCTCCTTGAAATTTTGAGATAATGATTGGTTGACGTTGAAAGAAGACTTCAGAGTGCTTAAGTAACAAAGACTTACTCTATGTAGAAAATAAACTAATAATAATGACCAAAAAATCCTTAATATAGATTGATCACAGGAAATACAGAAAATGCAGGCTGCAGTCTTGTAAACCATCTCGTAGTTTTTGAGCTTTCAATCTAAAACAGTCCCACTGTGTCAATGCATTTATGATGCTACTTAGCCTATCAGCGAAGTTTCTTCCTGGAATAGATCAACTAATTCACTTCCCATCACTAAAACATTACTTACATGTTTATTTAGATCTTTAAACTATGTGATATAATGAATTTTATTTCTGTTGAGTATTTACATGTCCAGCACCTAATTGCTTAACTTTAAATAGATATGTAAGGCAAGCTAAACAGTACCTTGATTTTCTTCCAGCTTCCCAATTGTTTCTATCTGCTCAACAAGGTCATTTGAGTTCCACTGGCTCATGCCGATGAGAATAGCACTTTTTCCTTCCACCACCTCTTCTGTATGAGGAAAAAGGAAAAATAAAAAAATAAATGGCAGTGATGAATACGAAAACACCACAAAGGACTAAAACTAGTAACTGTGAGAGAAATAAGCAGCCTAAGTTAGCACAGGCAAGACTCTCCAAAGAAGCTTCCTGCTTGACATATCCTGAAGTGTACCCATGCACTACACAAATTTTGTGCAGGAAAACCAGAGAGGAGAGAGTTGTTTGAGTATTTGCTCTTATCTCAAGCAGGTCACTTAAAAACAAAGTTGGGAATAAATCACTCAAGTGTTTACTATCAACTTACTAGTTAGCATTCCTTCCCCTTTCCCCACTCCAGGAAAGCACTGAAGATCAAAACAACCCTAAAACTGACATCTTTGTTTTTTCCTAACAGCTTGCAGAAATTTCACAGAACCTACAGCCCTACCCAACTCAAAATTCTCCTTCCTCAGTTTCTAAAAATTGAAAATACTTACAGCACTAAACTATCAACTTGTGATTGTTTTTCATATGAAACAGCCATACAGAGTATACTCTCACATTCATTCAAGAAATGAAATGAGCTATACTATAGTCCACAACAGTCAAACTATATGAGCTTCTCAGAACATGAGTAAGAATTTTTCTCCAGATGTAAGGGAAACTTTGGTCAACATAGTAAAACTTACACATATATTGGTAGTTCAACATTCATTTCAGCCTGAAAATGGAGCTGTGTCCTATAATTATAAGCATTTTTAAGTTTTTTATATACCACAATTTTAACAAGTAATTAAAAGTAGTCCTACTCCAGACAGGCCTGAAGTGAAAGATGCAGCAGAATATTCTCCACATTGCTCTGATGCCAGATCCAGTTCCTGGCTGCTTATTCATCCACACCAGTGCTTCACCCATCTCTGATACTCAGGCCTGTTAAAAAACCATACCTCAATCTGGTGAAAACAATGTTGTTAGTCCATTCCAAAATGAGCTTACTCACTTGCGGCAAATCTGGCAAAAGAACAGGGATACTACAACAAAACTTTGCACTGACCTCGAGCATCAAAAAACTCATCATCAGAGCTTTCCACAGAGTCTTTGCGGATGTTCTGCATGTGCCACTGATCACCAATGAATCTGCGTAGGCCAGCTGGAAATACAGAGAGACTGACATTAACCCAAGGAAATGCTCGCTTCTGTGCCAGTACAGTAAAAGTACAGTAATAAGCATTGGTGGTGATGTTTTAAGAGGATCCTTTTAGTCAGAGCACCTAATCTCAAAAGGATTCTCAAGATGGCATAAAAATTACACTTCTCACTTTCACTTAACAAAAATTATTAAAACAAGGTTTTGATTAAAGATGAGCCTGCATCACTTTCAGTTAATGGAGTGACTTGAAAAGATAAATTCTAGCATATGCAACTCACCAGGTTGTCCAATTCCAACACTCAGACTATACAACATTTGTTTCTGAGACCTCAAGCAACATTTCCCCAGGACATGGCAGTGGTTCCTGTTCAAATTATACTTCACTTCTGAGAGAAATGGCATCCTATTTGGCTCACATGTGAACAGACAAACTAATGAATACTCATTCATTCAAACTTATTCATAGAGTTTTTTCATCTGAGAGCTTTGTTTTGCCAGAGACCTGTGCTTACATTCATAGCTTGTCATTACAAGACAGGAGGGCAAAATCCCAACAGAACAGGTACAGTTGCAAATACATTGACAGTAGATTCCAGGGGCTACATATAACTCAAGGCTAATTTTTAATTAGAAAACCAGCCCTACACAATTACATCAGTCCTTCTTTCATCTACAGCAGCACATATATTGCCTTACACTGACAATAAACACACCCCAAAACACTGTTGAAACAGGAATCAAATCAACTGTAATAACTGAGGCAGAGCCAGACTCCTCACAGCAGCACTGGGCAAGGACAGAAGACTCTGGGCATAAGTAGAAGTGAAAATTTCATACCAGCTTTAGGGAAAATCGTTTTTCACAGAAGAACATTCATTGAAGCAGCTCCTCAGAATTGTGCAATCTTCATTTTTTGGAGTCTTCAAGGCCCAGTTGGATAAAGTCATGAACAACCTGGTCTGCTCCCATAGCTAGCTGTACTGTCTGGGAAGTCACAGGCACAAAGAGGCACTATGATCAACGCTGTATTCCTATATTTTGTACCAAATGCTTAAACACAGCTCAAAATGATTGGAATCATGTATTCTGCCCACTGCATGGGAAACTTAGCCATCACCTCCATTGATGATACTCTCACCATTTCACAAGATAATAAAAAAAATCCCATCACACCTGTGGAGTCACTTTTCTATTCTTCTTACTGACCAACTTACAAATAAAATATCTTTTTCCACTGGGCTGACCACAGCCTTGCATAAATGCACAGCATATCTCAAGCAAGGAGAAAGAAAACAAGAAGAAAGGAATGGATGCAGAGTACTTAGGCGACCCTGTTACACAACAAATCACTGCAGATCCTTGCAGAGCCAGAAACTTGAAAGATAAATTAGAGAAAAAGAGCAATTTACAGATAGTACAGATGAAAGGGAAAAAAAGCTCATGTGCCATCACGGACTCTGTTATAAACTCAAGAAGGCAAGGTACTTGCAGCAGGATTCTATACTGTGGGTCAAGAGCACACAGATTCAGGATGTCTGTGATTGCACACAGCAAATATAGCACTTTCAAAGAGTAGCCATCTCTCTCCACAGTACTTACCAGTGAGACAAGGAGACTTGACTGTGTCTCCACTCTGTCACCTTCTTTTATTGGTCTGTTTCCCTAGAAAGCCAATACTGTCTGGTGGTTGCCCAGACCTATCAGAATCAGATTAAAACCTGCTTTGCAGCCTCTGCAGTTGGCCATAGTACACTAGAATCAGCTTTATGATAAGGATGAAATGTATTGCAAAAATTTTGCTACCAAAAAAGACCTTGGCAGCACCAGCTTTATTATATCTCACTAGGAATGCTTCTAGATTTAGAAGCAACTTAAACATAGACACAGCTGGCAGCACAAGTCTGCATATGCTAGCAGTTCTTCATATTCACATTAATTTGCTGGCTGGACTGCAACACACTGCCCTAGTACAATAGTCTTATCAAGTCTGCTTCATTCTGTGCCAACAGCTTAGTATTCGCAGCCTCTGCAGGACTCTATTATCATTCCTTGATTGTATTAGACACTGCCATTGCCTGGGGTCATTGATTTCATTTACAGCATCAAGTGCTGCATATTTTATTATTTAATTTCAGAGAAGGAAAAGATCAGATTTACTCCAAAATACAGGCTACCTCCCTGGTGATGACATTTGATGCTTTTAAGGATTTCTCTTTAAATACTAGACTTGTTGACTGGTTCCCAGCAGACAGATTTCAGCATTTTTTTGAGAGCAGGGCAGCAATTAACTTTTAATTTCAGTTGATCTGTATTGCTGTTTCTGAGAGTAGCAGGGAAAGCCACCCAGAAAAGCAATCCCTATCATAGAAACCCACATCACTAACCTGCAGGTCACTCACACGAGTGAGCTAGAAGCACATGCACAAATTTTCAGAGGCTGCTGGAGGAAATGTACCAGACTGACAGTGAGGACACAAGCGGAATACTTTCACGCAACACAGACAGTCCACAGAAATGCACAGAGGCTTTCCTCCTAAGAGAAGCAGAAGCAAAGTTTCCTATCTAAACTGCTTTCTTTTGTATAGTACTGCTGGTCGCTACACTCAACTGTTTTGCAGACAGCTGAGTGTGGGTTTGCACTGAGCAGAGCCATCCTAAGCACTGAGCAGAAATGTTGAATTCTCTAGTTATGCTCCTGTATGACTCCAACTTTGGGCAAAGACCTTTAAAATAAAGAAATCTAACACTACACCACTAAAACATGTCCCTTAGTGCCACATCCATACATCTCCTAAATACCTTCAAAGATGGCAACTCCACACTTCCCTGTGTAGTCTGTTCTGACAACTAACCAACCTTTCTGTTAAGAAACTCTTCCTGATGTATACATATAACCTAAAACTCTATTGTAAAATTAATTTAGATAAATTTAGTTTCAACAGGAATTAGGATTTATTATTAACTCATGGTAAATAACGAGTTAAGATTCTGTGATTTTTATAGCACAACTTGAGGTCCTCTCCTCACACTCTAAACTGGGTCCTGATATTCCATTGAGCCCACTACAAGCCAGCTACAAGGTGAGCCAGGACAAACAAACAGGAAGCTTCTCATCTTCAGCTACACTCACAGTTACAACTATCTCATTATAAAAATGGGTAGTTAAATTATAGTTTTGACGGACTTGCAATGCTAGGCCAAGTGTATGTACCAGTGCTGACCATAATCTTTTCAGATCCAATCTGAATGCTTAATTTTGTGCACGTACTTCGTCCCATTGACATTTGTAGAAACACTTGTACATATGAAACTAAGCAACTGTTAATGTACTGTTGGAATTAGGACTACGAGATTATAAACACTTGGATATCAAAAACTAAATAATCGAAATCAATCTGCAGGAAGTTCTGAAATTTTTTCAAAGATTTTCACTCATTGATTCCCCCCACTCATTTAAACATTTTCTTTTCTACCTTAAATTTGACTACTTCCCCACCTTATTACAAAAGCCCTGATGTTCAAAACTCATTAATTTCCGAAGACCTAAGTATCATTCAACAACTCCACATCTCCTACTACCCGTACCAAGTGTTGTTTCAAGATTGCTTGTTAAGGAAAAATAAAAGATTAAATGTGTATCAAATGATGGGGGAAAATAAACAAAATCTAACAAAAAAACCCAACTTATTCCAGCCCAGTAATAGGCATTGGCTCTGAATTAGAATAAACCAGCATCGTGCACTGTAGGCCTCAGGTCTTTCGATGAAATACATCTAGAAGTAGAATGTTTGTATAGAGGGCACAGTAATATCTTCTGCAAAAAGTGAAGAATACTTGCCTATGGAAATAATGTCCTATAGTAAGCAGTACATTTGATGAAAACGCAGGGCTCCTGGATCTATTGACTTGAGAAATCATTTTACAAATGCACTGGGAAGTAACCCTAGCTCTCATGTCAAATCAAAGCCATGTCACCTTTTCTCATTGGCTCTCCTTTTCCCCAGCTTTGAATAAGCTTTTACAAACCAACAGCAGCTGAAAATGAAAATCGTGACTTGTGTCATCACTGCTTATTATAGCAGAACTTCACCAGCAGGGTCAGCACAAGCACTTTGTGAGTGGGCTTTCCTGCAAGACTCATTCAGTGCAGTTCACATCATCATCACGGTCATAGACTGCATCAAGCTTTGAAGCATGCCCAGCAGTCTGCTACATTTTTTGCTTGATAATAAACATTTACCGATCAACTGTAGACACAAACAAAAGCCAAAGAGTGTTGAACATTAAAGTAGCACTCATGGATACTACTATCATATCAACCTATTCAATAGAGCTATATTCTCATAACTACTGAAAACTCAGTATACTAGTAAATTTCTGAAGACTGAACTAATCTCAAAAAGAATTAATCAAAAATTGACTTCACTGCATAGATTAAACCTTTCTGCTTACCAAAACTTATTTTAGAGTTGTTTTCTCTTTGCATTCAGGAAAGGTTTTTCTAGTAAAATCAAAAAGCACAAGTCATATTCTGTTTGGAAAGAAATAATGGGTAGAAAGACTTTTGTTGTTGCATAATACTTCTTTCTGTTCTGTTGGTTTCAGATGCATCCTTCGTACCCTGTAAGTGATTTAAGTGAGCTACCCACACAATGTTACCTAGGAACTACAGAGCTGAGTCTTACCAGAGGCTAAAATTATCCATTGCTATTTTCTAGCTATATTTTATTTCTTCTGAGCACTTTACGACGGGACATTAATCAGAGGTTGCCAAAGCAAAGGCAACATATAGCAAACACAAAACTGAAGATAAACGAATTTTAACTGCTGGACATACTTCTTGGACTTGAAAGACTCCGACAAAAAAGGGGGCGATGCTGACATTCCCTCATATTAATCCACATTGAAAACTGATGTAGGAAGTAAGCAGCACACATGGCGGGGAGCAGGGGCTGGTCAGTACGGGAGTCTGAGAGGAGCAAGAGGCCTCAGAAGAGAGCACACAGAACCAGAGGAAGAAAGACAGTGAGTCCAGATGTGGAATCCATGGGACAGCTGGGAACCAAGAGTGGAGCAAGGGGAGCAAGGGGAAAAGGAAGACCAGCAAGGGGCAAGGGCCTCCCACCAGCTGCAAGGGATATGATCCTGTTTCGTTCCACCAGCTAGGCACAGCATTCACTTAACTCTGCGGTTCAGCCTGTACAGCCAACAGAAATGTTCCAAAAATTTAAAATAACAAAGAGTTTTCCACTTCTTTGGTTCCCAGAACTAGGCTTCACAAGAGCTAGGGAAGCTTGGTAGCTGGCAAAGGAAAGAGGAAAGGCACCAAATTTCTCTTATTGTTGTCAGCAAGGCACCAGATCATCAAAGTATACTCTGCATTCATGGACTCGCAGTACTCCAATTACTGCCCTTCTGAAATCTGCATACACTTACAGTCTTGAGAATGGACGACTTCTAAGTACTGCTGGCACTTCAGAAAGAGGAGAGACGGGGGGATTAGTCAGGAAGAATTAAACAGTGGACAGAAATGGGCGCTCTAACTACAAGAATTAGGAGAAAGCTTCTGGTTTAATAGGCAGTGAGATAAAAGACAAAAAGTCAGAAGCATGTTTGCATGAGAAAAAGATATTAAACAAAGGTAATCTTGAAAGAAGAATCAAACAAGCAGGGGCCTACAGTAAGCAAAGTCGGTATATTTAACAGAGAAGCTGAAGCCCAGAGAACAGGTGTTAACATAATAACTCAGAGTAGATCTGGGCTGACAGAAGCACAGTGCTGAGATTCAATTTCTAGCAGGTAGGAAAGGTGCTGGCAAGTACAGTGAAAGAAGAACTGAGAGGTGAAGAAAAGCATTAAGAGATGAATAAAGTAATCGATGTTGTAACAGATGCAGCTTGGGACAAGAAGCAGAGAAGAAAAGCATCACGAAGACAGTAAGTCAGATGGACGCAAGAAAAAGGACCTCCCTTTATTCTCACTGTGATTGAACCTGTACCAAAATAAAAATGAGACAAAGAGCCCAGTTGACTCAGCCACAGACAGAGTTAAAGACAGAAGTTTCACACAAAAAAAGCAAGTTCCGTTGCTATGAAGTAAAAGAGCTAACTGGAAGAACAATCCAGACAACTCCATAGGCAGAAATATCCAATATTATCAGCTCTTCTCAACCATCTCCTCACTCTGTGCCTTTCCAGTACCAGCATTTCAGCAACTGAAAGTCCCTTGCTACCTACTCTGTACATCCTTCAACTGACAGTTCTGCAACAGATGGCATGGATAGGTTTATATGTTTGGCTCACCGAGAATAGAAAATGAAGCAAGAAACTAAGTTATGCAGGCCTTTGAGCTCCTATTTTAAGGTACCAGTGACATTTTCAGTCTTGCACCTTATGGAATTACCAGTGAAATAGAGGAAGAGTGAGAGGTGGTTAAACGTGGTGGTTCAGGCTCCAAATCCTAAACTAAGCTTGCCTGTAAATACAGTACATCTTTCAGAGCTGTTTCTTGATGCTTCGGATGCCAGTGCTTCACAGCAGAAACTAACTTCACCCTCTCAGCAGCATCACCACCTCCTCCACACTCACTCTCCAAAACAAGGAACATATGAATATTCTCTAACCTTTTCCTGCAACAACTGTAGGTGGACTGCCTGCATGACATCTGAAAGGCTCTACTTTCACAGCGCAGACATCTTTGCTTTCTGTGAAAGATCTTTTGAGTCACTGCTGTTACAAAAATGAAATAGAAGACGAAG